TTTATTATAATTAATACATTTATAAAATATGATTCTTTTTTTTTTAATTTTTAAGCCAAGAACTTCTCCGGGATCAGTGTGTGTATGCTCTCTCTATGCTAACAATGTTAACCCATTGAGACGATTCTACATTTATTTTGTAAAATTAAGAAAAATAATGTCTTTATAGTCATTATTTTTACCCTTAACTCCAATTATTGAATAGCAATCAAAGATATGTTCTTTAGAATTTTGATAGTGAATTAATGAATACATAAAAAAAACAATCAGCCGTAATTGGTATCCCGTTATAACCGCGGTTATTGATTATATATTTTAATCAATAAACGTCTTTTGACGTTGAAAATAGTATAGTGATTAAGTTTACGAATATTGTAATTATTGTGAATAGTAAATGCACACTTATTTCTGTATCCAATACATTTTTAAAAATCTTTCAAACTTTTCTTACAGTCCACAGAGGAGATTATCATGTGCATCATGTTGTTTCTTTAACTAATCGGTTAGACTTGGACTGATATTAAAAATAGCAATAAGTGTCTACTAACAAGTTCGTTTCTAATAGAGTTGGTTTTTTGGATTAACTTAAACCAATACACATATATTAGAAAGGTATGTAATGTAAATATATTTTGTGTAATCAAATTGAATTTTATCCAAACATGAGCCTAATAATACTAGAAGATAATATATTTAAAAAGTACTGATTATATTGAGTTTTTTTGTAAATTATTTAAAAATTATTTTTACATATTTTATAACTCATTATAATATAGTTCATAATCCTGATTCTTAAAATCGCAAAAATATGATTATTTTACACTCTCTAAAAACATTAGTTATATAATATAATAATATACGTATGATATATATTTAGTTACACGTGATAAAAGTAACACTAAATATCTCAGCCCGAAGACCTTGGATTTAAATTCAGATTTCGAGAGGCGATAAGGAGTACTTAAATACTCGTTTTAAGATAAATTTAAAATGTTTAATTCTTTCAGCGTATGCGTGTAAAACACAACTCACCTTTTTATTAAACGATAATATCAATTTTTAGCACCATATTCGAATAGTCTTTTCTTTTTTTTTTAAGTAACTTTGACTAATACATTTTTATTTAAACAAAATGCTGTTCGTACAAAATTAATTAAAAAGATAGAATATGTATAAAATTTAAAATAAATTTATGAGTCAAAGTTACTTGAAAAATATAGGACTATTTGAATATAGTGTTACAAATATATGTGTTATGATGCCTTGTTAGTGATTATACCAGGTGATTCATTTAAGTTTATCTCAGTTCAAGCTCATCATCTCGGAACTCGGAAAGTATTAACTTTTTTCGGAATTTGTTTTTTAGAACATCTACAAAACAAGTAGCTCTATAATTTTATATTTATGTTATTAAAATCAAACTTCAACACTAAAATTTATTTTAATTAATACTCCATTTATGTATGGAATTTTAAATATAGATTGTATTTTAAAAATCAAAAGTAGATAGTGGTTTTATCCCCAAAAATAAGGGTGACAAAAAATATAAAATTGTAGAACAGCTTATTTCTTAAATGTTCTAAAAAACAAATTTCGGAAAGAGTCAATATTTTCTGTAATAACGAGTGTATCCACTTAAATGGATCACCTTTTACATAATACTACTTTTATAGGATATTGTTTTCGTTTAAATGAAAATGGAATAGTCGTGTCCGGTGGAGATAAATCAATACGGGGTATCACTGTACCCATTGTTCAACATTTCTACTAGTTATAACTTATAATCTCTACATCTAAAGTGTTCTCGAAAATTGTTCTTGTACAATTAGTCCTGTGTCATTCAATAATCCTTTTACTACATTAAAATTCCTCAAGTGCATTACAACAGCACTTTCCTTCAAGGTCAGCTCGTTTACCAGTAAAAAAAAAAAAAAAAAAATGGAAATTTAACTTATTTGTGCACGCTTAACTCTGCTTGGTTCTTCAATGTAACTGGTCAATAGCTCAAATGAAATAACTTGATTCAATAAGTGTTCTTACTTATTAGAATAAAACGAACACTGTACCTCAGTTAGGACCAGAGATATAAAAACCTAAATTAAAATCAATTTATTTGTATTATCCGCAGAAGACGATCAACAGCAGCAGCAATCATTGACAAATGCGACTTCCCTTCAACTGTCGAAACCAAACACTACAGTCTGTGATACGAATAATTCGAATACGGCGCAACAACCACGGTGTATAGTAGAAACGATAACCATGACCACAGTTACCGAACGACAAATCGTTCAAGAGACTAGACCAGTGGACGGGGCCGGAGCCGAAGGTGGCGCAAAAGCCGACGATTCGAAAAGCAGTACCAACGCTACGTCTAGTATCGCTGCCGCGGCCGCTCCCGACGATGGATATGTGATGATCAAATGCGGTAACAACACGGTGCTCTACAACAACCGAAATCCAAACTCGGCGGTGCGACAGCTGTTCCCGGCAACCAAGTTCGTGTGCCCGCCGACCCGGATTAAAGAAACGGACGATGCGAGACTTCTGAACAAGTATCTGATCACGGAAGAGTCGCTGCGGGCGTTCGACAGTCGGACATTGAACGGTGGCTTGGCCAGTGGTGGATACAAGAGCGATCCGCACAGCGACGACGATGACGACGATACATCGAACAGTCTGATCCGGCGGACCATTGAACGGAGTACGTTGAGACGGAACACGACGAAAAAAAAACCCGACAACAAAGAGATTTCGCTGATCGAGAAGATCCGGAGGTTGACGTGCGATAGCGACGACGATGCCGACGATCCAACGAAGAAAGCGTCGGCGTTGGGCACCCAAGAACAGGCGGCCGCATATGCGGTGCTAGTTCAGTGTGATTCAGTAGCACCATCCACTGCGGCTCCAGCTTATAAAAAACTTACCGACTTGTTCGGCGGCAGCGGCCGGTACGATCAACCGCTGCTGCCGCCGAGCGGTCAATCGACGGCCGGCAGTGACGCGACCGGCAAACCAGATGCATTGGACTTGTGTGACGGTCACTCGGCAGCCGCCAGCAGAGCAGCCAACAGGTCTGCAGTTGCTATAGGCGGTAAACCGTTCCTTTCCACGTTGGCCACGGCATGTGTAACGGGCAACATACATCCGACAGTCGGTGGAATGGCGTCTTCTGGAGGATTGTCATCACAACCGTCCCAGTGTCCACAACCGGACGTGGTGGCCGGTACCCAGGCCCCCAGCACGCACAACAGGCAGGAAGAGCTCGCAGCTTTCGTGCAACAGGACTCGAGTCGCCTGGAGAAAATTCGCAAGCGGTACATGCCACCCACCGCCGCTACAAACGTTGCGGAAGACGAAGACGACGAAAATGACGATTACGGATTCAACCGGCGGCCAGAAGTACACGGCATCCGGCCCGGGTTCTCGGCACAGATCACTATTAAAAACAACCAACAACCACCGTCACTACGGCCCCGAGCTTATTACGGTGAACCGGCCCGTCAACCTGCACCACCGCTCGAGGTCCAGCCCGATTTCGTGCCCAGATATCCGACAGGAACAACGACGGCAGCGATCCGGGCTCGAATTCAAGGTGACCCGCGAGCACCGCCGCCATATCCGGCAGCGTCTCAACGGTCCATCATCAGGGTGACTCACGGCCAACAGCAGCAGACCATCCGCGTACCGTATCAAGCGGTCGGCCCTGTTCAAGTGCACCTATTGACTACGGCCGCCGCGGCCGCTACCACCAACGTAACTGGCCATCCACCGCCACAAGTACAGATCCGGCATCCGCCTGCAAACGAGTACATCGTTCAACATGGCCATGCCAGAATACACCATCACGGTCAACAGTTTGTTATCGCACGCGGTACCCAGACGGCCGCCATATCTACTACCCGGTATTACCAGTTGCCCCCTCCTCCGCCACCTAACCACCAACAACAGCAGCAGCTACCGCAACCACAGTTACCGCCGCAGGGTTTCCAATCAAACGACGAGAATCCAACGGCTTCACAGTTCAAACAAACGTCGCCGACTAGAGGAGTAGCCGGCAGCAGGCACATGCAGCAGCAGCAACAACAAGAGTTTGTCGACCATAATTTACAGCCGTCGGTCTCGCAAACTCCCAAAAACCCTGTGCTTTTTTACGGTATGAACGTATAAACGGCGTGATGTGAATGGCTCGTTCGCGCGTAGTAATGTATGTATAACATTTCTTATAATATTTTATAAACACTTATAAGCTCGTTTTTGTTGCGTTCCTACTGCCAACAATAACTGCAGAGGATAGCTTGTCTGTTAAATTTAACTATATGAGCCAAAAACTTTACTCTGTTTATAGAATTCACAGATATTATGGTATTAATTATTCATAGCATAAACCTATAAATATTATAATGTTAACAATAATATTGTACAAGCGTCTTCCTGGTACGCGGACGAGATAACAATGAGTTATATAGCAGACTCAATATGGTTGCGGAAAGTGATTTGTTTTGGTTGAAAAATTTATGAAATAATTATGAAATCTGCAGTAGATAAAGTCCACAAACTAAATATTGATTACAAATTGTATACAACTTGCGTGCTTAAAATCAACGTTTATTGAATTAAGATAATATGGTTTCTAATATTTCGATCACTCAATAGAATTAATACGTTATTTTTATTATGTCGAATAATATAACCATCGTTAATTTTGAATAAATACTACATAACGTAAAAATGATTTTTCTCCTCGTAAGATAAAAATTTTCCGAAAAATGTTCTGCTATTAACCTAAAACGGTTGGACAATTTTTGTTTACCCTACACTCTAAAAAATCGTACCTATCCATTTAAAAATTTGGTTGAAAAATACTGTCACAAAAACAAAAATATAATAACTATTATATAATTGTATTATCAAAAGAATTAATTTAACAATAATTATATATTTATTATATAATATTATATTGTGTATAAATAATAATATATATTATATACAATCAGGCCACTGGTCTTACATAAAAAAATGTATTCAATTTTTTTTCTTTTATAATTAATAGTTTTTAAGTTTCAAATTATAATAATGTATAAAATATAAAGTAATTCAATAACAGACTGTGACGAAAATTAAGGGTTGTGAAATTGTATTTATTATATGATTACCTGTACCACTATAGAAAACAATAATAATTTTTAATCATATCGGTGACACGTCTTGTATAGGCAAATTCACATTTGAAATATTATATAGTTAATTCATTTAGGAATGTTTTAAGATAAAAGTGGTTATAATATACAGTCGTTCCACATTATTTGATGCTTTTGAGTTTGCTATAATATAATATTGCGAACTCGATATATTTGTATATAATTAGCGAACAGTTTAACGGAGCATAAAAGATAATAGGTAAAGAATAGATTGGCGCCTATCTATTGTTTAATCACTAACATTTTACCATTGCAATTTTGTCTATATAGTATATAATATATAATAATAATATATGCGCATACAGTGGTATATTATAAGTACTGCTTTGAAAAATAGTATATATTATAATATTATTATATTCTTATGTTATATTTTTTGACACGATGGAAACAAATCGTTTAATATTAATGATGCAATAGAGATAATATTTAATTTTCTTTGAAATCAAAACATTAGATTCAGGTATGTTTATTTTATTATTTAAAATTAACCTCAGTATGTATCGACATTCAGTGAGGGGGAATGCCGTTTTATTTTTTTCAAATCGAATTTCTCCACGTCTTATTCTACGGAAAATAATTTTTAATTTTTATTAATTCTATAATTATTATAAAACCTACTTAACATGCATTTCTCATGAAAACGATATCACAAAACTGTTGTTATCATACAACTTCTAGGACCTCTAAAATGGATATCTAGGATTACATAACTGTTTATTTTGTTTTGTTTTTTTGCTTTTACAGTTTTACAAATTATTAATGTACCCAACAAAAGGATAATATAAAAGTATACTAAGTATAAAAAAGAGGTTACATTTTTTTTTTTTTTCTAGGGCTTTAATATTATTTAAGCCACGATTAATCTAATTATACTACATCAACAAAAAATGAATAATCATTTTTAGACAGTGAAGGCATTGACTGAATTTTAAATGACCCCTCACTAACTTTCAACCACTTCAACCACTGACTTAAAAAATTAATGTAGGTGATTTAAATAAACACAATTATTTCGAGACAATTATTACAGCCATAAATTATTTTATTATAATATAATTATGTTAAGAGAATAATTTTGATCAAAAACTTCCATTGTTTTATCATTGATTTTTATTTAGTTAAATGTTTAATATTGTTACCTATCATATTATTTATAATATACCTTGACAGAAAATGATAAAAAATTATTAATATATATATATTTTTTTTTTTATTACTATAATAAAGCATATTATATTTGAATAAATAGTATACAAACTATTAGGTGAAATTATCAAAAATTATACACAAATTTTAACTTGTTCTATTTTTTATTATAATAAAATAATATACAAATTAATGTTTTATTTAAGTTAAATATCTATATTATGTATTATGTATGAATGGTGCCAAAGCGATATTAAATTTAAAGAATGCCTATACCAAAAAATATGTATTACAAAATAAATATTTTTTGATTGAAATCAATTATTATAAAATGATAGGCTGTTTATTATATAATTATGTTATGTTAAACTATAGTCAGAAACACTAGACCGTCGTTAATATTAAATATTTAGGCCTGAAACTATTTTTGTTTGTGTAAATTTGTTTTTCGTTTGTTTGTTTTATTATTATATATTATTTTAAGAAAATATAATGTTGTTGTTGAAATAAATGTGTAAAAATGATTAATTCGTGTTAACTCATTTTAAATAATCGTATGTAATAAAATGTTAAAATTAATATAGTCGCATACAATTATAATACTGTCACTGATTCGTTGACAACTTAGGAAATTGGAAAAAAAGGTGTGCAGTAGGTACGTTAATTAAACATATTTAATTATAGATAGGTACGCACAAAAAAAAAAAAAAAATCAATAGTAAACAAATAATATAATAACTATATTGTTGTGACATGTGAACATTTATTATGCAAAAGTAACAGCTAATTATTTTTATTAACTCTATAATTTTTAAGCCCAAAATATATGAATTTTTTCCGTCTAGATTAGAAAAATATGTACACAAATATATTATTAAGTTTAAAATTATAAATACTTAATACAATTCAGTAGAAATAGCGGGTTACGTCAATGTGTTGTCTCAAATACCAGTTGGTTGTTTGATACCGCATCAGAGTTTACTGCTTACTTGCATAATCGAATAAACAATTTATTCGGTTTTTTTGTAAACAGCATTAGAATTTTATGCTATTATTTGCTTTGAAAACTATAATTAAACTATACGTATACCAATATATATTATAATGTACATATTTTAATTCGTAAACAGCATATTTTGCTTGATTCGCTATTTTTCAATTTCTTTGGAAGTAGATACTAACGAAACGGACATTTGACCCTCTCGAGCTGAATAATTATTTTGATTGTCTTCCATTTCGAAAATGATTGTTATTATTTTAATTGCTTATATAATTACTGAATAGTATACTGTATGTTCTTATTGTACCTGTAACTATAGGCTATAATATACATAACTTTATTATTTTCAAATAAAACAACATAAACCTAATAATATAGTGTAAAATAATGAGTAAATATGTACCTAAGTGGCTGGATAATTTAATATTTTATTTAAAAATAAAACTAGTCTCAATGTCACAGCATCAGCCAGGTACTCAAAATATAATTTTTTTTTTTTCGTTATTGAAAGAATACAATAATGTGCAATTGTACACTATGTATAATGTAAAATATCTATATTTAAAAATGTCTAATATGAAAAGACAGCAAGACTCGCCACCCATACGTATCATATTATACCTTTAAACCTATGTAAATACTTTTACAAATTTTAAAATGATGTTCAAATAAATAATTACCAAAAATATATTTTAATTATTTTATTTTGTCTATGTAATTTTGTTATTTAGTTACTACTGTTCTGCCAACTCTTTCTAAAGCTTGTAGAACATGAAATTGTTTAAAGAAAAAAAAGTTGTGAAAAATGTTTTGTTAGTAATTTATAATAAGTAATTTGCGTTTAATTAGCACTTAACTTTAGAATAATAATATAGTTGTGTTCTGCTAATTTTAAGGACATTACTATTCTGTTTTTTTTTTACAGTTCATAATTCTTCAAACAACTAATATTTACATAATGATAAAATACATAGTATTTTCAATTTTGAATTTATAAAATGTTTGTATTATAACTTATAAGATAGAAGTTGTAAAAGGGCGCTTACACCGATTTCTAGATTGTTTAGAAGATCTGAAAAAGTTAATTTTCAACATACATTTTATTAGATACTACAGCAAATTTTCACTTTACCTTCCTCCTCACATAAAAATTAATATTAAATTATATACGAAAGTTCGGGAGTCTAAAAGACAGTTGCGGCAATTAGATAGGGCTATAGAGGGCTTATCCCCCATGGATCGCCTGAATCCCTCCAATAATGATGCAGAGTCTCTTTGGATGACATTTATTTAATATTACGGTGGGGTTGAGAACCGCTCAAGATTTACAAGCTAATTACATCACTAAATCATGGGCCAAGTTTAACAAAACACTCGATCAGGTTTTTGATAGTAACGACTAAATATTTTATCCGTGTACTTATTTCATAATTAATGAGCAGAATAATAAACACAGACAATACACGCGTGTACAAAAAATTATGTTAAAATAGTCGTGATGAATTGTGTCCTTTAAGAGTCGCGTAAAGAGGATCGTGGGGGCATAGTCTCCGCGGGTCTTTGACGTGCGTCCGTAATTTTAGCGCCCCCGGAGTTGTTGGTCTAGTAATGCCTACGCCGGACTATATGCGGGCAATAACGTGAGTCTAGGCAATAACGCGCAAATCGAAAACGGCCGCGGCAAAATGTCCACGCACCAAAAGTGCGGCCGAACTCAAATGCGGTCACATTTTCCTCGGGCCATTTTGATGTTCGGACGTGTTTTCCACGGTCACACTTCGAAACGGCTATTATCGCCGATTATCAAGTAATACGGTTTACACGCCCACCGCATAAACGTACGTATTGCCCACTTATGCACTAATATGACAATGCTACTCGCTACCGCAGCACTACCAGGCAGCTCGGTTGGGTCGCGGGGCATAGTGCGTCAACGTCAAATGACTTTGGAACGGCCGCGATACCATATTATAGAACCCGTTGCTAATGTGTATTTTTTCGTAATTATTGTGCGTCACCGGTTAGACGGTACCGGTGTCCGATAAACCTCGCGCAGAACCTTTGGGTAGATAATAATGTGTAACACCGCGTACCGCAATATGCAATGCAGGCGTATAATAGGCGCGCAACACCCTGCAACAATTGGTGTTTTTTCATCATTCGATATTATTATATAGGTCAACAAAATAATTCGCGGCGAACGCGATGGGAAAAAATAAAAAAAATGTACATCGCGTATATTAGATAGGTATATTATACCCGTGTATAATTATTATTTTTACGGGTACCCATGTACGTACCGCCAAACCCCGCCGCCAGATAATATTAATATTATACATTGTCGGCTGTTTTTTTTTTATTACAATATACGCGGCGTAGGCGATCGATAAAATCCCATCTGAACGTCGCGATCGGGCAACACAAACAGGACGGTGCCGTGTAATTTACGTGAATAATAATTACCTCAACGCGCGGTTTCGATACCGCCGGTCGTACTGTGCGCATTAATAATAATATTATAACATAATTATTTAGGAGAAAAAAAAAAAAAAACTTCGGCGAATATAATAAATCAGGTAACGTATTCTACGGGCAATATAATAATAATATTATGCGGCCAGTGTGCAGCCGCAATTATTCCAAGCCAAGCCGGTATTACAATATTATTATTATTATTATATTCAATTATTATTGGGGATAATAGGTTTGTGCGCGAATGTCGCCGCGGGACTACGCGCAAAGTTGCGCGCGGCTGGGTGGGAGATATTTAGCTCTGTTCCCTTCGGCCCGACTGTATTTCTCTACTTGGCGGCAGTTTTCAAGAACAGTAGCGTATCGCCGCCACCGGTCCACGTTCTTTTTCTTTCGGTTTCGCCGATCCCGCCGAACGGTCGTCGTCGTCGTCGTCGTGCTGGCTGCTCGAGGGACTCACCTGTACACTCACACACACACACACACACACACACATATACACGTGTAGTATATAAATACACATATCTATAATATTAACCAGAAACTTCTCGATTACACGTCCATTCCGTGTTAATCCGCTGTGTATCGTACGCGGTTTTTGTTTTGTTTTTTTTTCTGCTCCGTTTTGTTTCGCCGACACGCCGCCGCCAATAATCCGTCGTCCACATCGCGTCGCTGCGGACACGTAACAACAATACTTTACCGACGACCATCAACGCGAACACACGCGATAATAAGACTTCGCCGCTACAATAACAGAATAATGACAACTCCACTAGCTACCGCTTTATGCATTTGCGCCGCGCTACTTCACACTACCGGTACGTACCGCCTTGTAACAATATTAGAATAATAATGTCATTATTGCATTGTCCGATGCGCAATAATATCCGTGAAAATATTGCCCCGCAGTAATAATAATAATAACAACAAAACGATAACACGGGGGATTCGGTGTTATGACCTCGCGTGCGCGTTTTATTATTGGTATTATGCATCTTCCGACGGTAGGTAAATGTGATGACAAAAAAAGAAAAGAGATTCAATAAAAATATCGATTTTTTTTTTTTTCTCTCTCTCGTCAAAACCGGTTTTTTCTCTTATATTTTCGTTTTATTTTTATATATATAAAAAATGTATAATATGTTCGATCGCGATACGTGTAATTAACAAAGAGGTATAATAATATAATATGCAATTTATATCTTGGCAGTAGGTATACTGTTAACGTACACCGTGTTGTTCTTGGTTTTTTTTATAACATGATGCAACGTGCCAATATCTTTGCATCACACACTGCGCCGGACACAGCTTCGTGTATTATACGAATGTCGGGACGTATTTATCTAATATAATATAAAATATATCATCACCCCGGTGCAATAATACACAAATAATAATAATAAAAATAATAATAGGCGTAACGACATTACCGGATCGGTTTGAATGCGGCACGATCCGGGGACAATTCCGTCTTCGCGGTTTTGCGCGCGCGCGTTTTTACAACAGCTATTATTCCCGAACGATTTATTTGTAAACTTGTAAACTATTCGTAATTTTGTCGAATAGGCGCGCAACGATATCGGGTACCTATATTAATTATTGACCGTTAGGAGATACTGTTTATAATGGCCCGCGCGCTGTATTACGTACAGTATCAAAATATTACATTATTATACGCCATAATAATTAATTTTTACATTATGCTCCATAATAATATAATTGTCACGACGCAGGGACGTTCGGAATTCAATCAGAAAAACAATTTTCGCGAAAACGGTTTAGACATTTTTGTTTTCACAAAATGGTCTTTCGGGAAATCGCCCCGGAATCTCTAGTATGTTTCATTATTTATTGTCCGTCTGAAGTTGCTGTATTATCTTTCTAGCTGTCCACACTTATTAGGAATTGTATAATTATATAAGTATAGTTGCCTAAATCATTTATTCGTTTTTTATCAATAACAATTAATTGTGTTTGAATTTAAAAAAAAATCTAAACGAAACGTGTATAGGAAACTAATGGCTACAATGCATACAGAGTGTCTCACGAAGATATATCTCCATACACTCATTGTAATATCTCCGGAGATAATAAAGATAATCAAATTCTGTTTTTTTTTTTTTTTTTATACATATTACTTACAGGGAATAAGGACTACAAATATTTATATTTCAATTAAACGTTTACGCTTTAAAAAAATAACTTTATTTTTTATTTGCGAAAAATTTTAATAGAAAAATTTCATTAAATACGCGATGTTCAATAATTTTTAAAAGTTCCAAGAAAAAAAGTGTACAGTCGATTGGCCATAATAATAATTAATCATTGAATGCAATTATAGCTTGCTGCATAATTATTGGTACTTTTCTCTGAACTTTAAACAATTATTAAAAATCACGAATCTAATGAAAATAAAAAGTTGAAACGTCAACATTTCTAGACGAATAAACTCTATAAAATTGCTATCTTCCAAATTATAAAAAAAAAAAAAAATAATTTAAATATAAATATTATTTTGTAGTCCTTATCCCCGTGAGTAGTATATGAAAAAAAAAAAAACAGAATTTATTTATCTTTATTATCTCCGGAAATATTACAATGGGGTATATCATTGTGCACACCTAATACCTAAATAATATCCTATACCAATGCACATCAAAAGATCGCATTAGGACATGCGGTTTATAAAAAAGTATTTATCGACTTGCTCGCCTAATTTGTTTACATACTTGCAAATTTGTTGACCAAATCAGGTATGCATGTGGATTAAAATAGACACGTACATTTGAATATATGTGTATAATATAATTATTTAAATATATTATATAATATTTTAATACGAATAAATATTACTCTACGTCTAAACAACGGCGCAAGTGTATATATTTTTAAAATTGAATTTGGTTGTATGAAAAACTACTTAGGTACGTAGAAAATTGAACTAAACCACTCTTGCCTGGGACCAAAGATATAGTTATTAAGGGATTTTGAAGCGATAATTTTCTATTATTGCCTTTGTCCTGCACACGTGCAACATAGGAATTATTTAGACGCATTCTATTTCCACCGTACCGATTGATCTAGTGAAGCGATAAGAATTCTGGAAACACATTGAATTTTTTACCAAGTCAACTAGAAATCAACTTTCCCACTTTTTTGATTATGTCCTTCTAAATCCTAAAAACAACCATACTAACAAAAATAGTAATTAATAAAATTGAACATTTACATTTTTGGAGAAATTAAAATCAACAAATCGCCAAAGTCGATTTCAAGAAGACTTGATGACAATTCAAATCTGTTTTCAGTATTCTCATCGTTTCATTTGACCAATCGATACGTTGGAAATAGAACACGTCAAAATCCTTATGTTGCACGTGTGTAAGACAAAGATAGGAAATGACCGCTTCTAATCCTTTTAACATTTAACACGTCATTTATCAAACATACAGATATTTATAATAAAAACAAGGTATACTAATCTATAAACTTCAGTTTATTATATGTGTTCTAAATGACCCAATTAATATACCTATGAGCTTATGTTAAAAATAAATGGCACTTACGTGAAAATTAAGTCATAGACAACGGAAACTGAATCAATTAAATTTAAATGACGTAGTTTTTAATGGACATTGTTTAAATTGAACATTTGTTTATCTTTCAAATATACATTCATATTATTTTAATATAAGGCAATTATAAATCCTCGTAAATTTAAATAACTTTTATAAGCGTAATCGACAGCAGTTAGTCGTATATTGCATATTATCGTATTTCATATTTATTACATTTTAGGTATTCTGTATTCTATATATAAACGAAATAAACAGTATAGTTAATAATTCATTAAACAACAAACATTCTAGACAAATAAACAAATTTATGTGTCAATTAATATAATTTATAAATCGTATTTTTCTTCGTCTCGTGAGGTTACAATTATTAATACCTAATAAATGTCGTAAATAACAATCGTCTTTCATTTAATTTATTACAAGATCGAATTTATAAAGATCATTTCCTATATTAACTAATAATTATTTTATTTTCATAGGTCAATTAAGTACCTATTATTGTCTTGTATAAGTATGACTGTATGTTTTGAACTGTTTAATTATTTTCATAGGTATAAGATGTATAAGGTAGAGATTTTGAATAGAGTATGGAATAAGTACATAATATATTAAAAAAATATTAGAAAAAAAATGTTTTAATTATACATAAACATAATAAAAAATTGCAAATAAATAGTTTCGTAAGGTATTAAAATATAGGTATTAGTATTATATATATGCATTTATAGGCGGATGGTATTTAAAAAAAAGGAATGTTTTAATTTCTCAACTCGATACCTATACCTGTCTTAATAGAGATCGTGATAAAGCCCATAAAAACAGTGAGTAGAACTTCATGCAAACGCGTTATAAAATATACTTATACTAAAAATCTTGTAAGTATAAATAGTTATTGGGTGATTAATAATTCGTATCCGATATATTAATTTACACTGGACAAAACCAAGCATTTTTTTTGTAGCACTTGAATCTTATATACAAGCAGTAGCAACTAACAATACTACATAAAAAAGGTAGGTAGATAGAAAAGATAGATACATCTACGTGCAGTGATTCCCAATAATATGTACATTATACAATATATGCATATAACACAAAAATTAGTTATGAACATACTAGAAAACTTATAATGTTTCTAGCTTATAAACTTTAAACTCGTTAAAGGTTAACACAAACAACATAATATTTAATCAGTGCCCCCTTGATCTGATATTTATTGAAAATATAAAAACGAATGCATTAATTTTAACTGGCCTGATAACACGTAATTAGTCAGTTAGTTAAAGTGATAATAAAAAAAAACCCACTCCAGCAATCGATTATAATTGTACATTTGTACTGCAGTAGATAATACTATGTTTTTGATTTCACATTTTACGAGTTTATTATAGGTAGGTATACCAAGGTCCTCCAATATTATTAATTTTTATATTTTATAGGTAAATCGATTCAGTTATAATCGTATTAAATTAATTCATTCGGATTAATTATTTGTAATTTAGAAAACGTGTTAAAAATTTTTATGACCTCCACAGTATATAATAAAGAAACCAATATATAACTGTTATGTAGTTATAGTTACATCAGTAATTTTTTAGTAAAAATATATTATAAATATTATTTGGCTATATATAATAATATTTGGTACCTAACTCCATTTACTTATGGACAATATTTTACTACAATAATCAATTAATTTTAATATATTATAATGCATTACCAGCACAGTATTGAACTAATTTAAATATTTAAAAATAGTATAAGTAGATGTTAGATTTTTACAAGTTCCCATGTTCAAGGCCGTAGTTGATCAAATTTTCGGAAGGGGTAAAATTAAATCATCTATTATTTGTATTACAAGCATAATTAGTATTTATCTTGAAAATAATAAACAATACTTTAGAAAAAAATATTAAGAAGTAGAGGAATTTAACCCCCGAAACGTATTTGGAATAAAGATTTCAAACGTATACGTATTACCTATACCAATACGTATAAATTAAATGGTGGCATGCTGAACTGGTTAGTAAAAATATTTTTGGCCCACGCCGAAAAATGCTTTGTACGAGAAAAAAAACCACCCGCATAAAATCTGTATCGTCTTTGCATTTTACAAGAATATTGAAAGAAAATATCGAGGAAAATACCAACAAATAATTTGTGTATTTTACAAAAAAAATTGTACTTTGCTTATGTAGCCCTCGTGAAACAAAATTATCTTACCTGTAATAGTGGCCATGCTGTGCCTATATATATAACTAGCCGACCCGTCACGGCTTCACCCGTGATTGGTTGTTTAATTTGCCTTTGGATAATGATATATAGAACTTTTTAATCAAATTCTATCGTTTAATAATATCGGCAAATTAATATAAAAAAAAAAAAAAACGGTTAATGAAAACGTATTGAAATGTTTCAAGCGGGATTAATGACAAATATATTTTTACTAAAAATGAATGCAGATACAAAAGAAATGCTGAGTAATTTACGGTTGATAAAGAATTCTGAAGAGATATTCTGAAGAGAATTCTGATAAAGAACTTCTGAGTATATGGCGGTTTTTGTTTTATCTCCTGTTGAAATTAAAATCATAAGATGCTTCGGGTCCCCAGTTCGAGAAAATCTCACGTATAATTGTCCATGTGAAAAGCACTGTGTTCGAAGACCTACGCCAACGTACCTGTATGGTTGACCTTGAGCTTTGTGTATCGTGATTGCCAAAGAAACTTTAACAGAGAATTAAAACCGTTTGAACGGAAACGGCAANTTGTCATCTTGTACCGTTACATAACTTCGGTGGTTGAAGATTACGTAATAATGTAATCGGAGTACCAATTTTTAATTTTAGCTTATGGAGAGGAAATCCCGAAGGAGAAAGAGAATTGAGAAATTATTGTAGATATAAATATATAAAGATATAGATAAAGATTAATACGAATATTCGGTATACATGTTGTTTGGTGTGCGTGCGATAAACTTCTCGGAACAATTCGTACCTACACGCCGATGTCAAACACGATACAATTTGACGAACAAAAAGGTCAGGTCGCGGGTAGCTGTAAACCCGCGGGCCGCCGTGCCGCACAATGCGTATATAATATGGGTAGACAATTTTTTAATTTTTCAAGAACTTTATACTTATTTTTTATTGACAAAACCTTCAGCAGAGTGTCGGGTACAACGGTAAAAAATTTCAGCCAAATCGGTACGGTGGTTTTCTCGGTTAGCGCGGTCGTAGAAAACCCCTTACAATTTTATATAATAGTATAGATAATAATATAGTTCCTGCACCAGTCACTATTGTTAAAATATAAGAAAAACACCAACATTAATGTACTAATATATTATTTGATAATTAATTAATCCCCGTTAAAACCGTAAAACTGTCGTCTGGGTTTTGTTTAGTAAAAATAAATATTTTAATTAAAGTTATCCTAACAGTATAATACAGAGTGTACAGTACGGAAGACTTTCCGTATTATACATTCATTGTCTCGGAAAGTACGAGTTTATTTGAGAAATATTTTTTGTTTAATGTCTAAGATTTACGCTATTCTAATATTATATGTTATCCATATTTGTGCACCCTTATTTTATTGGTAGTGAAACCATTTCTAACTTTTGATTTTTAAATGGCGTCATCTATATTAAAAATGCTACAATGAAGTAGATGATATTTAATTTTAAAAATAAATTTGGCGTTGAAAATTTTAATTTTCATCCATAGACCATAATATTCTCATAAGACTAGCACATTTTATACCAAATACGTTGAAAGTCGTGGCCCGACAGCGTACTGATGCAGATCGTCTATAGAACAGTATTAGGTTGACACTCATTACGGTCAAGCACATACTTTTCGAATGTCCCCAGTACAATGCGATATGAAATTAAATATTTATTTCACAAATAAATGTCCATCCATGTTTTGTTTTTAAGATTTTCATTAGTTGAAAATCTATAAAATAGATTATTACGCACATTTAAGAACCAAAATTACTATTCTAATGCAACTCTATATTAACCTGAAATGTTAATATTTTCTCCTCTCGTATTGTTATGGCAGATAATGCATCTTTACTTATTTTAAATCATATATTTAAGTATATATATTAAATACTAAATTAGGTACTATATATATAGGTATATTAAAGATTTAAGACTTAAATTATCTTTTATTACATCAACCATGATAACAATATTAAAATAAAAAGACGCGAAAAATGTGATAATTGTACAAAATTTTTATACCGTATCACAATAACTCAGTAACTGAAAAGCATCTAATCACCTATCTTAGCACGACGGCAATGTAAAAAGGGCCAGTTTATGAGTTTAATATGGTCTGTTTTCATTATCCCATTGGCAAGATATTCCACTTTTAAGTTTCTCATTTTGTAGATCCATTTTGCAGATCATTTTTTAGGCCAGGTAGGGAAACATTTACATATTAAGTTTCTTATTATTTTTATTTCATTACCCATATACACGATTGTGTATTTTAATGTTACATAATTGTATTCGAATTAAGTATATGCAAATTAATTTGTCTTAATCGTTCCTATAATTTAAGAAATTAATTAACTTGTTCCTATTGGTAATATTGACAACACGGCTATCAGTTATCTGAAAAAATAATTAGGTAGGTATTAAAATCAAAATTACTTATATTTTATTTAGTTTGCAATTATAATAAATTACAGTGTATTCTTATTACTTAAATTCCAAAAATTAAGCGTCAGCATTTTATGAATGCATCAACTATGATTTAAATAAATGCCCTAGGTACCATCAATGGCTGCAGTAATACCTAGTGACTATGTAGATAACTTATTTAAACAATATATTTCAATCTTTAGTTAACTAAAACATTATATTCCTATTGGCTATTATTAAGTTAATTATATATTGTCCCAAGGCCAGAATTAGGGAGGGCGGGATTTATCCTTGAGTGTGAAATTATCGGAGCTTATTCACGTATTTTTGTTATGTATTCATATATTTTACGGATATTTTATTTTTCAATAACATAGAAGACTAGGAGGGAATTAGTTTTTCATTTATAAATATTAAGGACTGAAGGAGGTTGAAGAATACCGCATAAGGCATACAGTACTATTTTTATCTTAAGTGTACAAATTCGTAGTTCCGACACGGGATGTTCCTAAATTTGAATTACATTTTGTTAACCTTTAATCAAATGATCATTATATCTGTAGAAACGTTGCGTTTGCAAAACCCAAAATTCTAATAAATATGACAATAATAACCGAATAATATTATAGTTAAATGTGCCTATTTAATTAATCACTCGCACATGAAGATAAAATGATTTTAGAAGGTTTACCTATTACCATATGAAAAATTCACACACTTATGTTATTTTTTAAATAAATTATAGTATTATTATATAACATACCCTTATGTAAAGGTGGGGTCGGGGGTTATCATTGTTTTTTTTTTTAATGTAACTCATTAGAAGTTAGGTACTGATTTTATCGAATTAAAAGCACAAGTTTAATTCTGCAAGAAACTCGAAGTACCTATAATAATGTGTGGTCGAAAAATTATAATTTATTTTTTTACTTGATCTCACTAATAATTTACGTATTTATTTTTATACTTTGTCTTGTTCGTGCTACCTACCCTCAAGAAGAAATCTCGCGCATGGTCTGTAATATAGGAATAAAATGTATTTCAACAATAACCAACATGAAATAAAATAAAATAAATGAAACGTATGCACTTGATTAAATGAAAATTGTGTACAGCTTATATTAATAAGTTTGGTAATTAGTAAGTACCTAATAAGCTTTTAAAATAATTACCTCGGTTTTATCCGTTTTAAAAAATAAAAGAATATTTGGGTAGTGACATGTTACATCTGATGTAAAATTGTATAGGTATCAAAATAAATTATATGCTATAAATGCTATGATCTCATATTAATATCATGACACTGACTTATTTACTTCATTTTAATTTTTTATTAAGCATTGTTATTAGTGTATTGTCTTTTAATACTTTTCTTTGTTATCTCTTCAGTATTGTGTAACGATTTCGTATTATTATTATTATTTTATCGTACCTATCTATTTAACAATATTTAATTTGAATAATATTTTATGTATATATTTACGCATAGGTACTATGAATATTGTTATCACTATAGGTACTTATAATGTTATATTTAGAACTTGTTCCATGATTAGTTAATACATAAATAAAATATGTACCTATGTATCAAAGCATTTATACATTTGTGTCAAATCAGACATTAAATATTATGCGTCTTTCTAAGAAATATGATAAGAAATATATAACAACAACTGCTGCATCATAAAGCTTTTGAGCCCAGATAATTACGTATTATAAATCAAAAACAACTATAGTACCTACGCGGCTACGTAGGGTAAACGGTTAAAAAGTCAAGAAACAAAAGCTTCATTTTAACAAATTTGGACAGTAATTTAGGGAAAATTGTTTAAAACCAAAACAAAAAATCCATAAAATAAAATGATTTTATAAGTGATTTTGCTGATTTTTAGATTCTGAGTGAAGCGAGGAATTTATGTTTTACAATAATGTTTAATTTTTTTCCTGAGAAAAATTTTTCTACCAGCAAATTTGCTCCGATTTACAATGATAACAGTTTTTCTGAAACTAAATCTGATTGAAATTGTCGTTTAAGGAGGTCTTTTTTTGATTTTCCCAGAAGTTTTCCCAATAAATGGGAAAAACCAGGAAAATAGGTACAATACTAACCAAATATTATAATAATGTATAACTATATAACTATATAACTATAGTTATTGTTTAATTTTACCATACTATTAACCAAACTTCGCTCAGAATCGTTTATCGTTAGCAATAGTGTCGTACAGATATATATCAAATTTTCCCTCTACCTTAATAACTTCTCACCTACAACAGTGACCCACCCACGTGCAAAGTTTATCTGTCTTTTTCTTAATTTTTATTTTGTTGTGCAAAGTGTTTTCGTGGGTTTTCATAGTTATTGTTATAATATACACTGAGATAATTAAAATAGATATTTTTTTATTTAGCCTTATATTTATATATGGGTGTTATCCAATTGCTAATAATACTATCAATATTAATTTTTTTTAAACAATTTTTTTTGATCAGGGTTTGTATCAAGGGAACACAAATGTAGAGAGAAATTCAATTTTTATTTTTATCCTTGAATCACTGCAAAACCTTTTTTTTTTTCACTTTTTAAAATTTTAAAATAGCCAATTCATAAAATATATTATTCTAAAATTTAAATGTATCATATATTCATATCGGATCAATAGTTTTTTAGTAATAGCCGTTTAATATCTAGAGGAAGATGTGAAAAACGATATTACCACGTTACACGAATCATAGTCGTTTTACAAGATAAGAAATACTGAAATATTAAAATCTCTACGTTTGTGTCCCCCTGACAAAATTTCAAAAAAAATAAATTGTGAGTTATTAGCATTTGGATAACACTATTTACATATACAGGGGCACCCTGTATATTTGTGTCCGAAGGGGGAGGTAAAACTGGTAATTTGCTCCCCCCTTCTAAACTTCAAAATTTCAAATATTATTATATTTTAAGTACTTTTCAATATTTGATTTTATTATACCCATCCCTGATAAATTTCCTGCGGGCACCCATGACCCCATAGCCATTATATAATATATGCATATTATAGTTAGATTTAAATACTTAGTTGATTAAAAATAAATAGAAAACTGAGTTGGAATTTCCAATGCGAATATAATATAAATACCATTGTTATAACTAGTTTTATGAAGAAAAAAGTTGATTTTATAATGTAATGTAATAATAATAATTGTTTAGGTTATTTTTTTATTTCAATGTGATATATATTTTGTATTTTTATGACCTAATTTATTTAAATTTTAAAAAAAATATCGTTTTTAATTATTTCAATTTATATTTTAAAACAATAACTGTGGAAACTCGCCTATATTTTTTGCACAACATTTAGTAAAAAAATCAGCAACTTGCTTAACAAATATTAATATAAAATATACAATTTTATAGAAATAGAAATTTTATTTTTCTGACTTTTTGTCTGACTATTAACAAATAAACCTGGGCTTATATTTATTATATTTATACCAGCACCAGAAGTTACACAGCGGCTCCGTTTCAGCTTGTTATTTTTATCGCCTATACTTCAAAACGTCCTTACTAACGGCTTATTCTTACGACCAACCGATTTTCAATGCTCTACTGTAGTTTCTGACAGCTAATTAAACTTAAAAGGTTCGTCGTCCTGACACCCACACATTGAAATTTTAAAACCAAACCAACGCTATTATTTAGTTAGGAATTCGTAATTTTTTTAAATTTGTAACTCCCCCAAAACCCGAGAAGAACAACTTTGTAAATTTGGGTAGTAAAATCATTTCTCGTGGGTTAGGTTAGGTTCATCATTTTTACCAAGTTTTTATTTCAATTGTTTTGATTAAAATAGTAATAATTACTGAATTTTATGTGTTATATCTAGTTTATGTGAATAGAATTTGTTTGGTACAAACAAATTCTCATAAATTTGAAAAGAATTTCTGACAAACAATTGTAATTTTATTGGTTTTCAATGACGTGAGCGTTTATTTTAGATTCTGACTGTAGCAACGAATGTATTGGTTTTACTATATTGTGTTTTTTTTTCGTGGTAATTTTCTTAATCCTAATATGACGATAACCCCAATGCATTATGCAATAATAATAATCTAAAAAAAAACTGACATACTTCGCATGTGGGCGCAGCCACTGTTGTAGGTGGGAAGTTGGAAAGGTAGGATACAGGTCGGAATTTAATATATATCTGTAAGCAACGATTTTTGGAAATATTTTTAAATATGCCATTTATAGTTATTAATAGTATCAAATTAATTCATTAACATTTATACGACTGACGTTGAATATAATATCTATATGAGCACCGTACTCACGTATTGTATACTAGTGTTTTTCTTGGATTTGGGAAAGGTTACACATTTGGAAACAAAGATTATAAAAATGTATGCATTTCTTTCTAAATAATGGCATTGATTTGGTTTCAATCGGACAAGTTTAAGACGATGTGGATGCCAGGAGGAAGTCGTTTCAGCACCCGGAAAATAAAAAGTGTTTTTGTCAGGTTTGGAGGGAATTACAATTCGTAAACAAAGGTTATAAAAAATTACGACTTCTTTATAAAATAATGACGTTGGTTTGGTTTTAAAATTTCAAAGTGCGGGTGCCTGGATGATGGATCTAAATATAAAGGCTACAAAATAACCTACTGTAGTCCATAACGGCTTATTGTCAGCCCCTCGATCACAGCTTAAAAAAATAACCAAATCATTTATCGTTATCACTATCCTAGCCCACAGATTTCCCAGTGGCTTAGTTCAACTATGTGTATATTGATATTATAAATCATATATATATAGACGACAGTAGCTGGCTGAAAGGATCAAATTTGACACAGCTGCGTCAACATTTTAAGAGATGGTAGTTGATGGGGGTACATGGTACCGGGTGGGCTTGGATACTTGAGATATTATTTTGATAGTTATTTATTAAGTATTAATAGTATGAGTACCCATATAATATCCTAATATTAAGGTGGTTATCAGTTATCATAATATCATTAAACATGTGCGATTTTACCATATACCTATAAACTATTAAATATACCTAGTGTATCTGTTACAATTAAAAAAAAAAAAACATGTGAAATATGGGTAGTCTTCAACAGACCAAATATCAACGTAAATATTTTTTCATCCTGGTTACCGAAGTCACCAATAAATAAACAAAAATAATTTGATGTGTTAAAATTTAAAAACTGATAACTACCGCAGTATCGTAAGGAATCTAATCTTTTTAGACAAAAGATAACCTACATTTTTCGTCAGGATGCAATATTGTAATCTACCTCCTTAACAAATTTCATCGAAATCTGTTCTGCGGTTTTGACGTGAAAAGGTATAAAGCAGACCGGAAAATTGTTGCATTTACCTGTATAAGCAGTTATGCGCAGTATTTCAATTAAATGTATTCAAAATACATTTTTAACGTATTTTACATTTTGAAAATGGGTTGAGTTTAGGTATCTCCGTAGGAATGTAGGATGAATATATTTGCTTCGCTTTTAGCAAGGTTTAAGATTATTTTCCACTTCGTGAATCATTATGATATTTATTATCGTGCATTTTGTATGTTACTCATTAAGAACACTGGCATAAGCTTACTCACTGGGGTGGCCCAATGAAGATTCTTTTGAAATTTTTTCTATTTTAAAAACCTAGAGCTTTATTAAATTATCTGTAGAACATTATCTTGATTCTAAAAATGAATACTCGAAGAGATTTCTTGCACAATTTTCATGTTCATCGTTTTAGCACTTGTGACGCGTTTTTTACGCCCGAGTCGTTTAAGTTACGTTTTTTAGAAATTTAATAACACCCATGTTTTATTAAACAATAAAATTCATGTAAAATTCTAAAAGAACATTTAACTGTAATACCATAAGATAAAATCCGTCAAACATTAAATTTATTGTAAAGAACTTGGGGTTCATTACATCGCCGTGTAGTAAAGTGTATTGAAGCTAACGGGATTGAACAACTTTTATAAATTAAAATTCATTTCAAATAAAGTTGATTGTGTAAAAACTGTGTTAATTAATCAGGTATGATAAATTACTACAAATGAATTTCACCACCATGTTTATCATGCAGATTTCTCAAAGAAATCGTTGTGTCACACGACATTTTTTTTTAATCTGGCAACTCGGCCGTGAAAAATGCGCGAAATCACCACCTTGATTCAAATGAGAATTTTGCAAAAAATCTCTTCGAGTATTTATTTCTAGAATCGATATAATATTCTGCAGATAACCCAAGTTTTAAAGATAGCAAAAACTGTCAAAAGAATCTTCATTGGGCTACCCCAGTGAGTAAACTGAAACTAATTTCCTCATTCATTTCAGAAATCTTGTATATAGAAAAATATAAAAAAATCTGTCCTAGGATAATGGGGACGAGTGCAGCCAATGGTGTAAGTGGGAAGTTGTGAAGGTAGGATATAGAAGGAAATTAAATGTACCTATATCTGTACGCAACGATTATCCATTGCTAACGAAAAAACGTTTCTTAGCGAAGTTCAGTTGATAGTGTTGCTTTGTCAACAATAACTGTTTGTCATACAAATTATAGTAAAAGAATTACATATGCATTAAACATTTTCTTTAATAATATTTGTTAAATATTGTACCTATTTTCCCGTTTTCCCTTCGTTTCTTCAGGTTTTCTCATTTATTGGGAAAACTACTTGTAAAATCAAAAAAAGATCTCCCTCAAATACCACCCCAGTCAGATTTGCTTTCAAAAAAATTGCTGTCATTTTAAATCGGAAAAAAATGTCTGGTAGAAAAGTTATCCACAGAAAAAACAAATTAAACATCATTGTAAAATCAATACATTCCTCATTCCACTCAGAATCTAATAAAATAGTGAAACAGTTCTGAGTATAGTATATTAATCAATTCGACTTTACAATAAATTATTAAAGTTTAGCCATTATATAGGTATTAATACATCTGAGATTAATTTGACATTGTTCCTAAATGGTTGTATCTACCGAAATATAATATGAAAAAACCAATGAAACAATCGTCCTTAAATACGAACAAAACAATCATATCATTAATAATAATATATTTATAGTATTTATAAATTTCTGGATTGTGTTTATACTCACAACCTACTTACCTAATAGAAACTTCGATGCAAGTCTAGAAAGTGTTAATTTTTTAAATTTTTTATTGGATAATTTGAATTTATCAGTTAACCATGTAAATTATTAACTATTAAATATATTGCTGTTTTCAATATTTAAAATATATATAGTATATATTGATATATTAAATGTACCCTCATTTTTACATAAATAATTTTCTAGAATAATTATACTTTCGATTTTCTATATATTTTTCTGAAAGTACAAGAAAATTAAAATTAAAAATATTATTGGTAAGCACTTATTTATCAAAATCAATACTATATTAATATCATTTTTTTCTATTTCTTAGAATTTTTGAATGTAATAATTTATCCTCAATAAGTGAAAGAAATAAAAACATAAATAATACTATTCTAACCTAAGTATATGTGTCTCAATAAATAATACCTAAGCTATTCTTAAGATAAAAACTACGAAATTTTACCTAATTTTTGATATTATTAAGTGTTCAAACAAAATAAATTTAATTTGTTTTTATTTATTTGAATATATAAATATAATGTTATAAGTTCAATGGAGAAGTTAAAAGAAATTCCTTTTTTTTTTTTTTCAGAAGTTATTCTTTGCGGTGCAATTAAACCTGTATATATAAACTCAATAACACCTCCACTCGAGTTTCCATCATATGGGAATACAGTTACACCACTTATAACTGATATTAACCCTACACCTCCACTCGAGTTTCCAACGTTTCCAGCTTATGGAAAGATCATACAAGCGACCGATGCAGAAGCTAGTAACTTTGGTAAATCTCCGACTTCGTTAACATCTGAAAACGATGACGAAACAACAGTGAGAGATGATGCACTTTCACCAATCGAAAAAAGTTTACATGATGGAATTTTAAAACCTACATCAATACCTATCAATATCATCGCTAAAATATCTAATAATTACACAGGGAATTATATCGAAAATAAATACTACAATAGTCGCATTGATGAGAACTGGGTATCAATTGCATTAACTTTATTTGTCCTTATGGTTATGGCTGTCATTGTGCTAGCATGTTCTGCATTATGCTTAAAAAAAGTTTTAAAGTAAGTATTTTAACATTATGCCTTTAAGTACATAATATATTAACTCTTATATGATTTTATAGAATACCTAGGCAAAAAGTAATTTTTTTTAAACGTTATTTAAAAAAAATAATTTAGTTTAAATAATACATAATTATATAATGTATACCCTATATTATGTAATTTGTACGTAACGATAAATCATTGGTAATGAAATACGATTCTGAGCGAAGTTAGATTAAAAATATTTTTAAATGTTGTAATGTTTATGATTTTTACCAAATTTAAACTTAAAACACTTATAAAAAAAACTAATATTGCCACTTGCCATCGAGTACACCTTAAAATGAACCTCGTTTAAAATATAATTATTATCAAAATAGCCAAAACAATTGTATCCACATAAAACTAAATAAAAACTAAAAAACTAGAAATGATATATGCCTATAAATAGTTTAAAAATCGCCAAGAAACTTTGAATCACATCTAGAAAATACCAACACAAGTATTTAATAGCAGGTCTTTACAATTATTTTAAACTGAATCACAATAAAAAAAAAAAAATCTATCTTTAAATAATGGAGATGGGTGCAGCCGCTGTTGTAGGTGAGAATTTGGGAACGTAATAGAGGAGAAATGTATATAAATACGATTCTGAGAGGAGTTAATACCATAATCATTGTTATATGGTCTGTGCCATAGATTTATGCGCTGCAATATTATAGCTAGCTGCACTGGAAGTGACAACCATGATTGAAATATAAAATTCAACCATAAATAATAAATAGATTGTTGTTTTTTTAAATTTAATTATCAATTATCAAAGACATGATATGATTATTGATAAGAACTTTGCTTATGTAAATAAGAAATTACCTATAATAGCCCCTTATAATTTGCTCCTTGTTTCATAAATTGCCATAGTTGCTTTCGTGTAGAATGTTATGTACAATGTACATAGCACGGCTATAGATAATATGGTTGCGGAACGACGTATATTAAACAACACAATACGCCGAGCCGGAACGTTATTAAAAATGCATGTAACTAAAATTACTAACCTGTCACGCCATCTATGATATTAATAAACTTGTACCACATTTTAGATATAATGCAGACCATTATGACGTACTAGCTTTCCCGCGCAAGTTTACATATTAAATACGAATTGAAATAGCAGTAGTAGTGTTTGATTTAATTCTTGAAAATGGCTAAATGTTGTGTGAAATATTACATAAAGTTTTAAAAACCACTTTCGTAGTCCCTAAAAACGAATATGAAAAAAATAAATGGGATAATGCATTAAAAACTGTTCTTAAAAAAAGTTATAGGGTGTGTGCTTCACATTTTATGGAGAATGACAAAGTATACTTGGGAATCCGATGAAGATGGAAATAAATACAAAGAATGAACATATTATTTCAGTGTACTTATATTATTACCATTTTTCAATAAATGATATGTTACTATTTAGACATGTTTTAAAGTTCCTAAACTTTTGGATGGAGCAATTCCATCAGTTTAAAGGATGAAAACTATCAAATTAAAACCAAAAAGAGGGAGGTATCAAAATTATCAAAATTGATCACTTCCTAAAACTAAATTTTTAATTATTATAGCTAATATAAAACTAGTAAGGTACTACCTATTGATAATTAAATAAATTAATAAATAAAAATACTTTAGTAAGAACTGTGAACCCAACTATTTATTTATTGCACACCATGAACATAAATATTATTGTATTACTAAATGGTAAATAATAATTACTATTTACTATATTTTACTTTTGTAACTCTGTCGTACTTGAGCAATAATATATTTATTAATGCGGTCGTACTAATCACTTAGAGAGCGCTGTATGCTGGTGTGAAAGCAAATATATTTTTTGAGCTTCACATTATCACGGTTCGTTCCGAAACCATATTATCCATAGCTATGATACATAGGTATCATCATAGACCTGATAATAATATGTTTATAGATCTATATCTACCATAGTATAAGTTTTTTTATTTTTATATTACTTAGGCAAACGCACAAAAGCATACCTGGCTATACAATATGAACAGTAATTTTGTCATGTACCTACACAATTTTGTACACATGGTAGTCAACGTGTTAATATAATTCAATACCTACATTAAATTTAAAAACTGTTAAAGAATTAAGTCCTCGCAATTAATTAGGCTATGCTACGCCCATGGAATACATACATTTTAAAAAAGACTGACATACTTCACACGTGGGTGGACTACTATTGTTAATGAGAAGTTGGGAAGGTAGAGTGGAAATTGAATATACATCCGAATGCAACGATTAGTCATTGTTAACGAAAAACTATTTTAAACAGATTTTAGTTCCATATGTTTTGAAAGACCGTAATATTTATGATTTAATAATAATACATTTCGTATAATTTCTCGTTTTTCCTACGTTTTTTTCCCATTAATTATGAAAACCCCTGGGAAAATCAAAAAATGATCTTCTTAAAATACTACCCCCGTCAGATTTCCTTTTAGAAAAACTGCTGTAATTGAATATCGGAGCGAAATTGGTGGTAGAAAAGTTGTCCACAGAAAAAAAAGATAAACGTCGTTCTAAAAATAACTACATTCCTCGCTCCGTTCAGAATCTAAAAACAAAATTTAAAATAGTAAAATATTTATTTTCGTACATTTTCCAGTTCTTTATGCGTTTTTTTTTCAGTTTTGCTCAATTATTAAAACAAATATAAAGAAAATCAGCATATAACTTTCTTATACTCATCAACTAGATCTAAAATACAACAAAAAAAGTCTTTTGTCACTCTATGATTTTAAGCAAGATTTATAGTAGAAAAAATTATTTACAAAAATGTAAAATCATGAAATCCTTAAGTAGGTACGCCGTAAATATTTGTCTGTGTATCCTTACGTTTTTTACCAGTTATGGGGAAAATCAAAAAATGCCTTATTTAAAATACCTCCCCAATCAGATTTTCTTTCAGAAAAGATGCTATACTTGATACTTCGGAGCAAGATTTCTAGTAAAATTTTTCTATACAGTATAAAAAAATTATGAAACATCTTTGTAAAATCAATTGGTACATTTTTCACTACACTCAGACTACAAAAGCACACACCACAAGAAAACCAATACGATTAGATATAACCTCAGAGGGGTATATGATGCTACGAGTTAATCGAACCAGGGGACCCCGAGGTTTTACTAGTAGAAAGCCCAGGTATGAGATTCTAGCAGGCATAATAGGTACCTATATTAATGATTCTTTAGGATGGATCCTCCTCTTATACTTGACAATACCATTCTCCCTATGGGAAAATACCCCCACGGTACATACCTCTACTTGTCGACTATCCTAAGTGGCAACAAATGAGATTGAGTCAGATCAACAGTCGGGATAAAGTTCTATCAAACCTACCTAGAAGAGTTCTAAGCAAGACTTAGTCGGATTGTTTCGTTTCAGATGTGCGCAGGAACAACAGGTAAGAAGAGGTACCATGGTGGATGATGTTTGTTGATGATATAGTTAGATAGCTTTAATAGAAAAAAATATGGAAGATTAGTAATAGACTTGAGAAATGGAGAGTAACACTTGAAGAAACGAAACTAATAATAATTAGAAGTAAAGCAGAGTACATAGGTACTGTGTATAGATACAGTGAGTTTAGAAAAACGGGACAAGACAGCTAACGAAAATAAGTGGGGTCGTAATAATAGGCGAGGTTGAGAGTTTAAAGCAGGTACCTGTATAATATTTGGTATCAAATAACGGTGGTTTTTACAAGTTTGTGAAACATAAAATTACTTGTGGTTGGATAAAGTAGAGAAAAATTATATGTGAAAAGAAAATTCCAATGAGACTTAAAATTATTTTCTACAAAAGTGAGGGGAAACTGACGATGTTGTATCTTGTATTGGGTGGTAGACAGAAAAATTGAACAGAGAATGAATGTAATAAGTATGAGAATTATTAGGTGGATAAGTAGAGTGACAAAAGAAGAAAGGATAAAGAATAAGTACCCACTTATATAAAAAAAATGAGGTAACTTAAGGGTGGCTTTGATTGTAGACAAAATCAACCGAGATAGTTTGGGTATATCGTGAAGAGAGTAGGTAATTAAAAGCAATAATAATATCCATGAAAATAAACACAAGAGGAAAGAGGGGCAAAGGAAGACCGTAAAAGAAATATTTGGATGTGATTAAGAACAGCCGGCGTATGTGAAATTAGGTCAAATGGAATGTAGGACTAGAGTGGCCTACCCCAAATAGTTGAAATGAAGGCGAAGAAAAAGAAGAATATGAAATTTGCAGGTCTCCGAAATTATTTTTAACCAGATTACAACAAAACAAGATACGGACATTATAAAAACGACGGACATAGATACGTTGCACGATAGGTAGGCTACTGTTGTAGATGAGAAGTTGGAAAGATAGTTTATAGAGAGGAATTCAATTTAGGTATAGGTATCTGTATATAACGATTAATCGTTGCTAACGAAAAACGATTCTGGGAGGAGTTCGGTTATACATGTTTTGAAAGGATGCAATATTTAAGATTTGAAAAAAAAATACATTTCGTGAATTTTCCAGTTTTTTCCATTTATTGAGAAAATCAAAAAATGACCTCCGTACATCAAATAGATCCCAAATGCTACAAATAAACTATTGTCATTTTTTGATTAGAGTAAGAATTTTGGCTTAAAAGTTGTCAACTGGCAGAAAACAAATAAATATAAATTTGCATACATAATACTATTACATTAAGTATCTAATTAAATAGGTACCTACCTAATAAAATTATAAAAAGACATCCTAAGATAATGGGGACAGATGCAGGCACTGTTATGGACAATTTAATGTATTTACATGTAAGTAATGGTTTATCGTTGCTTACAAAAAAATGATTTTGAACGGAGTTGATAGCGATGCTCAGTCAACAATATATGTCAAATATTTTATAGTAAAATAATTAAATAGGCCTTATATAATTTCTTTAATAATATTTGTTTAATGTTGTACCGATTTTCCGACCTTATATGACCATGTATGTAAGGTGTAAATACATGTTGTTCTAGATAAAAATTATGTCTACTAATTCGTAGTAGGGATGACTATGCTTTTGGTATACTAAATCAAAGTAATTATACTACAGACTATATTCTATTATACCTTGATATACACTACCTACCTACCTTATAAATGTTGGTTTACAACTCATAGGTATTTACAATGTAGCAAATTGACTCTACATGATATACTTACATACCATATTACTTTACTGAATAAAAAAAAAAATATTTAAACTTAAGCAATTAAATTTTACTAATAAGAGCATTTTTAATGCAAAAATAAGAAATAAAGATTTTAGAATAAAATATATATTTATATTCACTTACTTATTTAATTGTATTAGATATCAGCCAGCTTAATTTTATATAGGTAATTAGTTCATGTCATATTACCTATTAAAATACATTTGTTTTTATCAAATAGTGATTTTAAAGGTTTCAAAAACATTTTTCTTTATCAAAAAGTAATAATATCAGTATTAATAATTCTAGTAGGTACTTACTACCTACCTACTAGAATAATTGCATAGAAAACATTGTCAGAAACGTTAATAGGGTCAGGAATATATTTTTAATTTATCATGTTAGAATTTATTGAATACCAATTGAGGTGAGATAGTAAAAAGGTCAATAAACCAAGTTTTTAAAGATCAGTTGTATTATAATAAAATATATTCAATTCTATCTGAACCTTTCTATAATTCCAATAGTTCGTTCACATTAAAAAAATTATGTTTAATCTATAGCTTTTAAATTTGTGGCTGCTCAAGGTTTAATATTGAAAATTAAAACTTTTAAATTGATATTTGGTTTCCTTTAATTAGACATTTATAAAAATACAACAAATTTAAATGGTTATATCACAAGCTACCTTTATATATTTTTAATTAAATATATTAATTTTATTTCCATGGGTAATGCTTCTATGCTAATATAAAATATAATAATTTATCCAATAATAAGTTATTTTAATTAATTTTTCAGTTTGAAAATATCAAAACGACAACTGCTGCTTGAAGATTGTGATGAATCTGCAATGAGTGATCTGATACACGTCCAACATGTATAAATTGCAAATCCACAAATAAAGAAATATACAATATAAATATTACACAAATATGTATTCTATTTAACTGAATGAAAACAATTATGACTAAAACAACCATGTATACATTTATTAAGAATCATTTTTTTTTAATTATCAATGGCCCAACATTGTCCTGGTGTTCTTTGTTGTACTTAGTATGAGCTCCATCGCAATAAGGAAATTTTGAGCTTCTCCAACAACGACAGAATGCTGTACTTTCAGCTAATTCTTCAATGTCAAAACCATCAACAACTTTTGGGGATTCTTTTTTAAATGCTGGATTGACTGGCTATAAAAATATTAAGAATAATAATGCAATGCAAATTAGTCAATTCAAATTAATTAACTAGTTAAATTATTATTAGTTCTTACGTTTTTTGGTTTGATAACTCTATATGACAGATAACATACACCACCAATTGTAGCATAAAATGGAATTAATTTCACTATGTCCTTAACTATAAAATACATAAATAATTAAGACATTTATTTAGTTTCATAATTTAAAGAGTAAGGTTATTGCATGAATAATTTGTAATTTCCTTGAATTACTTGGTAGAAATATTCAAATTTTACATTTCATAAAATTAGTATTTTTATTAGATACCTACATTATTAAAAACATAAAATATAACTCAGTTAATAATTAAAAATGTCTAATTTTCTATTGTATATAATAATTAATAAAAAAATCATCAATCCTAATAATTGTGTACCTTAAATTGTTTTCTGCAAAAATTCATTATTTTAACAAAAGTTAAAAATTATACTCGTTTTTATATATCTATAAAGGTGCTAAATTATATACTTACTATTCTCTTTTAGGGCTCTCGCAAACTACAGATTTTTTGTCGGCTAATAGTTTAGTCGGGTTCTTAATTAGTATGATAATATATGCATGTACGTGCATTTTAACGATTTGGTATCAGCCGATAAATAAGTTTGATGGGCTACACAATTGCTTTCAAATTAAAGCATCGGTAAGCTATTTAAACTAATTCTTTAATAAACATGGTGCTCTTACATGCGTGCACACTTGAAGATTATTTAGTTTGCCAATACTTTCAATTCTCTCTAAGCTTAATTCATAAATGTGTATCCTCCTTTGCTATTGCTGGTCCAATTAATTTGATGAGTTTGTTGAAGCTGGTTATACTCAATAACAGTTGAAGAATTTTTTTGGGAAATTTAGTAATTTGTAATGCTTCTTATATAACTTTCCTTGCAATAATTTATTACTGTAGATGGAATACATTAAATACTGTCGGTTTCTCTTCTTAATCTTTCTTTGTTATATAAAAACAATAATAACATTTTTGAACATTTTAATTTTACGCGACCATTCTTTACAACAGTAGTTTATCAACTATTGAATTATTTAAAAGTAACCGACTGACTATTGGCTAACTAGACTATTTAGTTGGTCCAGTGTACGCACTAGCAGCCTAATCTGATTGAACTATCGACGGATGAAAAGTCTGTAGTTTGCGAAGGCCGAATTATATATATCAATTTTGCATAATTTAATGAATGATAAATGTGGTATTTTTTTGTCCAATAGAAAAAAATTCTTCCGGGTATTTAGTATCATTGGACATTTAAAAAATTAGCTATTTATTATTTATAAGTAAATATTAAATAATAAATAAACAATTTTCAGAGTGAGATATACAGTAGAAACCATTTATAATGACATTCAAGGGACTAGTTAAAATTAGTCATAATAACCAAAAAAATAAAATAAAATTTAAAATCATGGTTATATTCTTACAAATATGTATATGGATTTATATTCCTAAATTATGACTTCAATACACACAAAAAAAAATAAAATAAAAAGTTGTTTTATTATTTTAAAATAAAATGTATATTGTTTAAAAAAAACCTGTTATCTTGGTTTGTATAATAATCATATAGTATTTTTTTTTTTCAATTTCTTTAAAATTTGTTTGACTTTTCCAATTTAATCAAAAATAACCGTCATAACATTCATATAGTTAATATACAGACATCATAATAATCAATACAATTTAGTACATACAATATAGGAGTTTTTCCGGGACCTTCAATCTAAGGTCATTGCATCTGATATGAAGTATTGAGAAGGAATGAAGCTTGGAACACGTTCCTTTTCAAATATAGGAACGAGTAACGGGATAGAGTTCCTATTTATATGAAACGTGAATGCAAATTTCAATTCCTTCTATTAGAAAAAAAAAAAATGAAACTCTCATTATTAGTGATAATATTATTTGGAAATTTTTTAGTATTGGTATCATACTTCATGACTTCATAACATGACTGTAAAAAGACACAAGTGATGCTTTGTTAGAAAAATTAGCCCTTAAACAAAATAAAATAAATACATTTATTTTTTTTTTTTATAATTAATAAAATATTATATTTTGAGTAAATTGATGATCAATTTTTTTTCCAGTATTGTTTTTTTTCATTTTTTTGGGTAGGAACTTGGAAATTGGCTTTATTTAATTTATAAGGATTTTAAACATGTAGATTCTAAGAAGTAAGAATAGTTTCCAACTTTAGTTATCCTACCTTCCCAACTTCCCACCTACTACAGTAGCTGCACCCATCCCCGGTATTTTATTTATGAATATGTAATATGCATATTCATGAAAAAAAAAAGATGCTTAAAGGAACGAGTAACAGGAAAAAATTCCTTTATAAATGGAACTTTCCCAATACTACTGATATGTCACTACAACTGGTGTCATTATAAAGGATATCTACTGTACATACCACATATGTTAGTATTGAGATTCTTTATCTAGGGTTAATTTAAAAGTAAAACAAATTTTATTAGTTATATAGATATGTTTAATGTCTACATTATTTACTTATTGGTTTTCTACAAATATAATTTGTACTTATTTTTTGTTATTGAAATTTTACGATTTTTAGTTTTTTCAGATTTTGGGGATAATGTTTTTATAGGTATAATGGTCTAACAGAAAAAAGTTTATGAACAATAAACAATAAATAACAATTGTGATATTTTATCTATTGAATATTGAAATGATTAGATTGGAAATGAAAAAGTAAAAAATAGGTATTTTTCGTTATTTTTTTAATATAATCTACTACAAAAACAAAATTAATTGTAATACAATAATTATGTAAGTAAATTTTAAAAAATTGAGACAATTTTTAATTAGAAAAATGTATCATTTTGTTAGGACTTTTAATATAATATAGTTTTTTATTTTTAGTAAAAATGTGTGTAACATTAAAATCATAGTTGTAGGTTATTTTGGTGTAGAAAACCATGGTTATAATTAATTATTAGTGAAATTTATTTGCTTAATATCCCAACTTTGAATAGTAATATAATATCACATAAAAATAAATATTAAATATACTTACCACCCAATTTGAAAATACCAACAATTGAATTAGGCAAAGGCAAGTTGGCCAAGTAGTTGGCTAAATGAACTTTAATTAAATTAGAACTGAATTCCATTTTTTTATTAAAAAAATAATGTTCACGAGTATTTTGTGAGGTACTTAGATACTCAATAAAGAATTAATTTTAAAATAACAAACTTATAATATATCAAATTAATGTTCGTGAAAAAAAACCTGATATTAATACATCATTAATCATTAAATACCAACTCAAATTGCCTATTACAACTTCAACAACTGATTATGAGTTATGAATCTTATGGTTATGACTAGAAAAATTATTAATTTAATGGTTAAGAAATATGAAATATTTTTACTTCAGTGTAGCAATGTGTAATACATTTTATGGCAATTTCATTATTTTTACTGATAAATGATAATGATTTTAAATCAATTTTGAAAATATGTAATCCGTCAATAAAACTCTAAATCCCTTGAGGGTATTATGATATCAAATTAAAATAAGGTTTTATATTTTTACACCGTATAATGATTTAAACCAATAACTAATAATTATTGACGTACTTAACAAATTGTTAAACTTAAATTATGTACTATCAATCATCAACAATTTAGCATTGACAAGCCAATCACCAATTGGTAACACTGTAATTTTATCTTTTTGTCAAATTTCAGCTGATTTGTCATCAACTCAAGATGTACCACGAAAGAAGTTTACTGCTCTAGTGTACTGTACTGACAAATGACAAAGTACCTTAGAGAAAATTTATATTGTTATTATATTTTTTTAGAATCTATCGTTTGAATTAATTTTTGAATTTTTTTTTGCTTATTTTAACGTTCGTTAATCGCGTGACCAATTAATGTTATGTTTAATTATGTTTAATTATGTTTTATAATAATGTGTCCTGTAATTGAAAAAAAGCATTTAAATTTTGGTTTAAAACAACAAAAGAAATTGTAGCTACGATGTAGTTATGTAATTTTCTACCAAAGTTAAACACTTTGCCAAGTTGCAGGGTTTGAATACTATTGTGGATTGACATTTATTGCAGTCACCATGGGGACAATAGCCACTGAAGAGTTTGATCTTATGAAGGATTCAAAATATCGAATGTAAGTTCATTACTTATCTATAGTTGATTTATTTATTATGTAGGTGTTACCTATTTTTTTTTTTTTTGATTATAATCTGTAGTGTCGATTATATGAGTCATTTGGTATCTAGTAAAATTTTGATATGTATTTTGATAAATATATTTTTAGTTGAAGTTATGAGTCACTTTATATTTTAGTATTAAATATTAAAAATTATTAATTAATAATTTATGCTGTACAATTAACTAAAAATTTAAAAAACCAACCTTTTACAATCTATGGATTAGATTTGAATGAATTACCTTGATTTGAGTTCGGTCAATTGGGTGTTATTTTAAATTGATCATATTAATATTATATTCAATACCTAAATTAATTAATTATAGCAAATTTCTCTTATTTTAATAATTTTAACTAAATGTGTGATACCTATTTATAATTTGATACTACTTTTTGCAAGGTTATTAACAAAAAATTAACTTAAAAATATAACAATGTAAGTTAGGTAGACATGTTGCCAAATATTTATATTTTTAGTTGTATAAGAAAATAATACTTATTAAGTAGGTAGCTATTTAATAATTTGTGAATTTTTAAAATCTAATTGCATTTAAAATTTTAATTTATAGTTTAATTTTCTTACTTTACAACCTCTCTGTTTAATTACAAATTAACCAATCATATTATAGATATTGTACTTAAAAATATATATATAAAAAAAAAAGTTAGCTAATTCTAGATTCTAATTCTAATTCAGGTGTTTTCTATTTATAATTCTAGAAACATGTTATGACTGATATTAGATACTTACCAGGCAGTTATTCTAATATAAATACATATTTGGATAACTACTTACTATAACTATACTTATTATAATGTACTGATTCTGGTACTTGCATTTAAAAATTAGTTTTTATTTTATTTTTTCAATTTCCTAATAAAGAATACCAAATGTTCTTGTTTGTATTTAAATTAAAATGTATTTACATAAGATAATTTATACAAATTGAGAAGTTTCCAGGTAGGTTAGGTAGATACTTAGAGACATATATTTTTTTTATATTGTACTGAGATTGTATACAATTCTTTTCAAATATGTATCTCTATACTAAGTAGTTGAAGTTCAATTATGTTTAATTTTAGTTAGGCAATTATGGTATCTTATAATATTTTGTTTAACTTTATACAAAACTGCATTCAATTTTGATGTTGAACTATTAAAAATTGTATTAATTTAACACATATACTTGTCTAAATAAAAACACCCATGAGCAGCAGAGTTCTGTCAGTACAGTCAAATTTCCCCCCACCTATTTTGTATCGTATAAATATTCTTTATGTAATAAATAACCATATATTGTAATTTATAATGATCAATTAATCAATGCTATAATATACCACCTAATTATATAAAAAAAAATTGAATTTGAACATTAGAGTAGTTTAGACAGAGGTTGCTAATTGAAACTCTTAAAAACACATTCTTGATACAAACTACTCCCTAATAAATAAATATCATGCACCTGGCTTCATTTAGAGTCTTCAAGGGTATTCAAAAAAAACATTCTTCAAACAAAACCTCATAGTAAAATTCATATTGAATCTAACTTTTATTACTTCAATCTATTTATAAAACAACTCTTATTTCCTTGTTTGAGCTCTTTTGGTCCAAAGGTAAGAAAATTATATTTATTTATTCATCTATTTATATGTAACAGACTCCTAATTAAATTGGAAAAATAAAAGAAGAGGGACTATGAGACTTTAAAAAAAATTAGTGTAAAATATGTATCTTATCAACATAAGATAATGTCAACGTAAAAATAAAAGATTTTTGAAAATATAGTAACATACACCAATCTTGTTAATAGGTCTTCAATTTATGAAAAAAACAACATTATTGAAGACTAATATTTTGCTTACATATGCATTTTTATTTTTATTTCTACAATAAATTTCTATGATGTGTGTTTTTTTTTAAAATCTGTAAACGATTTGTATAGTTAATCCAGTAAGGTCATTATTTTGATTTTTGCAATATTCTTAATAAAAGGGAAAACTTGAGAAAACATTTACACAAAAACAGTTTCTGTTATATTTTAGTTTGTTTTTTTTAATGTAATTTAGTGAAAAATAACCACTAAGACCGGAATTTCCATTGAATACTTATATAAACTTGTATAGCTTTTTCCAGGCATACTATTTTTCGGTTGTTTATAGCCATTTGAAATTGTACAAGAAAGTTCCTATAAAGTTTTTGATTGGAACAAGGTTTCTGGTAGAAAAATTGTTAACAGATATACTTAAAAACATAACAAAATCATTACATTCTTTGATTCACTAAGAATCTAAAAATTTTTAAAATTTTTTTAATATGGACAGATTATAATATATGCAATAATTTTTAAATTAAACCTTTATGTTTATATTACCCAATATTTACTTAGAGAACTTGAGTAACTAAGTATTTTTTACAGAAATTGATGGGTAATATATCAATATTTACCATTTGCTTTATATAAATCTAATGATTAATGAACTTTAAATTAAAATATATTTAAACATAAAATAATTAAATTTAACTTTTATAACATTTCAAGAATTTATACTTGGGAATATATATTTAAAAATTAAATTGGTAAAGTTTAATGTTAAGTTTTTATTACACTTTTATTCAGGCATGTAAAGGAACCTTTTAAAATATATGGTTAATGACATAAAATTAATTCTCATCCTATTCTAAAATAATATGCAACAGAATATGTTTCATTTTCAATAAATATAATAAATTAAATAAATTAAAATTTGATTTTAGATGTAACAATTTCTACAGACCCATTATTCAGGAGTCCCATGGGGAAGGTCCATTAATATAGTTTTTTATGTACATATTATAGAAATTTAAAATATTAATACGCACATATTTTATTAAATTCTAACATAGTATTTTATAATTAAATTGTTTATATAGTTAACTGTATAGTATATAATATGTTAAAGCTAACTGAAGTGCTTGGCGCAATAACCAGTTAAATCCGATATATATATATAGTTTTTAGTGAAATTAGATTTATTTTGTTTTTGATTTAACAACCAGATAACTCCAGAGGTACACCACCAATAGAACATTAAGATATGATATTAGAAATATACCAAGTTTTTTGGTAAAAAACATTTTTTTTTTTAAATTTTCATTGTTAAAAAAAAATATTTGTGTTCATACTGAACAATTTTAAAAATTGGATTTATCTGGTTGTTACACCAAGCCCTTCATACTGGTCTTGTTCAACCATAATAATTATTATACCTCTAATTAGTTTTTGTAAAGAAACCAAGTTATTGTGACTCCACTATTTACTTCATTGCAAGATCAACTAAATAATATTTAAAATAATAAATAAAAGTTACATTATGTGTTTAAATTTTCCACTTATGTACCTATTGCTTTAGTATAATTGAATTAAGTTTCACCTTTTAATAAAGTTAAATATAATCTATCGACCACAATTTAATTGTATCGGTTGTGTTCTATAATATAACTAGGTACCTCTAAATTGGATCTTTAGTTTTAGTTGACAAACTAACAGTATTACTCAGTGGGAATGTGAGAGGGCGATACTGGTTTCTGAACCACCCTTGAAGCTTGTTATATGTAAGTATACAGGGTGCCCTACAAAGATATACCCATTACAATATCTTTTAAAATAATAATGATAGTCAAATTCTTTTGCTGGTGTAAGGATTACAAATATTTATATTTTAACTAAATTGTTATGTTTTAATGAAATACTTAAAACACTAACTTTTATTTTATTATTTTTTGAAAAATTTGAAGCTCATCATTTTATAGAGTTTTTCTTCTTAAATGTTGACATATTGACTTTTTATTTTTATTAAATTTATGATTTTTAATAATTTACTAAAAATAAAGTTTATATGTAAACATTTTCAAAAGCATATAAACTTTATAAAATAGCTATCTTCAAATTTTTTGAAAATAAAAAATAAAGTTATTGTTTTTTTCTAAAACATAAAAATTTAATTAAAATAAAAATATTTATAGTCCTTATCCATGTGAATAATATGTATAAAAAAAAAAAAACAGACTTTGATGATCTTTATAATCTCTGAAGATATTACAATGGGTACATCTTAGGGGAACCCCTTTTACATAAAAACCTATGCATACAAATTGTTCATTTGATCTGAATTTTTATATTGCAAAGCAATTAATAATTTTGTGACAGTATAAACCGTTGAACCCTCCCCTACTCTTAAAAAAAATGCTAGTTGCACCACTGGTACAAGTGTATATTATATTGTTTACAGAAGTATAATTTTTAATTGATGAGAATTGCCCATAATTTAAAATAATATTATATGAAACAAAATTTTAAATGTCATAAGTAGGTATTCATAATTAATTCAAGATGTAAATAATAATATTTTTTTAGTACTTTTCAAGCATTATGTTATACATAAAATTAGATAATTTTTTTTTTATCTAAATTCCATCCATATTTAAAATGATATTTTTAAATTATCATTGAATTGTACTTAAGTATGTTAGTATTAGGTATAGGTAATTAATCAAACATTATTAAATGATTAGGTAGGTATTTAATATCTATATTTGATAATTCTGGTGGTATGTTATATTATCGTATGTATTAATGGGTAAAATTAAACATTTATTTTTAGTTTTTTCGAACATTTTGTAGTTATATATACTATATATGTAGCTAGTTAAAAATTAATATTTCAACAAAGTTGTTTTACACACATTTTTAATATAAATATCCTTAAAAATGTATAATATATAAAAATAAAAAAATTGAAAAAAATAATAATTAAATAAGTTTCAGGGTGTGTGAAAATATGTACAAACAAGTAAAACAAAATATTATATTATTAGGTTCATTTAATTAAAAAAAGAAGCTTTATTTAATTATTTTTTCACATTTTTTAGCAGAGGTATGTAATATGAATAATTATACCAAATAATATAATTAAATTAATTGACCTGAATAATTATCTAATAAAGCAAAAGATTAACGAATACAACATTATTTATACCTACTCATACTTTCTAACACATTTTTCGTGCACAATTAATTAGTTTTTTTTGGTATTTTAAAAACTAGTTGGGTACCTATTTAATTGAAACATTCTTTTTATTCCCGATTTACCTACTTTTAAGTTTTTAGTATATTTTTATATTATCTAAAAATGTCTATAACAAGTCAGGATAGAAAGTTAAATACTAAAAGTAATGATTCATAAATCATCATCGCATTTGGTAAATGGTTTTATATAAAGCAATAAAGCTAAGAATTAAATTGTTGATAATTGCATGCATTTTTGGATTATTTTAAAGGCGTTGATGACTTGATACATTTTAAATTTTTAAATCTTTGCCCAAATTTTGATTTGAAAACTTCAATTTTCTTTTAGGGTTAGTCAAATAATATTATTTTTATTTAAATTTATCATTATTCAATACATGAAAAGCAGCACTCTCTGGTTACTGGTGGAAACAGTGATTTCCCTACAAAATTTTATTTACATTAAAACAATTTGTTTTTAAATATTTTAAATTTTCCAGAAATAGGTAAGAAAAATGTTAAAATAATAGTTAGTAAAATTATTTTTAATTCAAATAATAAATTTTGGTGAAGTTGGGGAATTTAGTTTATAGTTTATTATATTTAGAAAATATCTAAGAATTATCTAAATATGAGACTTTTATTAGATTATTATTATTTTATTTATCATTTTATAGATGTTTTATTATAATTTTCAAATAATAGTTTTTAACAAAAAATTTAAATAATTTGATTTTGTGGACTCAGTATACTTTTTATTCAATACATAATATAATTGTTACAGATTGTTTTTGTAAAATGATTTATGTTATTTTCACTGTAACTTTTACCTCTTATGGGTGTTAAAAATCAAAAAATTTAATAGTTCATTGGTAAATAAGTATTTGTCTTTAATATCATACTACATGTATCCAATATTATTTTTTTCATTACTAGGGGGTCCTGCACAAGTTTTAAATAATAGTAAAAGTAAAAATATTTTTTACCAGTTAACATTTCTTTGTTAATTCAAATATTATTGTTTTAAATTTGTATTCAAGGTTAATCACAATAAATTTAAATTTGCCATTTTTCCTTTTAATCATTTCAAGGTTGAATAATGGTATTGATTTATTTTTATATTTTGATAAATATTTTTGAAAATTATAATTTTAAAAAATAAAATAACAATGTAATAGGTAGGTACCTAACTAAAATTAAAATACACACTTTTCTAAAGTACTCATTTTTGTTTATTTTAGCCTGTTACTCAGAATTTAGTCTAATAAAATATTTGTGTACAAGTATTTTTAAAAAATTATTGAAATAAGGGAATTCAAATTCTGGAGAAGCCCAAAAAAGGTCTAGTTGCACCTATAATTAAATCATATAATAAACAGAATATTAGTTTTGATTACATTCCTAAATTTTGATACCTGGATTTACATTGTTTTTCAGATATGCACTGAATAATTAGTTATTTTTCAACACATCTTTTTTTATGCAGTTGAACATTTTATTATTCAATACTCTGACAATTTAATAGTATATTACTTCAGTTTACTTAACACTTGTGTAATTATTTAATGACTGAAGTCTTCAGTCATAAATATTTGATTTTATCTTATATTGATTTAAATAACTATTTTTTTACGATATTTTCTAAGCTGTGTACTCTTGTTCAGTACACTATAAATAAATATTATCTTTTAGATTTTCGAATATCCCCCCCCTTTTTATATTTGTATAGAGAATATTTTTTTCTAAAAATATTGATGCACATTAAATCAATATTAGTTGCTATAATTTTAAGTTTAGGCTTGAGAAGTAGGAAAGGTTTTTCATCTAATAGATATAGATTCCCTAGTAAAATTAAAAGCATAACAAATTAAAAAAGCAAATTTGTAAGATTTCATGATATGTTATTTACAAATGTGTCCATTTCTTGAAGTATTAATAATACCAAAATAACAACATTGTTTATATTTAAAAAAAAAAATAAAAACCTTATTAGCAGTAAGTTGAAATTTGTCACTGGAGTCAAATTTTCCATAACCTATTTAGTATTAAAAAAGAATATTATAATAGCATTATAAGCAACTATTCTATACTACACCATTTAAAAATATATGATTTCCAATGATGAAGTTTGAACATAATAATGCTAGAGTAGAGGGTTGAAATAGGAAACACCCAACAAAAGACACATCCTTGATGCTAGCACAATGTATAAGTTACATTCAAATTGCATGCAAAAAAAAAAAAAACACAAAATTCAAATAGTATGCCATCTCTTAAATGGATCTGTCTGAATTGCATGCCATCTCTTACAGAGGTCTTTCCGAATTGCATGTCATGTATAATTTTCATATCAATGATGATGAAAAAAAAATTGCAAAAAGCTGGAAGGAAAATGTTACTTTTAAATTTCAATTCAGTAATTAATAAAAAGTTGGTAAATAAAGGCATAATATTCTTAATATTTTTTTTTATGATTATCATTGTTGTTATTACTTTTCGCTTTTTAAAATGTTTGAAGTCTAAATTTAAAAAATTAAGTCTTAATAAGTCAAATTTAAACGTTATGCAATTTGGACAGACCTCTGTAAGAGGTGGTAGTCATGTGATTCTAACAGATTCCTTTATAAGATGGCATGCAATTCAGATGTTTCAATTTATATTTATTTTATTGCCATGCAATTTGGATGTACTAAATGTGTATACATTTCCCTTATTTTTATTTGGGAGTTCTATGAGAGTGTTCAAACAAAAAAAAAACTCCTACAAGAACATGATAAAATTCAACCCAACTTTAATCACTTCAGTCTATAAAACAACTTCAGTGTCTAAGTTCAAGCACATTTACTCCAGTTGGAGCTACTTAAAGTGTTAAAAAGTAGTAGGAAATATACATAGCAAGGTCAGTACATTAAATACCTATTTCGCGACTAAGTTTGACATATACTTGAACCACATGTTCAATTTCCAAGCATTTCTATTTGACCAAACAGTTTTAATTACATAAAATCAAATAAAAACTAGAAAATGTCAAATGACTAAAAATAATTAAAAAATCACAATACTGCTTTAAAAATATTGTCATGTTCAAAAAAACTAATATAAGTATTTTGTGAAAATGTTAGAACTCTACTGTTACTTTTAACTAAGTTACAACAAACAAACAAAAACAAAATAATTAAATTGTTAATTCCATAAACTTTTCCATTTTTCAATTATTAGGCAAACTACATGGAAAATCAAGTATAAACTTTCTTATTAGACAAAATATGCTATTTTTAAAATTTGAAGTAAAATTTCTGGTTGAAAAGTAAAATCAAAAATAATGAAACTAATATTGTCATAAATTTATCTGTCTTTACAATACCTACATTTTTTCCCGATGATTATAAAACCTACTTAGAAAATAATAAAATAACCTCCCTAATATTATCTTGCAATCATCATTAGACAGCGCGCTCACTCTGTTTAGTTTCTTGTGTCTTCTTGTGAGACTATTTCAAATTCTTTATTTAGACTGATCGTCCCAACGACAGGTGGCTCACCTTAAGGACAACATTCATCAAGCAATAGTCTATGTACGTGATGCTAAGCTGTAGAGAGTCACCCTAACTTCTGAATTCGGCTTTAAAAGTGTTTGGACAATGATACACGATGTTTGATGTTGTATTCAAAACCAAAACATTTCTTTTCGAGTATTTTCATGAAAAAAAAAAAAAAATTGAAATTGAAATTACTAATACTTTTTGTTTTATTTTATTTGTTTTGTTGATTTGTTTGAACTTTAAAAAAAAGGAAGTAATTCTGTCAGAACCTGTAGCTTGTATAATATATATAATAGATACAATACAATGCAATAGTATTTAGTATCAGGGACAATTCCATAAAACAATGTTATTAATACATGATTACATTTTATTTCTATTTAAATAAAAACTTAATCACAAAATATTATAGCTCAACAACTATTGTTTTACACTTATAAACAAAAAAAAATAATATTATAAACGGGGGTCATTCAAAAATTAAGTTTCAATAGGCCTTATATTTTTCTCAAATTAATATTTTTGAAATTTGATGGCAACATTGTTTGAAGAGCTTACCCATAGTATTTATAGTAAAATTGAACTTAGTCGAAAATCGTATTAGTTATTATTTACCATCATAGTTTGCTCTGCAGTTATGTTCATAATTGAAATACAGTCAGTGATCAGAAAAAGTAATTTCGAGGTAGATAGTTGAGAAGTGGTATGATAGAAAATAAGAAAGGCGATAAAGAACGAACGATCCGGGAAATTTTCAAAAGGCATTGTTCTTCTCCATTACAATGCAACTCCACATTCAGCGAACTTTACAGACATTTTTTCAAAAAAATCAGTGGAAAGTTTGGAAACGCTCTCCCTGCAGTCCAGATTTGTCGCCAAGTGATTTTCCAAGAAAAATTAGTTAGCAAAGGACAATCAGATGAAGAAGTGAAAAATGTCTCTAACAATTGATATTTACAAACTGGATGGAGTTTTTCAAACAAGGCATCTCCAAACTCGTTCAGATCTGAAAAATTGTTAAACAGTAGTCCTCAAACTGTGCTCCATGGAGCCCTAGGGCTCCTTGAGAGTAGGCTAAAAGCTCCGTGAGCACATCTGTATTAATTAAATTCAAATCATTATTATATTTCTTAGTTTCTTCCAATTTCTTTAGATTTAAAGACCTAATAATAAAATTGTAGTAATAGTTGTTGCATTCTTCATTGTCAAGCATTCGATATTAAAATGATGCCAATACATCTTAAAAATGTCCTTGATGAGGCAGTGAAGATTATAAATTTCATGAAATCTCAACTATTGAGCACAATACTGTTCACAACTTTGTGTAAAGACATGGGAAGTATTCATAAATCACTACTTTACTATACCAAAGTAAGACACTTGAACGCTTACTTGAATTGCTCAATGAATTGTACGTTTTTTTAATGAACACCCATTTAATTTACAACTCAGACTTACTGATAAAATTTGGTTATTTGGACTTAGTTACTTGGCTGATATTTTCACAAAATTAAATGAAATAAATTTATCAATAAAAGGTAAAACTACAACAGTTTTCACGGCAAATCAAGAAATCCAAGCTTTTTAAAAAAAAATTTAATCTTGGGCTGTGTGTTTTTCTCAACATAAAATTGATAATTTTGCTTTGTTAAATAAATTTATAGAATTGATTGATGGTAATATTGAAGAAATTGATGAAATATATGACGAAACTGAACAACATTTAAATAAAATACTGTCATCATTCGAAAAATATTTTCCAGAGAGTTAAGGTATAGAATTTAACCAACAATAAAATTGGGTTAAAAATCTATTTTTAATCAATGACAAGCTTCATCTCTAACAGAGTATAAAGAATTTATTAAAATCACAACCAATTCATTGTTAAAAACTTTATTTGATATAATATCATTAACAGTTTTTGGTACAGTATCAGTATACTAACGATTAACAAATATCAATCTCTAGCTAAAAAAAACTGTACTAGCACTTCTTCCTTTTGCAACAACATATCTGTGTGAAACTGGATTTTTATCATATGCATCAACAAAAACAATATATCGCAATAAATTAGATGCTGAAACAAACATGCAAATCCAACTCTCGTCTATTAAGCCAAATATTAAAATATTGATCAATGAAAAAAGCCAAAATCATGGATCACATTAAAATCATTAAATATTATTAAAACATATAAATTCCTAAAATTATATGTTCTTCTTTTCTATTAAGTTAATTAAATAATTTTTATACATTAGTATTTTAAATTAAAAAAAAAATTAAAAAGGAAATCATTTACAATTTACATAATTTTATATGAATTATTGTTGTCTCAAATAGATATTCCTTTTTTGGGGGGCTCTGTTCATTTTTTTAGGAACATAAGGGCTCCGTGAACATTTTTGATTAACCCTCATAGATAAGAGTAAATAAATACACTAAAAAACAACCATATAAGACGAAATTTTCAATTCATTCTTTATTAGATACTAGTATATTATAGTATAATAGCATTGTTTATGGATAATATAGATGAGATAGTACTCAATAAGATGCAAAAAAATGAATTATAATTATTATCACTCCAAAAAAAAACTGATTATCATATACTAGGTAATACAAAATAGATATGAGACTAAACATTTATTTCAATTTTTAATATTTATAAAAATATATATTTATAACTTATTATGTTTTACAGGAATTTATTAATGTAATTTTTATTTATTATCTTAGTTTCAGTTTAACAATAATTAATAGAATATGTTTTTCAAATAATTATTTATTGTTAAAAGAGTTATATTTTTGTTACAAGTTCCAATCAATATTTATAAAACAATTATTCCCCTGTATCGTTAACTTACAGAGTTAATTATTACACATTTACTTATATTTTATATTAAATAATTGATAATTTGATTTTTATTTATTTAGTCCAATAAAAATCTAATTGTCTACAATATTTTAAATGTCAATCAAAAATATATTTCTAATATATTATATTTTGGATAAAAATAAAACTCTTAGACTTATATTCTTTTTTATATTTTTAGAATATAATTCTTAGGGTTAGGTCATAATTTACTTATAACTAGTAGTAATATTTTGAATCGATACTACTTTGGTGAACATAATATAACACAATCCAGCCTTGAATCTTACTCTTTCTATATAATTACTGGATAGTGTCATCCAAATGAATTCTTATAATATTGCTATTTGAAATTTCTTACTTTTTTTTATTACTATTATTATTATGATTAGAATAAATTGTTTACACGTTATTGTCTATAACATGGTATGCTATGTATTTCAAGGCTAAACTAATAATATTTTTACTATTGTGATTGCTCTTAAACTAAAATTGAACACATTTTATGGAATTGTTTATCATTGAAGTAATCTTTAAAACATTAATTTTATTATTATTTGTTTATTTTCAGGTATGTTAATGCTGTTGATAAAGCATTGAAAAGTTTTGAGTATACGAGTGAATGGGCAGATTTAATATCTGCTCTAGGAAAATTAAATAAGGTAAAATTATTGATTTTATGATAGTTAATAAATACAATTTACATAAATTATGGTTTATGTTTTATTTCACATTTCAACACTATTTATAAAAAATAAAAAATCTATTACCTTTCAATTCAGTTTTTCTAATTTTTAAAACTCTGTTTGGAAATTAAAAATAGTTAAACATTTTTGGCATGAGAATATATTTTAGATTGTTATAGTCTACAATTAGTTTAATTTTTATACGTGACAACACTTGAACATTTAAAAAAAAATCTACTCAAGATAAAAACATTTAATTTTATTGTTTAATTTTTGTATTTATTTAAAATCAAACAATTTGGATTAATTCCATTTCTGTATGAATGGTTTAAATTTAAATCTATTAAATCCTAGTGAATATTACAGAATTAACGAATAAAATTAATTATAAAAAAGATTGACATACTTCTCACGATGGGTGGGCCATTGTTTAGGTGAGAAAGTAGGATATAGAGGGAAATTTAATGTATATATGTAGGTAACTATTAATTGTTGCTAACAAAAAAAGATTCAGAGGGAAGTTCAGTTATATATATTCTAAAAACAGTTATATTTAAGATTTTAGTCAAAATTTAATATTAAAAATTCTACATTAGGTAAGGTACTATCAATTATTTTTTTTAAGTGCCATTTGATTTTCAATTATAACACTTTTTCTGAAAGTAAATCTATTAGGGTGGTACTTTAGAGAGGTAATTTTTCGATTTTCCCTAAGAGTTCCCAGCAAATGTAAAAAAACCCGGATAGAACATGAGAAAAACGTAGGGAAACTGGGAAAATCGGTACAACATTAAACAAATATTATTAAAGAAAATATATAAAGCCTATTTAATTATTTTATTATATGACATATATTGTTGACAAAGCGTAATTATTAACTGAACTCCCCTCAGAATCGTTTTTTCGTAAGCAATGGTTCATCGTTGCTTACATGTATACATTAAATTATCTATTACAGTGGCTGCACCCGTCTTCATTATCCTAGGACGTCTTTTTAAGCCTGATTTTATAATTATTATCAATTAACTTTGGGCACGATTTTTGCAACATTTTGTTTTTCTAGTTTTGTACATAGATCTTCTTTTAAATTTAACAATTTACAACTTAAATCTTTTTTTATGTTCTTAGTAGTAAATAACAGCATCTATTCATGTATCCTGGTAGGTCTAATTTAGCTCTGGCAAATGAATCTTGAAGATATTCAGATGTGATGGTGTTATTTAAAAATGTTATCACAATTCGCTGATACTATTTTGACTATCTTCTTATCTTTATTTTATAACTGAATCCATAGATAATATGAATCCTGGAAGAAAAGTCTGAGCACATTTTTACTTTCTACAATATTAATAATAATTTAAAATAAGTTACGTTTTGAAAAATAATCAATATAAACATTTTGATCTTACTATTGAAAGTTACCGAAGTAGTTGGACATTTTTTCAAAATTTTATTTGAACATTTCCATCGAATACTCGAAACAAGTTTATGATAAATCGTAGGTATCTGAATACCCATTAAATAACTATTTTTTTATTTTTTTAATATGGTATTGAGTCGAAAAATAATTGATTTATTGTAATGATTTATCTAAACCATGTGTAAATAAAGTAATAATAATAAGTAGATATTTTTTTATTTTTCGGACTTTTTGTCTAACAATAAAAAAATTAACCGGACTTTTTATCCAACTTTTTTCAAAACGGACTTTTTAACCGATTACCAGATAATAATACTTCTCATATTATCTATGACTGAACCATACAATTTGTATAAGACTGTTTTATTTGAATATACACTTTCAAAACAAATTCGCAAATGTCTAAAGTTCTGACCCAGTAATACTCATCAAATAAATACTTATTGGTTCATGTTTACAAAATAATAAGTAAAAACTTTTAATATGTACATTCATAACCCATCTTATGCCTTAACTTGGTTTTTGAGGTATAATATTTTTTTATCTCCACATTCTGAACTCTTAGGTCTAATTAAAATTAAGAAAATAGCAGATTGTTATATAGGACTAGAGATTGTCTGTTTGACGTATTTGTAAGAGAATAATTAACTATTCAAGTACCCTTAGCCTACAGATATACGTTATTATATGATTATGAAATATATACAGAGTGCTCAACGAGGAGTTTTGGAATTAAAACAATGAAGTAGTCAAATTTACATTACACTTACATTAGAAAATCTTTGTGTACACCATGTATACACTTTAAACTATAGATTAATGTTAAAAAAACAATAAAACTTATATTGCAAAATATTTATTTTTAAAATAAATAATAGATAATAATAACTAATTTATTTCCAATATAAAACAATATAATATTCAAATTTAAAAAGCTGATAATTGAAAAAAAGTATAACGTTCATAAATAGTTTCAAATTTTATTATGTAAATTTATTAAATTGTTAAAAAATAATTGTGTATTATTAATAACATACAAATTCTAAAACTCAGTGGGCTGATACATTCCCTATCCGCTACTGGGTAGGTCCGTATCTATAGACGCATAATTTAAATGTCTTTAATAAACAATACTAGTTATAAAATAAAAGTAGTATATGAAATACGACTAATGTTTCATTGTTTTTGTATTAATTATACTATGGTTAGTTATTAATTATAACTATGAATTCGGTTAAAAATTCGTTCAGCCAATTATTTAATATTAAATAATAGTTAAAATTTGTATATTATTTTTAAGACTTGCATTATGTTACCTTACATGTCTTATGAATTATTTGTATGTCGTTTTATAAAAAAAAAAAAAAAAACACAAATTACTAATTATTTTCATAATTATAGATATTAAATTAAACTAAACATTGGATTCAAAATTCACATTAAAATACAATGAAACCTCTGAGTAACAAACACCTTCGGTCGCCGAATTTTTGACCGCTACTCCGAGGGGTCCGTTATTCAGAGGGGTAAATTTTTGAAATTCATAAAGGATAATGTATGAAACGTGTTTGCGCTACCTATGTTAAATTTAATTATGTTGTTATCGTCGTTAGTTTTCGTATTCTTATCATATCATTTGGTAACGAGTTTGTTGAAAGCATAGATTTATAAAATAACTAGATGGCAAACTCTATATACTAGCTTGACAACAATTTGAAGTCGTCAACCATTTATAGACGGGGCAAAATGATTGCAAAATAGAATATAATTGATATCGATATAAGTATTATCGATTCGATGTTTAATAATCTTATAATGGATACAATGTCTTAATGATAAAAATAACAACCGTTAAATATCAATAATTCATTATCATCTGACTTCAATAACAGATACGAGTTTGCTCTTTAGGTAGTATTTTATATATCTATAGTTGAAAAAGTTCATTATCGTTAAACCTAATGTTGCCTTTTGTCATTATTTTTAATAAGGCTAAATATATAGGTATGATCACAACTGTTTATTCCATAGCTTTTCATGGAGCGAAAACTCGGTTGGCAGTGATATTTATTACTATCCTGATTAAATTAGACGGGAATCGCTGCCAGTGGCGGCCATTTCACTTGCGTATTACAAAGTTGTGATCATACCTATATATTTAGCCGTGAATCCACTGTTATAGGTGTCCGCTATTCATAATCTTATCGAGTTTGTTATCGTTATTACATTATTACGAAAGTACATACTAATGCTAATGCGTTTTAGTACTGTCATTTTGTATTTTTTACACTATTTTTAAATTAAGATTAAATGAGTGTCTGCTATTTTGAGGTTTTCCTATTGAAAAGTAGTGAAAATAAATCCTTTTCCAAAAAAATGTCGGCTATTGGGAGGTATTCGTTAAAGGAAATTTCACTGTATAATGAATTGTAGCCTGATTTATCAAAAATCATATTATGTTGTAGATACTAATGATTATTCCAATAACTATATTTATAACACCTATTAAATTATAAGAATTTCAAGTTTCTTATTATAATTGTAACTGTGTTAATATACTATAGTGTATGATCTAAGGCGTTAACTTAAAATTATATTTTATATTAAATTAAAGTCCTAAAATATATTTAAAAACTATTTTAACTATTTAATAGTTTAAAAATATGTTAGACTACTAATAGGTTCATTTGTAAACACATTTATTTATATTCCTTTCTCCTACATGAGTATATTTCATTTACAACTTAAAAATTTACTTTTTTAATTATATGTAAATTCCTTACATAGAAAAAAAACCACTGCCAAAAACTAAAACCTCTGATTTTGATGTGGATATTTTTAGACAATGAATTTGGAGCCACGCCTAACCAGAAATCAATAATAATATTGTTTATTTAAAGGAATTAGGCTATAGCTACTTTTTATTGACATTGACATAATAAGTGTTGCATATAATGTTGATAAAATGTATTCCATAATTAGACTATATTTGTATAACATTATTGACTTCTGGTTGAACATAATAGCAATAGCTATAAAGTTAAAGGTCAATATATGAAATATAATTTTTTGAACTATAATAAATAGGTAATTGAAGTAAATATATTAAAAATTATTGCTCAGATTTTTAAATGTCATTTTTTTTTTTATTACCATAATATTATATAATGTTAATAATATGAAGCTAACTCATAACCATATTTACCAAACTGACAAACTTTTAAATTTTGCATGGGGGTTCCTGTTACACTCTGGGTGGGGGGATAAAGTGGAATTTTATAATTTGAATCTAATACAATTTTCAAAATTCATCAATTTAATCTTTTGATTCTCTAATAATTTTTTAAAATTTAAAATTATTATTTTAGTTAATTAAGAGGTTTTGGAAAACTTTTTAAATTCTTCACCCCTAAGTTGTAAACAAAAAAATGTTGAACATTTAATTTATTTATTCTGTGTATACTATAGACACAGAGTGGATGTTGTTAAAAAGAGGAGGGGCAAGATTTTTAAAAATCTACAAAGGGATAGTACAATTAAAGAAGTTGGGAACCATTGTATTAGAATTAATGCATATCCTGTTTAAAGTTTAAAGTTCTTATAAAGAATAAAATATCTGGACAATTTCTGTGAAAAAATAAATTATAAATGTCTATTTAAAAATCAAAAGTATTTATACTATGAAAAGTTTAAAAATTTAAGCTACATATCAAGAAATGCAAGATAAACTTTAAATAATTCTCTTAAAAATCACTATGTTCATACACACATAATATAATATATTTTTTTTTCAACAAATATTAATTTTTTACAATTTTATTGTACAGGTACTTTTAAGTTATACTAGGTATCCAGTAATACCACGAGGTATAAAAATCAGTAAAAGACTTGCACAATGTATGCACCACGCTCTTCCATCTGGAGTCCACTTAAAAGCTCTCGAAACATATGACATTATATTTAAGTGTATGGGCACTAACAGACTGAGCCAAGACCTCTTTATTTATAGTGCAGGTTTGTAATTACAAATAATAAATATATATATTAATTATTAAGTTTTATGTTTAAAAAATACGATCAATAATTTTTTTTAAGGTTTATTTCCTGTAATGGGTTATGCTGCAATGAATGTTAGACCAGACCTTTTGAATATATATGAAAATCATTTTGTACCATTAGGAGAGAGATTAATACCAGGATTAAATGGTTTTCTAAGTGGGGTATTACTTGGTTTAGAAGAAGGCTCTGATTTTTTTGACAGGTACCTTTCTATATCTTGTCAATAAAACAAAATATTAATTATTAAATTAACCATATGGTTTAATTTTACTTTGTTTCAGAACAAATCGTTTATTGGACAATGTATGTGCTGGTGTTGGGGCCTCAATATTTTTTAGTCACCTATGGGAATGTTTAGCTAATAATTTAGCAGTTCGACTTCCAGCTATATTATATATATTATCTCGATTTGATAGAAAATTATTAATAGAAAATCAAAGTCATATAATGGGTACTAATATTGATACAATGGTCACTGCAATATGTGCTTGTGTGCAAGATTCTATGGTTTTGGTTCAAAGAAGTGGTTTAGATTTATTACAAATTGGCTTCCCAATGCATAGCACTCAATTATCTAAAAGTGATATGATTCGTCTTGTAACTGCATCTTTAGTAACTATACTCCGTAGAGATATGTCTTTAAACCGGTAATTTAATTTAATATTTAATGTATGCTTAACATATATAATCTTAAAGGAAATTTTTTTAAATTTTTAGACGTTTGTATGCTTGGCTTCTTGGTAATGAAGTTAATTTAACTTTATTAAGTTCAGACCACCCTTTAGTAAAATTAAGGAAAGCCCGAGAATTAAACACAGTTAAATATTTTGAAATGTATTCCAGAGATTTACTTGTACAGGTATTATTATTTCAAATTATAATTTCTGTACATTTTGTGTGATTTTTCATTTCTTTTTTTTTAGGCTATAAAAATTAAACTTCATGAAGCAACTGGTTCTAAGCCTCATGATTTACGTCCATATAGGCTTCTGGTATCTTTATTAGATAAAACTGAAATTGGACCTGTTATTTTAGATGATATATTGTATGAAGTTTTTAGGCTTCTTTATTTGTGTTGTCAAAAAGACAATAAAATTGACAAATCATCTGAATTAATAAAATCAGCAAATTTATTATTTAGTTCCTTGGAACCTAAATATTTATGGGAATATACAGGAATCATGTTTTCAAATGCATGCCAGTCACTAACTAGGATAGACCAATGTGAGGAAACATCTGATGTTGTGAAATCTGTAGGCACTGGTGATTTAAGTCTTGTTGAAATATGCTGTCTGACAGATTTCCTATTAGATGCTATTTCGTTTGAAACTTTTACTGAAACACCTAGTGAACATTTACTTGAATTATTTATTCATATTGCAAATACATTGACAGATCATTGTGATATGTTAACTTCAGATCAAGCAAGCACATCATTAATGTTGTTCTTAAAAATACTGTCCAAAGTTCAACCAACTTTATTACCACAAACTGATTTAGGATACAGTTCATTGGATCAAACTACTGAGTTACCTAAAAAAGCTACTGAACCTGGTAAAATTGTCCAACTAAATGTGGATGGGCCAAAAATAAGTGGTGTGAAACGAGCTCAGTCTCCAAAACTGAGGATTGCATCTGACACATCAAGTCTTCAATCTGATTCAACTATCATGGCAGATAATCCATCAATTGACTTACATTCAGATACAACTAGTGGAGTATTTGATGGTGATTCATTAAATTCAGCTACAATTATTCAAAATTATAACCAAAAAGAACAACATAGTATTTATAGATCTTGTATAAAACAGTATGAAAAGTTTTTTGTTACTTTTGTTTATGGTGTGCGAGCAAACATTGGTGAAACTAAAGGTTTATCAGTATTAATGGATGCGTTAAAAGTAAAATCACCTCTAGCAACTGCCGAGGATCGAGCAAGAAATTTAGAAGAACTTTTGAAAACAGTGCTTAATGCACAAAAACAAACATTTGATGAAAACTATGAATATGAAGGTGTTGATGAAATATCTCCTTTAACTATTTTAAATAATAAACGTAGTGCTGGACTTGAATGGACAAAACCAGTTATGTTAGCTTGTAGAGTATTGGTAGACATATCAACATTTCAAGCAATTCCTTTGTCTGACTCCACGTCATCATTAGTATCTTCTATTGATATAAAAGACTTAAATAATGATGTTCTACCAGAATGGTTAAAATTAATAATTGTGTGTTGTTGTTGGTTGGGAAATACTGCACCCTCTTTACAACTTGTCACAATCGGAACTTTAGTGGATATTGTTGCTCTCTGTAGAAGCTCACAATTACATTGCAAATCAAATGAATCAAGAAATGGTGTTGTGTCACTAGTCCTACTACCACTATTAAAACCTGTTCAATTGTATTATATTGAATACCATACAAATGTATTTCACGTAAGACATCTGTATTTTTATTTCAAGTATAAATTGCTTAAATAATAATAATACATTATGTTTTTTAGGTTATTGCCCATTGGCTTTGGTTTCATTTAGCTAATCCATTATATCAAGTGCGCTGTGTTGAATTACTTTATTTATTGCAGAGCTCTTTGCATTCAAGTGATATAGTAGAAAATTGTATTGGTGTGTACAATATATATTTAAAATTAAATTTATAAAATCTTTAAAACATTACTATTATAATATATTATAGGAGAAGAATTAACATCAAGGAAAGCAACAGAATTTCATAAATTAAATGCATTTAGAAAATTTTCACTTTTATGGCATGTTGGCCGTGAACTCGCAGCAAATTCACAAAATGTGGGAGACATGTTTTATAAGTAATTCATTATAAAATAATTAATTATTTTTTTAAGTTCTATCACTTTTTTAAGCTCTATGACAGTAAATTACCATAAAACTATATGTATATATTTTTTACAACTTTTCTACAAACCTATTGTTACATTAAAAAAAATTGCTTTAAAATAATATTAAGAAATCCTTTACATTTATTATAATATTTTAAATTATTTATATTTTGAATAACATAGTATTATAAACAATTTAAATCATTGAGCATATTATCGATAATTTTTTTTATTTATTAGGATTCTGCAACAATATCACTGATATTTCAGTTTTTCATAAACAAATATGAAATAATAATAGTGGTATGATTGAAATTGAAACAGCTATGTTCTCAGTCAACATTTTATTATTTAACATTTTTAATAGTCTTTTAATTCTAAATATTAGATAAACAGTATAAATGTATGTAAATTAAGTTTAAGTAATTCCATTTATTAATAAAAAATATTGTAATATTTTAATATGATATTAAATATTAAAATTTACCTTAACAAATTGCCAATATCAATATACTGATATCATTGTAAACCCCTATTTGTATGCTTTTGTTTATAGGTCAATGTTAAAAACATTAGATAACTTAGAACTTGGAGAGAGAAATGCAATAAAAGTTGAAGCAGAAGGATGGCTTTTACACTCTTTATTAAGAGGTGACATTGGTCGATTGATTGATCCTCTTATATTATTACTCCTTGATCCATGTACATCAAGATTAAGTGTTCTGCATGCCAAAGTTAGTCCAACACAAAACAATGAATCACATGAATACTCAGAATCATCTCCCAGTGATCCTTCTGCAAAAATCTATGCTATCAGTTCAGTTGATGGGAATGTAATGTATCATGTTGCAGATAAATGCAAACAAGCACCAAAAATTACTCCTTGTCGTAGTAAACGTGTGTTTGCTATTACAACCTTAGCTGAACAGGATTCTTCAAACCTTTTTAGTCGTTATGTAACTGTAAAAAAATGTCAAATGATGACTCGATATGAACCATCATTAGCAGAAATGTCTGAATCCCACCATAAAAACATGTCTTTACTTCAAAATATTTCAGTTTTTGTCAATCCATTTTCTGTTGACCCAAATGTTACGAATAATAATGAGTTTGATGAAGATTATTCTGAAGAAAAAAAAGAAAGTACCCAATATACTATAGATATGATTAATAAGATTAAGCGTTTTAAATCAAATGTACAAAATACAGTACGCCGTTCACCCAAAAGAAAACCAGAAAGTAAAAATATTCAAAAATCTGTACAAAGAACTGGATCTTATTCATCTCTTGACTCTATTAAAACCAATCCAGTTATGAATTCTACAACAATGATGTCTTCAATTGATTTATTACATCTATCTTCAATATCAGACACAATATTTGCTAGAGTTACTGATGGTGAGACATACCGTAACAATATACGGACATCGGCTTCTGCAACGGATATGAATGGCCATTTTACCGAAAACGAGAGTGATTTAGTTAGAAGCTATTCATTCTGTGGGAATGAGCAAATAAAAATTGATGCAGACGAATCAACACCTGCTGATGAATATTTTGATCCTTCTAAATCAGAAGAAACATCTGTTGTACGCGAAGTGCTTAATAGTGTATTAGATGCTGTAGTTGATGAAACTGTTATACCTTTAAATGATGAAGAGGATGATGATGACTTGACTGAAGTATCTGAATCAATCAAAGAAGATATTTCTATTGCTCCCCCTGATTACAATATTGATGGTAACGTGAGAAATATTCACTCTCATCTATTGTTGTATTGTGGAGTATATGACGTTCAACGGACATTATATGCTTTCTGTACTTTAACAAATATGTTAAAAACTAATGCCCGTGCACTTTTATGTGCTGCTGCTACTACTTCTGTTCCAGTTAAATCTCAGATCTTGAAATTACTTTCTAGACACAGAAAATCAATGTTTGGCAGAGGATTTCACGGGGAAATTGATATGACTGGAATACCCTTTAATCGAGGCAGTAGCATGTATTTAGAATTACTCATATCTATTTGTCTATATTACATAAGAAGTTACTATCCTAATTTAGGACAATCTAAAATCACTCAAGAAGATATTGCTGGTAATCGTCAAGTACAAATGTCTAGTGTGGAACTATTGAGCCTTATTTGTTGGGAATTGAGTGGTATTGTAAGAGATAGTGGACGCGGTTTAGCGTGTTATTTAGCTGAATTACTAGCTAGATGTAAAGCACAAAAAGTTGCATTGCATTGTTTACTTAGTAGTGTACTGGAAAATTCTGGTCCTGAAAGTAAAGCTACAAGTTTCACTGCAGAAATATTATCATTTAACAATCACGATCCAACAGATCATGGTGCTATTGAAGGTAGAATGAATCGCGAATCCGAAGCATTCCAAGCTCTATTGTTACGACTATTACTTTCATTAATCATATTAGAACATGAAGTTGATAATAGCCGTCATCGAGGTAATAATGTGGGAACTGATTCTTATACTGATATAGCTGCAGATAATGTAGAAGGTACTGATGTACGTTATTTATCTGGCAGACCAATTCCTATGCAACCAATGTTTGTTACTGCATTGGTTGCTGCTTTACATCCCTCTGCACGAATGAGACATTCTCATATTAACTGGACGTCACTTGTCACATCTTCATTACCCTATCTTGGACCAGCATTAGTTAATGTTGTTTCTGTAACTGTACGACAATTATGTGCAAATATCGAAACAATAGCTGAGGTCTATGCTGATAATTCAAAAAATGTTAATTTAAGGTAAACATTTTAAAGTAAAATGTTTATTCTTATTTATTATTATAAGCATATTTATGATCAATAAAAATTTAATATTATACTTCAGATTACCAGCAGATTATGCAATAACACAATTGGAGGCACTTACTGTTTTATGTCATTTTTGCCTTCTTGATACTGGGCAACCATTTAACCATCCTTTAGATCACAATTCTACAGCAAATTCAAATACTCCAGCACAACTATTCAATAATCTAGTTCATGTCTTTATTCCATCTCCTCTATTAGCTGTGAGTGATAATGCTTTTTTTATTTATAATTCATATTTATACATTATATCAATTTTATTTATTAAAGCTCCAAGATCAATCATCTAATGATGAAAGTGAACCACAGTTAGGAGCAAGACGATCTTTACTAGCAATTTTACCAAGAATAGTGGCAAGTGTATCACTATTGTGGAAAGCACTTTGTACCGGAAAGCAGAGGTAAGTGTTACAATTTTAAAATATTGCTATTGGATAAAACTATTAATTATGGATTTAATTTAATTTTTTTCAGTGAAAATAATGTGGCTGGATGTCCAAGGTTAGTCAAAGGCCAACTCTTGGAGTTATTAAGTCCAATTGCTGAACATCATGGTAATAGTTTTTTAACAGCATTTTCAATTGTATGGAAAGAAAGGCGATCACGCACATCTGTTTTATCACCATCCGTAAGATCATTTATTCAATTATATAAAAAATGTATTAATAAATGTTAGGTATACAGGTGATTTTTTTTATTCATAACAGAAACTTTCTTTACTCTATTTTCATAATTTTAGCCTTAATCATATAATATCTTATATCACAGATTAAGATATATAGGGCAATTTACTCAACTGGAAACATTCATTATTGCCGTTTAATGTTCCTCTAGTAACCTTTTAAATATATTCTGTCAAAACCTACTGCTATATTCTTATTAATTGGTCTGCAACACTGTGCACTCTTTGATTTCTGAAATTGTCTGTATAAGTTGCTACAATTTCCATCCTAAGGTGGAATATATGTTTTTCTAAAACTTCGGAGAATATATTTTTGGTTTAGGGATAAAGTGTACTGTTGGAATTTGAAGGCCATACACCACTAGTTGGTGGGGTGGTTGTGTGGTAAATCCATTCAGTACTTGCACATAGTGTTTTCTTTGAAGGACGCCTTTGAGATTATTCCCAAGTCCGGTGATTAATCTTTTTTCAATGTAGCTAAGTAGAAAGTCCTTTTGTTCTTACCACTGTGAACTAATATTATTTGTGAATAATCAATCAAACCGTGTTTCTCCATTTTCATCATTATTATCATAGTCTTAATGTAAGATATGATTGTTAAAGTCACCAATATATATTGTTGGATGTTCTAGAACGCATAATGGCAAGTTATTTCATGAAGTATTGGGGGTTTGTACATATTTACTATATTTACTCCACTCACATTTGTTGTTAGGATTAAGATTTCTCCCACTACTTCTTGTGCAACTGTTTTCAAATTACTAATTCATGATCTAAGGGATTTTGCAATTCCATATTCTTTATGGTGTATAGCTCAAATCAGATTGTAAACAGCTATTTGGCCCCTTTTGTAAAGGTTGGCTTCTTCTATTGTATGCTTTTCTTGGAATTTGATATACCCTGAAGCATTAGTCAATTATCTGTGTTGATTATGTTATTGAAGGCTGCACTTTTATGTGATTGTTTGGTATCAGCCCCTTATTGGTGATATTAGTTACATTAGTATTCTTACTTGGTACAAAAATGTCTTCAGAATATCTACTAGCGTATGCAGAGAGTAGGATACCACCATTTTCCCCAAATAGTTCTAATGTTACATTATCATATTCTTGTCACCCTTATATTTGAGGGTGAAACGACTACATACTTTTGCTTTTCAAATGGCATACTATATTAAAAATTCCTAAAATAGGTAGGAGTGTTATTTAAAATAAATTTTGTTTTTAAAGTTTTTGATTGATTTCTGTTGGCTCGTTTTTGAGATGTTCTACTTTTACTTACCCTAACCTATCACCTTACACAAACTTAAAAGTGAAACATCTTATGAATGGGTTAACTAAAATCAAAAATTTCAAAAAAAAAAATGTATTTTAAATAGTACTCCATTTATTAAAGACATTTTCAACATAGTTGGCAATTTTAAAATCAAAAGTAGGTAGTCATTTCCCCCCAAAAACACGTGCTAGAATAACGGGGATGGGTGTAACCACTGTTATAGATAATTTAATATATACTTGTAAGCAACAATAAACCATTGCTAACAAAAAAAAAAAGATTCTGAGTGGAGTTCAGTTAATAGTGATGGTTTGTCAACAATGTATATAACATATTATGGTAAAATAATTAAATAGGTATTATATATATTTTTTAATAATTTTGTGTAATGTACCAATTTTTCCGGTTTTGCCATGTTTGTTTGTGGTTGTTGACATTTGTTGAGAAAACTCCTAATGTACTATTATGGCTGTTCATTACCAGTCCTGTGTATCTTGATACCTTAAATAAATATTAATTAAAGATTCTGAGTGGAGCGAAGAAGCTTATGGTTTTATAAATATGTTTTTTTTTTTTTTTATCTTTGCGTAATTTTTCTACCAGAAATTTTGCTCCGATTTTTAAGTGTAGCATCTTTTTTGAAAGCAAATCAACATGAGGAGGAATGTTGGAGATTTCATTTTTCAACTATCTCAGTTTTCTCATCAAATTAAAAAAACCAAAAAAAAAAAATAGGAAAATATAAGAAATGTAGATATTAGTTAAAATATATTACGGCCTCAAAATTTTGCTCCAATTTATAATGATAGCAACTTTTCTAAAATGAAATCCAACTGGAGAGGTTCTTTAAGGAAATCATTTTTCGATTTTTTCAAAAGTTTTCCCAGCAAATGTAAAAACCCAAGAAAAATCATGGGAAAAGGGGGAAAATTAGTACAACATTAAAAAATATTATTAAAGAAAATATATAAAGTCTATTTAATTATTTTACTATAATATGACATATTTATTGTTGACAAAGCATCACTATCAACTAAACTTTGATGCTTACTCGTTTGATGAAACTCGTTTCTTACAAGTATACATTAAATTACCTATCACAGTGGCTTCATCCATATCCATTATTCTAGGACATCTTTTTAATATTAAATTCAAAAATGGAATTTATTCTTAAAAAGTTTAAAATATAACTGTAATTAAATACTAGACAATTGTCTGAAGTGAATCATAGTAGAGTACAAAATAGATAATATTTATTGTTTATACCTCACATAATTTAACCACACTTAACTTAATTGTATTTGAATTAATAGCAATATTTTCAAACAAATTATCACTATTTAGCCTTACTCTTCAATGATGAATATATGGATTGTTAATAATAATATATAAATAAGTACCTTAATTATTCTATATTACTAAAAAAATTATTATAATTTACATTGATAATATTAAATATGAATAATACTGTTTATTTTATGGTTAAAACTGTTAAAAGAATCCATTCAATATTAAAACATTAATTTATCTCCAGTTTAAATGTTAAATATATTTCTATAGATTGTACCTGAAGCAACAGAAATGCAACAAGTATTAGTACAGTTACTGAGTTCCATAAAGTCCATGCCATTGGATACATTAATACAAACTCTCCATCAAGTTGTTAAACAGCCATCTTTAAGTCAAGTAACTACATTTTGAATTATATTATTTATTATTTATTATTAAAAAATTAATTCAATTTTCAGGCAGGTCAACAAGATACTCAAATCAGTATTGAAGTCAGTGTATTGGAATTATTTGTTCATTATGTGCAACTCGCTCCTGGTCATTATTTAGCCGAAACATGGCCATCACTTCTTGGGTTACTCAAAGAAGGAATAACATTGTCACCCCCTTCACAATTTATGTTATTGTCAGTATTAAGCCAATTTGTACATAGAGCCTCCGCCCCATTAGCAGATCGTAAAGATCAAAAAGATCTCCAAGATATTACAGCTAAGGTACATACAATTGTATTTATAAAGACAAGTAGTTTTTAATTTTAAAATTATAAATGTTCACTTATATTTAGATGGTTGAAAGTTGTTCTCAAATAGCAGGCGCTTGTTTAGAACAGAGTTCATGGTTAAGAAGAAACGTGTCTGTGAGAGAAGATGAATTATCTGCTGCCAATTATATTACTGAAAAAGATATAGAAAAAGGTTGGCAATTAACATTTAGTATTATTGATAATAATTAAGTTTGTTTATTAAGTACATTTCAAAACATATTAATATATTTTAGTTGGAAGTGGTAGTGGAAGCAATGCTCAGTACAGTATACCAGCCCAAACTGTTCTTGCCCAACTTCTTGCTCCCTTGTTAGATATAACATTTGGTAACCAAGAAAAAGAAAGAGTATGTACAATACTCACAATGGTCATGTATAATGTAACACCTTATCTAAGAAATCATACGTAAGTATTAATTACAAAATATTTTCTAATTTTAATTTTAATCATTGATTTTGATTTATTTCAATTATCTAGTACTAAAAATATGCCGAGCTTTCATACATGTTCTCAAATCTTAGCTAGTATTAGTACTTATCAATATACGAGAAAAGCTTGGAAAAAAGATGCAATGGAATTATTACTTGACCCAACACTATTTCAAATGGATGATCGTAGTATCCAGTATTGGAAAATTATAATTGATAATTTAATGTCTCAAGACACAACTACTTTCAGAGATTTTATGGGTATATTTTTATAATTGTTATTATTGTTCTGTCTTTATAGTTTAATTTTTTTTTTTTTTTTTTAGGGCGAGTTAATATGAGTCAAGCAAATTCCTTAAATTTATTTTCAAATAGAGAACAAGAATGTGAACAGAGAGCACAGCTATTAAAACGACTTGCATTTGTTTTATTATGCAGTGAAAAAGACCAGTTTCATAAACATGTTCCTGAAATACAAGGTTTGATTTTTATTTTTTTACTAAATTAATATTAATAATATTTTTATATTTTTATTTTAGAAAGACTTGTAGATACTCTTCGTATGCCTCAATCAGGACCTGGTATTCACGCTCAAGTGTTCCTATGCTTCAGGGTTTTACTTTTACGTATGTCGGGTCATCATATAACTTCTATGTGGCCAATTATAGTTAGTGAAATGGTTCAAGTAATGATACACATTGAACATAATTTAAGTACAGATTCTGAGGAGTTCAGGTATGTTAAAATTCATTAATATCAAATATTATTTGATTCTTTTCATTTTCATCTTCCAATAAATAACAAATGTATTGTTTTTTCTGGTGCGTTTGGCTGATCTTCCATTTTTGGCTTATGGCAGACGAAATACCAGGTATGTTTTGTGTATGCTTATTGCCAGTTTTTTGTGTGCTTTTTAACATATTTTGTGTACTAACATAGTTCAAATAATTATTTTGAAATCTATTACCAAGGTTAAGTCAATGTCGCTGCTTGAAGGTGTCTTGGGTTAAATCTGTTACTGATATTCTTCTTTATTTCTCGTTTATAGTAAAAGTATAAAATTAAATAAAAACTAATAAGGCTAATGGTTAAAATAAAATTAATCAGTGTTTCTTTTTTCCATTCTTCCGTAATATTCCCAATTCTTGAATTCCTTAATCATTATTATAGTAGTGAAGAAATGAATCTGGCTGAATCCACTCCTAAAGCGAATTCATCTTCAAGAAGAAGAAAAAAATGGAATCGAAACAAGTATAACTTGCAAGCTGAGAAACAGAGTTCATCAAATTCTAGAAAATCTACTGTCATTGCCAACCATACAATTGAAAAGTAAGTTCTAATAATGAACAAAACATCAATTGGGGAAAAAGAACACTTTTTAGTTTTTATGTGTATACTCAATATTCACTGGTTATATTTATATTAAAATAAGAAAATTGCATAATATAAAATTAAAAATTATTAATTGCCTTTAACAAAATCCAATATTGACTTGACCTTGATCAATAAATGTTAGTTATCAACTATGCTAGTTTGGTGTGTGGACATATGCAATATTATTAGTTACATTTTGTTGCCTGTAGATTTATTTAGTAAGTTAGAAATTAATTATAAATATGTTTGTTGTAAAAAGTTTGCATACACAGTAGTGAAAATTATTTATTAACTATATTTCTTATAAAAACCATTACTTTTACTATGTGTTAATCACAGTTGTAAATTTAAAAAGTCATTATTTTATTAGCCCTGACTGATAATAAAACATAATATTATTAGGTATATCTTAATTTGTGGCCATACTAAATTAGTTTTTAATATTTAAGTATATTTTATTATTGTATTATACTATTATTATATTAATTTAATTTAAATTAATTATTTTTAAATTCATTTATATAATATATATATAATACAAATTGATGAAATATTCATTACAGAATATCATTTTATTATCTATAAATTATTTTACAGGAATTCTACATTAAAGACTTCTTAAAAAAGCCACTTGCTTTCCTGATAATAATAAATGATCTATGATCCTATTGATAATTATTGACAAAGAGTTATTTAAAAGATATTGCTTTTTAGTAGTCCAATATATAATAAAATCGAATAAATGAGTTCATCAATTTATACATTATATTATGGTGTACACAATGACAATTATTGTACAACTTAATATGTTAACTATGAGAAAAATGAAAATGCATACATTATCTATAAGATTATTTATAAATTATCAAAGTATTTTATAAACTTTCTGATTCAATATTTTTATTGTCATTTATATAAACTACACATTAGATTCGAAAACCAAAAGTTATAATTTGTTAATAATTATTTTCATCTTTCAGCTAAAATGTAAAAATATATATTATTCTATAAGTAAATTACCTAATACATTTTTTATGTACCTAATTATTATTAATTTATGGAGGTTTGAACTTAAAATATAATGTTAATTTCAATCTTTTTTTAAAAAAAATGAAAATATTTATAAAGAAAATTGATTATGAATTATAAATTGTAATGAAACTAGTTTAGTATAATATAAAAATTAATAGTTTAGGCATATTATTTATTGCTTACAAAAATTAATTAATATATTAAGATTAACTAATTCTTTAACATTTAAAAGGTTCAACTTACTCGTGTATAATTTTGTTATTATTTACTTGTTATTCAAATAATTTATCAAAATAATATTGAGTATTGCTTATTTCTATAATTATCATTATTCTTTAATTATTACTTTTATTTGTTTCAAAATTCATGTAACAATAAATTATTTGCTAATTGGTTCCTATGGCTTACGATTGCATAGGCTATAGCATAATGCATGAGTAAAACAATTATATAGGTTACATGTTTCTGTTTGAATATTGAAGCATGACACCAAATATTACCAATTATAATAGTTTATAATACTTTACTTTATACATGATATTTTATTGGTATGTGTTTAAAAAATAAATTATTATAATTTATATTTAGTTTAAATTATTGGTAATTGCAGTAAATTACTATTATGGTTTAAGTAATGGACAATTACTTATTGTGTTGGAAATTTTAATGTTATAAACATATAAAATTAATTTAAATTTTAGTCTATGTAATATACTTTTTTTTTGTTATTATACATTCATTAACATATTTCTAATTTCTAAGCAAATTTTAATAATACTTAAAATGCTTATTTACTAATTGAATAAATCAGTTTAAATTAAGAAATAATAATATTATTTTTGTCCATATAGATTCTACAAATATAATAAAGGAGTTCTTAATTTTTAATTCTATTGGATAACTGTATGCATACTGACAAATTGTAAACAATACAAAATATTAAAATAAATACTTTGATAACTAAATTTATATTTTTTTATACATTTTTATAACTCAATCAATATAATAAACAATGTAATTGTATAAATAAACTTAATCATATCAACTTAATCAATAATTGAATTATATTTAATTGTAGACATACACACAAAGTATGGTTTCAAGATATAAAATTATTTGGAAAGTAATTATAATAAATTTAATTGTATGTATTTCAACTTTCAATAACTTATTTAATTACATATTCTAATAATATTTCTGTCAGCATGTCACTAATATTATTGGTTACTGTAAATTTATTTTATTACAGTCAAAATCTTCAACATACTTTTTAAATAAATCTTATATAATTTGAATAGCTTTATATTAAAATTTAAGTTGAAATACTTAAAACTAGAAATTATATCTTATTTAAATATACAATGTGTCCCACCGTAATGTTCGATGGATTTTTCTTGCGCTATCAATATTAGATTTTATTAGATTTTTTTGTTCAATCGGTTTATCTTTGAGGGGGGTATTTATTTGGAGAAAAATTTAAATTATTATTTTTTTTTTTTTTGGGTGTATGTTAAGGGATGAAAATAAAAATTTAATTTTTTCATATCGATGTCCCCTTCAAAGATAAATCAATTGAAAAAAGATCAAAAAAAGGGAATATTAACAACGCTGGAAAAATCCGTAGAACACAGTGTATAAAATGCTATCATAAATCTAAAAAAAAGTATAATAGGTTTTTAAATATTTTTAATTTATTAATGTTCAAATAAAATTTAAAATACAAAATTATATCATTTATTCAAAAGGAATATAAAACAACTTAATAATAGTGACAAAATTTTTTTTAAGTTTTTAAATATTATTTATCCGAGTTGATTTTAAAATATAGGTATATAATATAATAATAATATAATACGTAATACTATTATTATGTCAAATATTATAACTAACATTTTAAATTTTATACACTGAAAACTGCAAAAAAAAACTTTTGGAATCCTATACTTATTAACAGATTTTTAATACTGTGTCATGTAGGATGCTTAATGAAAATGTTAAGTCTTTTGAACATATTTTCAGGTGACTATATATTTGACACAAAATATATTTAGTTAGTTTTTTTGCTATTTTCTAGAAAATTAAAAATTGTTCTGTTTTAATCCTGTACTAATATTGGTGTTATATTTCCATAGCCTTATACATCTATATGGAACATGAAAACACATTTTCATGGTTAGAGTTTCATTTCGAGGACATAAACATGTGTGATAGCAAATTGTGAGTTTTAATTTGCTGTCCACAAAGTACAAATTTTCTCTCTCACACTTTATATGAGTTTATATTAGCTTATTTATCTTCATCTGTTCCAAACCTCGGGGTGAATGATCCGTTTAGATGTATAAGTCAATGTATATTTCCAATTAATAAATAATGCTACATACAATTTTTGGGGTAATATTTCTATTCAACTAAGTCAAAATAAATGTTGACCTATTATTATTGTATAACAAATTTTTTCATGCTTTGCTTAGAATAAAAAAAACAAAAACAAAAAAGGAACATATTATTTATAGTTTTGACAATATATTCATGAACTCCTCTATCAATCAATTATATGTACTGTTTTCTGAATTACAGTTCACATATACGGCTGCTGTCTGGACTTGATTGGACATGGGTAGTTAATAGCAATAATGGCCTTCATGCAAGCAATAATCCACAGTGGTTACAACTTCAACTAGCTGCTGTTAAACTTCTTAGTGTTGCCATTCAACTTCCTGCCGACATTCTACCTCAATTTCAAATGTAACATTAATTTTTTCATAATTTAATTATATTATATATGGCATAAGTCATTACACAATGAATTTTTTTTTTTAGGTATAAGTGGGCTTTTGTTGGGCGGCCAGATTTGTCGCAAAATGAACAAAACCCAGTAGAATTTGTTCCACATGTTTTAAGGATAGCTAGGATTATGGATTCAAAAGTAATCATAATTCAAAATATAATTCACTTTTCATCAATTAAAATAATATAGTAAATGTTATATTTTACAGTATGGGAGTCCAATTGAAACGTATCCAGATACATTGTTGCCAACTGGTTCAACAGCCCGGTCGTTGCAAGATCTTCATCCATTTTTTTCTGCTCTTAGTACTGGTGAGCCACACCCGTCCTTGAACAGTACCATTAGTCAATTAGAGCAAGAACTTGAGTTGGATTTCCTAGAGTCGATACCGTCCAGATAGGCTGATCTTAGTTCGCCTGAACCACCGTACCTACGACAAACTGTGATGTTGTACATGTAAATAAAATTAAATTATTATAAAATAAAAATTAATATTGTTATTTTTGCAATGATAATTTTAATATGGAGAAATAATATTGCTATTATTATTATTATTATTATTATTATTATTATTATTATTATTATTATTATTATTATTTTTATCATTATAATTATTATTATTATTATTATTATTATTATCATTATAATTATTATTATTTTTATTATTAATTATTATTATTATGGTTTTTCTGATTGTTAAAGTTTTGTTTCATTTTTATTTAAGTTGGTGATACGATCATTCCGTTCTAATTAGTTAAAAGAACACACATTTTGAAATTGCAAACTCATAACATTGTAATTTCCTTTTTGCAACTACTTAAGTACATTTATTGTAGTAAAAAAAAAAAAAAACACTTGCTTGGAGCACATAAAACATTAACTTATTAAATTCTATGTTACCTGTTATTGTTGTTAAGTTTATCGTGTTATAGGACTTTGAGTATTATTTTATGTACTGTGATTCAGTATAATTATTAAGTTGGGATAAATATTTAATTTCATTTCATTGAATAGTATTCTTCATTAATAGGCATTTTTATTTGTAAATGCAATTTCTTTTTTTCAACATTCAGTTGAATTTAACAATGAATATTGTGAGATAGCTATTTGTTAGTAAGATTTCATTTATCATTTTCTTTTTCCTAACTTTTAGATGAAAAATTGATTTTTATAGTATTTAAAAAAAAAGATCTATGCATCAAAAAGTATATATATTTTTTTTCTTTTTTTACATTTACATCTTGCTACCTTTATTGTTTTCTTACAGCTACTATATACATTAACAGTTCTTTGGACTTAATGCACTTAATCTACAATACATTTCATAAAAACGACAAAATTGATTTGTAAAATACAAAAATGGTAAAGGAATGAGTATTCTTTCAAACAGCTCTAACTTATTTAATACAATTTTCTAACATTACAAAATTAAATTTCAAAAAGTATTTTTTTTTTTTTTTTGTTTACAAAAATATGTTTGTGTTACTCATTTTTGTAGATTAGAAAATTGTGAGTAATAAGTTAAAGATGAAGGATGGAACTTCTAAAACTCTTCGTTTTTGTTATAAATATATATTTTTTTTAAGTGTTTTTTTGTAGATTTCAAGTGCATCGAATCCTGAGCCCTGTACCTTATACATACTACACCATAAACTGTAAACATCTGCAAGTCTTATGTATCTTAATTTTTACTTATTGTTTTGAATGTTTGATTATACAACTGTGATAGAGATAATTGTATTGATATTTTATTTTGCACACTATTAATTATTATCTACAATGATGTTCTAGTTAGAAATTTAAAAATAAACCAACTGATCCAGCATTGTGTAACTGCACAATTCAGTTAGTAACCAAACTATACAAACCAGTTACAATAAAAGTGTGTATAATAATCATCCAATGTTTTAGATTTTGTCTTAGTCCGGTAAGTGCATGTTATATTGTGTAAATTATTGTTTATTATTTTATTATTTATTATTATTTAATGTGATTATTGTTAACATTTACACTTAATTTATCAAATGGCAGTGGTAGACTCAAAACCATGTATTTCGAAGTTCATCATATAATTTGCACGATAAGAAATAGAGAAATTTTAAAGATTTATCACAGGTAAAACTTATTTTTTTTGTAATAAACATAGTTGTATACAATTATTAGTTATATAACCAAGAATTCAATAAAATTGTTGTTTTATCCAATTTTTAAGAAAACTACAGAATTCTAGTTTTTGCATTAGCATATGACTGCAGTTATTAACTCGCATTTTAAGAAGAAGTAAGAGCAATATATAACTTAAGAGTGGAGGAAATAGATCATAAAATTATTATTTTATGTGAAAGGGGGAAAGTGTTAAGCAGATAAAGGACTGTAAAGTAATATATGATGAATGGAAAGTACAAAAAGAAGAAGAATAAACAATGAATGGCTTTTATAGATTTGGAGAAAGCTTAATGTGAGGTGTGGTGAAAAGGAACGTGGAACAATTAATTTAAGCCAAATTAGTCCTATCTGTCTTCACCCAAGGTTCCAACTATCTCAATACCGAAATTCATCGTCATTATAGTTTAGCGGTTTAGGCGTGAAAACGTAACAGACGGACTTACTCTTTCACATCTTTACGATATCAATATAAATTCATATATTAATTAGTATTTAGAAAATATAAAAATTTAATAGAAAAAAATTAACAATTACACAGGTGCAAAACAAAAAAAGACAAACAATTTTGCATATCTGCATATTAGCGTCTGGCGCTTTGTCCCAGCCTGAATTCTGACGGAAGTATATTCTAATCCACGGGTGTCCAACCTTTTGTGAAGATTGGGTCACATCATGTAAGTAGAAGTTATTGTGGGACACATACATTTTAATAATAATACATTTTATTTATAGTTACAAGAAAAAACATTTATTTATGAATTAAAAGAAAACAATTTTAAAATAATTGTATTATTATTTTAATTACATTAGTTTATTTGTTGCTATCGTTTCCTAATAAAGATACAAATTTTTATATAGGTAATAGTAGTTAAAAAGTTTTTTAATATTTTGTAGTTTTATATTCTTAAAATTGAAGTGAAAGCCATATTAAAATCTACCATGGGCCGTTTTTAGTCCATGCTACTGCATTCGTCTTCATCGATAGAAATCAAAATCGGTGTTAATCAAAACGACGTGGTGGCGGGTCAGAAATTTTACATCAGGTGGGCCAAGCTGAGGCCAACATTTTTCTTGATACCTATGTATCTGTCCGTAGAGATTATTGTGGTAAAATAATTAAATAGGCATTATATATTTCCTTTAATAATAATTGTTCAATATTGTACCGTTTTTCCCGGTCTTTCCAAGTTTTTCCATTTGCTGGGAAAAATCCTGAAAAAATCGAAAAATTACCTCTCTTAAATACCACCCCAAGAAAATTGTGTATGCGTCGGAGTAAGCTTTCTTGTAGAAAAATTATTCACATAAAAAAAATAATATATTTACATCTTTGTAAAACCAATAAATTCTTCGCTACATTCAGAATCTAAAATATAACGATGATCTCTACATCTATATATTTAAAAATATGTTATACAGGGTGGGCCGACACTGTGTATAAATATTTATTGATTTCTATTGAAAATATTCGATATACATCGGTGTGTTTTGAATACTTTAGAAATAATGTTACAAATTGTATAGATACACTTATATATGCCTTTATAAATAGGTACCTATAGAAAATAATATATAATACAACCTGCCCCCGTATCGAATAATTGTTCGTTAATAAAATTGGAATTTATTGGAACTAGATAGTAATACCTTATTGTATATTGTAGTTCCATGGGCCTAGGCCCTCGTAATAATAGACCATGTAAAAATATTAGTCTTTGGAATGTTTCGGCGACACGCTGTCCTGATACCGGCGCGCAACGTCGTTGACCTGTTTATTACCACGCAATCGTCCGCATTATCCGTCTTGTGGACGTCCGCGTTTAATGGCGACGTATAAGTCGACTTGGATTTTGGCAACGTTTCGCACGTTATTTACCACCCAGTCGTACGCAATTAACTCGCGGTCGTTCGCCTGCATGCATCGATGGCGTCCGCGTCCGTATATACCGCAACATTTCGCGTCCATGTCGATGTCACAGTCATCAGCGTCCGTATCGTAGTCATCTGTCTATATTATTGTTATTACAGTCATCCGATTACACGTCACAATCGTCTACTCCCAGTTATCCCGCATTTTAGATACCGCTTCCTGCGGCGTCTTAATTTTCGGCTGGTAACCGAACGTTCGTCGGCGTGTAATACGGTCCAGTCCATCGGACAGCTTGACGGACACGAGCAGTTTGACGGCGGACGTGGCCACAACCATCATCTACAGGCAGCCGCATTTAAGCATGACTCGCATGAGACGAATATATTATTAGAATGTATAGGGGCGATCCACAGCAGCTGATGTCATCACGATCGGCGATTGAGATGACTATTATTGGATTGTGCGAAAAAAAATAGTATAAAATAAGAGACAAAAGTAGAAATTGAAAATAGTATGGGCAATCGTCAATCGTTGTGGCAGAATTTGTGAACCGAACGAGCTTTTATACGAAAATTTCGCCTATGGTAACCACAATAATAATAGAATAACAGCTTATATTAAAAAGAGCCAATAAAATATTATTCAAATCGAACACAATTTCCGAATGATAGCCAGTGCTCGACAAAATTCAGATTGTTCAAATTTAGTACCCATTACGGGTACCGAACTATACCGACTCCTACCTACCTACTGGAATTCGAGGACCCCGCCGCCCGACAATATACCCGGCGATACATAATTTGTTTCTAAGTGAGGAATAAACATTTTATTTCGGTGTTTTTTCGGTTTAACAAATACTTGTTTTTACTAATAATTTTAACGGATCTAGCGAAGCCCGTTACCGATTACCGAGGACAGGGGTTGGGTTAAGTTTCTGTTTCTGTCCCAACGACGGCTTCCTAGATGACCCGAGTGATCTGCGCGATTGCCCAGCCCGTTTGGACGGCACAGGCCTAGCGTGGTGCTAGATATTAGTAATATCGCGAATTTATTCGAGGTGCGAAGCTATAATGTGCAAATTCTTGGATGTTGTCCGAGTGCCGGTCCTTCTACACCAAGGTTGTATCCAGCGAGAAGTTAGGACAAAGGGTCTTCTTCTCCGCCTGGTCTGTCGATGGTCTTCTCGCGTTCCGACAATTGGGTCGTCCTGTGTGAACTTCTCGGCTGACCAACTTACCCCTAGTGATAGGGATTGTGTTAACAATGGCGAATCGGTAGGCGTCTGGAGCCACCAGTGTGTGGACTCTCCACTCATTCCGTTGACCTCTGGGCGTCGAAATATGTCTAACTCATGGCATTTATGGAGAACAGGTCGGAAAGTCGGTACCGCCCACGTTACCGAACGAATACCCCAGGACTGGCTGTGGACTCGTTCTGCGGTCAGTGCCGTGCGGTATGTTTCGTCCGGGCTTGTGCGTCTCTACATAGTGGTCAAAGGCCTGAACTGGGCCCCCGCCTAGGGCCTCGCATTTTTATGTTAAATATTTCCATATTAATTTTACTATGATGAATGAGTTTTTTTTTTTTATTGTACCTATCTGAACTACTTATCTCCCAAATTAATTCTATTTAATATTTATGTACTATCAGATGTACATTTCATGAATTTCTAAATTATTTACAACTGAAGAATTATAAGTATAATAATATTGTATTGATAAGGAATAATCTCGAATTTTTTGTTAATCGTGGGTTTTTCCTAATGTTTCTTTAATCAATAAACGCACGAATGAAACTGAATCACAAATACACGATTTCATTTTCTTTTGAACTGCCGTCTGCCACGGTCATCGTTTGTCAGAATTACGTAAGTACCATAATGAATTATTATTTATTATATTATAATCATTCTCCTAACGGGAGAGGGTGGTGCAGGGGAAGGAGCTCCTCTGCTTTAATTTTCCCAGTTCGAGCACCAATAATAATAGATGTAATAATTTATATTGTACATCCATATAATTTGTTTTTCAACGGTCTTTTGGTACCTACCTAGTAGTTTTTACTAAACTAATGTAAAAAGTAGCAAGCAGTAAATTATATTTATTTATTCATCCAAGAATATATTAAATAAATAAAATTCAAAATTTATAGAAGGGGTATACATAGGTGAAGGTAGACATTTGATTCGTTTATATGGGTCAGGGTTATATTACAGTGATGATCAAAAAATAAACGAAAGGTCAACATCAACAATAAAGATAATTTTAATTTCGGGGTCTTTTGTTAAAATTTGGAGGCTTTTAAAATGTCTAGGTAGATAAGCCCTTTGAGCCACTGATGCCCGATTATGAGGTAGAGTAAAATGTATAGGTTTTCATTATTGATTTGTAAAAGCTGTTTTCAGAGCCCTCTGGAATATTTTGCCTAGGGCCTCTCAAAACCTAGCCCGGTCCTAGGCCTGAGGCAATTCACTTGATGCCGGTCGTACCGTACGCAGACGGAACGCCGAATTGAGAAGCGGTAGCCGGGGACCACGCTTTGATGCATCGAATGTATTCGGGGGTCCGCGCCCGTGCTCCCCATCGGCTTTTGACAAGCTTTTCAAGCTAATATAAGGTCCGGTGGTCGGTATTCCTATTTAAAATCCAAGGGTTCCTCTGTAACGGATCTAATATTGTTAACCTAACCTAACCTGACCGAACCTACCTTGCATCGCGAACAGACGTAAATTATTTCTTTTTAATTTTTATCAGAAATATACGGCTATATCTACTAAATATTTTCTCTTCGGCCGTTCGCACTAGTTAGCGTGGATATACATAATTTGTGTTTACGTGCTTACTTACTTTTGTATTAGTTTTACAATGATATTTTGTTTTCTTTTTTCTTTTTCTTTTTTTTTTTTTATGGACAAATTTTCTACCAGCAATATTTTTCTTTAATTTACAATTATAGCACTCTTTCTGAAATGAAATCTGATTGGGGGTTTTTTTTGATTTCCCTATGGGTTTTCATAATAAATGTAGACATTTACGAAAATAATGCTTTTATAATTTTAAATTTTATTTTTTTATTTTGTTATAATTCAGTTTAAAATGTTAATAGAGACTTTACAGTAACTTATCCCCACACAGCATTTATCAATTATGAATATTATGTAAATGTTTGACTTTAATTGTAATTCAAATATTAAATTTAAATGTTGATACAATTACGTTTTTTGTTTTTCGGCAATGGTTAATCGTTGCTTACATATGTACATTAAATTCCCCTCTATAACCTACCTTCCCAACTTCTCACCTACAACAGTGGTGGTCCACACATCGTATGAAATATCTCCGAATCTTTTTTTGTTTATTTAAGAAGTTTATCTTATAATTCCAAAATAGTTTTAAAACTTAAAATGTATGTATTTGTGGAAATTTATGAAGTTACATCTCGTGAATTTTTTACAATTTAATAATTAATATAAGTGCAATAATATAGTCTTAATAACGAATAATCTCGAATCGTTTTGTAATCGTGGGTTTTGCCCTATATTTGCCTTAATCGATAAAAATACGAATGAAACTGAATCACAAATACACGATTTAATTTTCTTGAACTGTCTATGCCCTCGCTTTACATAATTACCTACGTGAGTACTATAAACTAAAGAATTACATAAAGACCCATGAGTAGTATGAGTACAACACATACTCTTTTTCGTTGGACTGTACTCTTTTTATACATTATCCTGTCATTTACAACATTGTTAATTACATGAAATTGCACTCTTTTTTTGAAATTATTATGGGTTAATACATGTTTATGATTTTATATAAATTGATTATTCATTTTTATTTTAATATTTTATGGTTTGACCTAATGCATTCCAAACGTCTGCAAATAACTATCGACTGAAAACTTGTATTGGTTTTCACACCAGCACACAGCGCTCTCTAGATTATAAATGGTATGACTGCATTAATAAATATATTTTTCAAGCACCTAAAAGGTTACAGAAGTAAAATATAGTAAATAGTAATAATTATTTACCAATTAGTTATTATTACAATAATATTTATGTTCGTGAATACGAATGGGTATGCAATAAATTTTTAGTCAGGTTCACAGTTCTCACTCAAGTATTTTTATTTATTAATTAATAATTATCAATAGGTAGTACCTGACTATTTTATATTATATTTTGTATATTAATTAAGAATTTAGTTTTAGGTAATGACTAATTTTGATAATTTTTTGTTTTGTTTTTTTTAATTGTTTGGCTTCAATATTTTTTAAATAACAAGTAAACTTATGTCACTCTCGCTAAAATGTGAAACATGCCCCTTATAACTTTTTTAAGAACTGTCTGTTTTTAATGCATTTTACCCATTATTTATTTATTTTTTTTTTTTTGATATTCGTTTTAGAGACTTTGAAAGTGGTTTTTGAAACTTAATGTGGATTTTTCACACAATAATTATCCATTTTCAGGAGTTAAATGAAATACTATTAATGATTCAATTGGTATTAAACATATAAATTCGCGAGGAAAGTTAGTTGTTTACAAATACGTATAGTTTATAGTATGTCATAATGATCTGCAGTATATCTATAGCCGTGATACAAGTTCAATTAAATACCGCAGATAGCGCAACAGGTTCGTCATTTTAGGTACGTGACTTTTTAATAATATTCCAGCTCGGCGTATTGTGTTGTTTAGTATAGGTCGTTCCGCAATCATACCAAAAAAATTTGATAAGACCTTTCCGTTCGGCATGCTGTATAACCAGACAGTAAACAAAAATCGTTTATATCGCTAATAAAATAAACGGTTTTTATCAGTACTTGCTTACCTGGAATAAACAACGCAGTTACCTTATTATTGTTAGAGATGGTTATTTTAAAATACATATCTATATAGGTTTTAATGATTTAATGTGAACATCATAATTTAACACATATTTCAACATATTCTCAAATTGATAGTAGTCGCCAGTAACAGTTAGTAGCAGCATTGATTAAGTATGCCTAATTAATGGTAGGACTAGTTGCAGTTAGTAATAACTGCTAAAAATCAATTATCAATCTATAAGGTAAAGTAACTGTGACGTTTATTTCAAGTAGACTAGTACTGATAATATCCGTTAATAAATTCATGACAAAAACCGTACTCATAGAGCATAGACACGTAGAAACAAATTATAGATCGGCTTCTCTTCATTGTATACAGATCTTATCGCGGTCTTATGCCGGGTTGCATAAAACCATACGAAACCGATAGCCGTAAAATTGATAGCTCTTATCAAAAACATAGTATAGAATAGTTACTTTTATTAATGTTGTAAAGCCGGTATCGGTTCAGTAATATTTGCAAAACTGTTAAACCTTATCATTTAGGTAATTATAATTTTGTTATCACAAAAAAGAAACGTAATTCAATTTTCTCATTCTGTGCGATTATTTACTATTTTAAATAGTTACTATTTACTCTTGTTACTTGTTACTGTTTTATTGTTGTAAAAATGTCAACATCATCTTCATCAGATGATATGTTATTTGAAATTCCTATAAATAGAATAATGTATCATGTCTCATTTTATTATTATTATTACTTGATGGTAACAACAATCTAATAGTAAATATTAATTAAATTAAATAGGTTCGCCGTTCACCAGTAAAAGGTTTAGTGGTGATACTGTATGTGTATATATTGATGATGCGTACGGTAAAATTTAAAACATTACAACTACAATATTTAATAACTATAACTCGTAGTTCTAGTGCGCAATGCGGAACGCTACTCGCTATTACTAATAGCGCACTCGTATATGGACACTGGAACTACTACCATGTTCTATTAGTCCGTCTATAGTCTATTTCTATTAGTCTATAAACCATAGTGTATCTATAAAAAACAATATAGCCGTTTTTTTTTTCTTACTATCTATCTGGTAAATAGTAATTCAATAAATATATATATATATATTGTTAACAAAAAAAAAATTAATAATAAAACAAAATATCTATGATAAAATTAAAATAAAGTGATAAAATTCTTAAGGAACGGACCTAATCAAACTACGTCATGTCGACGGTGAACGCCCAGTTTTACAATATTTAATTATAGAGAACTCTATGATTCTAGTATTATCACAGAATAAATTGATGCAAAATACAATATCTATTACTCTATGATCTATTATGTGGTACTATTATCGTTATCATTTCTACTTATCTTTTCTTATCATTTAACCATTAGCAGTAAGCTGAACATGACGTTGAACCGACGCTATCTACACAAAGAGGTTTGGTATTTCAATAATCGTTGCTAGTCATCGTTGACTCCGTGACACATTGGAACCCCTTTTCCCTACTTCCACGCCCTATCAATGTTTTAATCATTTTATTTTGTATGTCAAGTCATCGCTTATTTTTAATATTTTTTTACGAAGATTTTATTTATCATACATTATATAGTAGATGTACCTGTAGTGTTTGTACATAAAATATCTATTTTGCGTTACAATAATTTCGTTGTTAACCGCTGTAGTAAGTTTTTAGACAGTGAACGTCAAATCCGCGGCCAGCGACACTGATATCTGCTAGGTACTACACACAAATGATCGACACAAAGTTGTGACACGAATTTTAACATTATAGTAACATTATCAAAGGTATGTATAAAAAACAACTATCCGTTTTTAAAACCACTGCTCTAGAATCATTTTTTCTGTATCGATGGAATTGTTTGAAACCATTATGAATTCAGTCATTCTGTGTTTAATGTGTATTGCGTTATTCGTTTGTCAATCTTTCAATAATAAAGCTTTGTTTTTCGTTGTTTTCATTAATAAAATCCCACAATTGTTTTCCAACAATGCCTTATTCCTCACAATTATGTAAAGATTTTGTAGTATTTTTTGAACACAACAAAATATTTTAAATCTTTTTTAATTCAAATTTTTACAATAAAGAGTGAATTTTACATAAAATAATAATTGGGTACGTTTTAAAATATACCTAATATGTCATTGTTCTACTGATAGATAAGTAAGTAGATTTATGACATAATTATGTGAAATTGTAAAATCTGATACTTGATTATAATTAAAATAAAGTTCAAAATTGCACATAGTTAAGTAGTTATTAGGTATTTTATAATATAAATAGGTGTGATTATATATATTATAATATAGGTAATTTCTTTTTTTTTATACATTTATTATTTTAATTTCCTGTTTATTTTATCATTGCTTATTTTTATTAATCAGTTATTGTTTGTATGATTTTTTTTATTAACTTATTTTTTATTTTTAATGTTCTATTACATAGTACCTACTTACCTTTCTTTTTGTTATAGTTATTTATAGAAATTACCATCCATTATACTTTGGCCTTCTAACTCTAAAGTCTTCACCAGCTAATTATAGTGTTCAGCTAACTTAAACATAGATTAAACAAATAATAAACTTGGTAATTTTTTTTATTAATTTAAAAAAACCATGTCTAATAAAATTTTATGAAATCTAAATTTATTTTCTTATTTTCTGAGTTATATTTTTAGGTTACTTGTCAATTGTTTAATTGTAAATTTATAATCACTTGCAATTTGTATTTTTTATTTTGTCATCCTTATCTCATTTTCACTTGTCTATAGTGTACTTTCTTATCCTTGATAATATTCATTTTTTTTTTAATTTCCTGCATTGAATCTAGCACAATATTAACATGAGAATTTAGAACTAGTTTTGAAGGTTAATTTTTTATATAGATAGTTGCATTAGTTAGCTATATTTATTTTCATTTTTTTTTACATTAGTTCCATTAACTTATTATGATTTTAAATAAAAATTGATTTGATAAATTATTATTTTATATTTTTATTTAAATAATTATGTCTTTGTATTTTCTTTTCCTTTACCTAGATATTATTGAACAATTTTATTAATTTAATTAGTTTACCTATTAATTATGTTCATCTCGGAGGTTAATAATTGAATTTAATACGAGTAAGAACCTATGTAATAAGCATTGTTTTAATGATTATTTATGCATGACATAATTAATTAACTACACATTAATACATAGGTATAGTGTTGAATTGCAATATGCTTCTAAAAGAAACAAAACAAATACCTACAAATATTTAACTGTTCAAATAAAATTAAAAATGTATTAATTAGTCATTACAGGTTGTTACAGTGGTATTTGTTATCTGTTTTTCTAATGGGTTATATAAACCAAACAGAAAAACCCTTAAAATTTGTTTTAAAAGTAACACTTTCTGTACAAATTTTAAATAACAACATTTTGATAATAAACTCATTGGCATTTTAAAATCCTTTAAATATTTAATTTATTATCAAATGACTGATATGAGGGTACAAAAAAGTTGTATTTTATGTTGTTTTTTTTTTTTCAAACTAATTTATTAAAATATTGTATTTCAAGAAACACTAATGTAGTTATCTTCAAAATATTGTAATATACACGTTTTGTAATAGAATTTAATCTCTTAAACAAATTATTGCTTTTATTATATGTTAGAATGATAGAAATGGCAATTTTACTGTGCTGTCTTCTTAAAACTGTAAAGTTCAAACTATGTGATAATAATTATAATTCTATAAAAATCTGGATTATGTTCATAAAACCTTAATTAAATATTTATTGACATTTTTTCTTTGAATGAACGTGATTGAACTTTCATTGTGAATATATTATAATAATACAATAGTTAGGGAAATATCTTGAACTTCAACGTATTTTGACTATATGTAAATAATGTATATTGTTGATGCCTATGCATCTATTATAACTAAAAATATTGACAACTATTGTTATTATAAGTTTAAAAATAAAAAAAACAAGCAATTTAACATAGATTCTAACCTACCTTTAAATCATCTTAAAATTCAAATAAAAGATTCTGACCATGTTCATGTATATTTTTAATATTGCAATTTTTCCTACTCATTAAATGTAAAATAAAGTACTTTGCAATTTTGCAAACGTGCCTCACAATTATTGTTTCATGGGGGCCTCTTGAGGTGAGGCAGTTATTTTTCCTGTGTACATTATTTTACAGATGTGAATGGCAACCAATCACATTAAAATATTAATAATTAATAATAATTATTATGATATGTTACAGATAATTTTATCAAAAAATGTTTCTTTGGGATTGGTTTACTGGTGTTCTGGGATATTTAGGTGAGTAAATATTTTATTATTAATATTTTTTGTTGCCCAATTCTTATGTAACCAAAGAAAATGTTATTGTTATAAAGTTTTATCAAATATATACAGGTGTTTTATATAAATTCCAAGGTTCATGATTATATAATATGTATTCAATAAAACTCAATTAAGTACTTGGATACATTTTGTTATCATTAAATTAGATTTTTTGTATAAAGAAAACTTTTTAAATAAATAAATACTGTAAAACCATTTAACACGTGTTCAAACAATTTATTGCTGATCTTGTACAAAATGTAATTACCTTAGTATAGTCTTTATATGAATATTATACAAATTATATTTAATATAATTTTTCTAATAAATATTTATTATTCATTACTTAATCAATATTATCCATTATTTTATTTTTGGTTTTTGTAAATATCTATTTACTGAAAGGAAATTTTATAAAAAAAATAATTTCATTCTATAATGTATTTTTGTATGTTTTACCATGAGTTCAAAAACATTCATACTTATTAGTTATTTAACAATTTTACAACTTATACAAATATTAGATTTAATGTGTTAAAATAATTAAGACAATTATTATCAAAATCTTATATATTTTTTAAATATATAAATAAAAAATTCTCATATTTCCCTACCATTTTTGTGTACATGAGTTTACTAAAATAAAAAAAATGTATTATGATAACTTAACACTGATATAAATGTAGTAGTATAGTACCTATATGTATATTTTTAGATTGGCATATATATAAAAAATTTAATTAATTATAATTTTGAACTTTTGACTGTCTATAGGATTATGGAAAAAATCAGGGAAATTACTATTCCTAGGATTAGACAATGCTGGAAAAACAACACTTCTACATATGCTGAAAGATGATCGTTTGGCACAACACACTCCAACATTGCATCCAAGTATGACATTGTTTTGCAAATATAGTTATTAAATTTTATATGTGATGTATAAATATTCTATGAATTATTTTATAGCATCCGAAGAATTATCTGTTGGCAATATAAAGTTCACAACATTTGATTTGGGTGGCCATTCTCAAGCAAGAAAAGTATGGAAAGATTATTTTCCTGCTATAGATGCAATTGTATTTTTGATAGATGCTTGTGATAAATCCAGAATTTCGGAGAGTAAAGCAGAACTAGATTCATTATTGTTAGATGAATCCTTGTCTAACTGTCCCGTACTCGTACTTGGTAATAAAATTGATAGACAAGGCGCACTGAGTGAACCAGAATTAAGAGCTTATTTCGCATTGAACCAAACAACTGGAAAAGTATGCTAACCATATTTTTATTTTCTTATTACTTAATTCTTAAATACCTATTACCTATATTTAATATATTGAAGTATTCAATACTTATATGATTATGTGTATCATAATAAAATGTATTTATAATTATAAATTAAAAATCACTGATAACAACTTAACTTTTTTAAATTTTAAATGTATTTACTTTTTTAAAGTATAGACATTTTACTTTTTTACTTCTACCCAAACTAATTAGTTACATAATAATAAAATAAAAGTAGCTAAAAGGTAGGGTATTGTAGCTATTTTCACTTATTTTAACTTTTTATAATAATCCTTTTTTGGTCTTCTTTGATAATAATGAATGGGTGAGTTTTATAGGTTCCAACACTATTTACACACCATTTTGTATGTTGTGTTACATTAATAGTTAAGTTTTTAATGGTAGATTTTTTTCAATTAAAAGTGGTTTTGGGGGAAAGAGTTGATTTAAAATAAAGGCTGATAATCTTCATTAATCTCTATCTAAAGTTGCAAAAGCAATTACTATGTTAAAATCTCTAGAAGTTGTATACTTTTGAAAAGATAGAAGCCTTTCATCCCCAGTTGTACTCATTTAGGGTAAAATTTTGAAAAATCCTAATACTCTTGTTTCTTAGTTTCTAATCTAAAAGCCAAATACTAATTTGTATGAATTTAATTAAAAAATAGCAGATTTTAATACAAATTTTCATTCGCCATTTTATCCCCATATGGGTAGAATCTTCGAAAATATTTATTTAGTAAATGACTGTGGTATAAAAAGTACCTATCTACTGTAAACATTTCAAGTTTCTAACCCTTATCATTATAGGCTGTGCGTTGATTCTCTCTCTCTCAGTTGGGACAAAGACTTCTACATACCTAAGATAACTTTATATAATATATATTCTAACTTCCCAACTTTCAACATTGATGTTCAACTTTTTTTTTTGTATTATTAATATTAATTTTAAACGATTTAATATTGGGAATGTTATTATTATTTTAATTTTAGGCTAGAGTACCAAGACACGAGCTTCCGGGTCGTCCATTAGAAGTGTTTATGTGTTCTGTATTGAAACGTCATGGTTATGGAGAAGGGTTCCGATGGCTGGCACAATATATTGATTAATGTTTCTTTATATATTTTAAAAATATATTTTAATGTTTAAATTCATCCTTTTTTTACTGTTTTTCTTCATTGGTAAGTTCTACAATTTAATGTAAAAAAAAAAAAAAATGGCTAAATTTACAATCAAATAATTTTTGTAAACAAAATACCAATTCTCGTATTGAGAATTTTGCTAAAGTAACACTTTTTTTCGTCTTGTACCACATGATTTTTTTATTTAGGTGTGCTGTAATGAAAAATATAAAAATTAATTGTATTTATGGCTTTTTAATTATTTTTATTAAATAGACAATAATAAAAAAAAATTATTATAAATTAAGTGTTCATATTATGTGACTAGAAAACATTTCACGTGTCAAAAACAAAAAAATATTTTTATATATTATTATAACTTACAATTAAATAAATAACTAATTATAATAATATTTTACTTATGAGCTTGATCTAACATATTACATAATGCTGATATATAACTTTGAGCCATTTGTAGTGTCTCGTATTTTGAGAGTTTGTGATCATCTTCTATGGATGTAGGTATGGCTTCACGGAGCCGATCAAATGCTTCATTTAGACCATTCATACGTCGACGTTCCCTGGCATTAGCTGCTAAGCGTCTCTTTCTTGCCACTGTAGGTGATATTGACTCTTTACTACTGGGTCTTCTCGGTGAATATTCATTTGTTTTTCTATTATTAATAAAAATAACAATTAAATTATTTACAAAGTGATCCATTATTAAATAGATACTCTCATTATTTGTGAAAGTAAGTATTCACTTTTTCAGATAAATTTGGTTTGACAATTAAAGAAACTAACAGCTCTAAAATTTGTATGATGGGACATGATATATCAGTTTTAAATTTTGGGTAGGGGAATATAGAAGAGAACTATTCAAACATTACACACCGTGCTATCACACAAATAATACTTCATCTACCCTAAACTGAAAGGTGGAAATATCTCGTCAATGGGTTGACGGAAATCAAAAATTTCAACCCTACAATTTATTTCAACAAATACTCAATCTATGTATGAAATTTTTAGTATAGATTGCTATTTGAAAATAAATATTGCCCAGTTGTTTTACTTCCTAAAATGTGGGTGACAAAAAATAATATAAATGTAACATTTAGAAAGGCTTATTTCTTTAATTGTCAAAAAATAATAATTTTTGAAAACAGTCAATACTTTTTAAAATATTGTGTGTACTTTAATTTAATCCTTTTTAAATGGATGATTGAATATATATTAAAACCTATACAATATTCAATAATTTAACTGTAACATTAAAGTAAGGTAGTAAAATTTCACATTGACAAAAAAAAAATGTATGCAAATGTTAGACACTGCTCTGTAAATCAAACATATCCCTACATTGGTATGTGAAAAACCCATGTCGACCTAATATCAAATAAAAATATTTTTGATTATAAAATATATGAAAATATTTCATCTGAACAATTTTAGATGAAATTATTTCGTACAAATCGTTTTTTAAAACGAAGATGTTTTGTGGTTCATAAGGCCAGACGTCACATTAATAATTTATCCATAGTATCAGTTAAAATCATTAAAATCCATGAACTGTCTAGACGCTAACATTGAATAATTAATACGATGTCTAGCTCACTTACACGCATAGAGCCCTAACTGAGCTACGAATTATTTTCAGATGTTTAATAGTCTAGAAATGTGGAACATTTTACAGTGAATATACCAGATGTACAAATCGAGAACTGAAACCAAAAATATATAGTACTTGAATAATATAGTCCGGAAACCAAGATGGCATGGTCGTCGGTCTAAACAACTAAGAAAATGCTTCTGATATTTTAGAGGAAAATTTTAAGAAGGATTGTCGATCCATATATAGACGATTCTAAGTGTAAATATGGAGGATAAGTAACTTGAACGGCTCTATTAACAAGGTCAATTATTGTGTGGTGGGACTTAATTGACTCGAAATTGAAGCCGGCAAAAAAGTTCAAATTTTTGTTTTAATAGGTACCTTCCATAACATAATAAATTTTACTTTCGATAATAAATGTACTTACATACATAATATGTATGGGGATATTATGTATATCACTGTTCTTAATAAAATTGGAATTTCGAGTTATCTATGAAATATTCGAGTAATACGCGATGTTTTTACATTGTTTAGATAGGAAATTTTAGAGACCGTAGAAAAGATTGGAGAGTATCAACGATGATTTTGAGTTAAAACAGTTCGACTGAAGAAGAAATTACGAAAAAAATATTGGAATGGGCTGGATTTGCATGGCGTAATATAGGCACACTAATATTCACCACGTTCAGGAATACATAATCTTTGCGTAGAAAGAGACCAAAACTGTGGTGTGAAGAAGTGCAAAAAAAAAACTGAGGGACGAGAGGACATTATGCTTGTCAGAACGGTTTTTAATGACCGCACACAACAAAAAAAGAAGAGGATGATATACAGGGTAATCGACATAACGTACGACAGTCATTATCTCGGAAAAAATTAACGTTTTTCGGAATTTTCAGTTTTACAGAACATTAAAGAAATAAGTAGCTTTACAATTTTACATTAATATTGTTTTTAGGATGAAACCACTACCTACATTTTCAGATATTCAAACGACAACCTATTTAAATGGGTTTAGGTATTAGCATTTTTGATTTCCGTCAAACCGTCGACTAGATATTCCACTTTTGAGTTCGGGTAGTGGAAGAGTATAGTGGAGCATAATTCGTGTGGCGGTGACGCGGTGTCATTGTATAGGTTGCCATTTGAAAATCAAAAGTAGGTAGCGACATCCATTCCCAAAAAATATGGGTGATAAACCAATAACAAATAATATAAATGTAAAATGATGAGAGCAGCTGCTCGGTTTTTAAACGTTCTATAAAACAAACGCCATGTAAAAGTTAAAACTTTCCGAGATCATGAGCATACGTCCGTACGTTATGCCGATCGCGTAGGCATGGTGCAAGTATACGTACCCGAAACAAGTACGGTTCCAGTCCGCGACGGTTTTCGGCCGATATGGCGGATGTGATTGATTGTGGACGAAACCGGCCGTGTATCCGTCGCCGTCGGCCTGTTGCAGCGGTCCCGCGTGTAACGGATAACCGCCGTCCGTCGCGTCCCACCGGTGCGGAATATTATGATGACGACGATCGTCCGCGCCATCTCGTATCTCGGTGGTCGACCGCGGTTGATGACCGAATCCACCTTCGGAAGAAGAACCGTCCGAGTGCTGCCACTGCCAGTACGCGTTGTGCTGTTCCGATCCGCCACTGATGCCGTGGCCGTCGCGGTGATTGCCGTTAAAATCTAACGGCCCGTAATGGTGCGCGAAGAAATCCGAGGCGCCGTGCGCGTTAGTCGTGTGTCGCATCAGATCCATGTTGGACGACGACGACAATTAGCATTTTATCGAAACGGCTCGCTGCGAAAATGCCAATTTATTTACAGTGAAGGGGAAGTGTGTTAATTTTACGTTAGCGAACAAAAACGTGATATTATGATGAACAAAGTATGATAGCGTAAAACAAACGTGACGCATAATCGTATTGGCAATACGGAGGACATATAATAATTACCCTCCTTGAGGGTACCTATAATTGCAACGGAGATCGAGATTTTCCCGGTGGGCCCGTGTCCGTAATAAATTACGGGACTCGTAATCGTTGGTCCCGAGACATTATTTTAGGTTTATATTCGTTTGTGGGCGTCTCAAGCGCAAATAGCCTGGGAGAGGGGGCAAATAAAACTGAAAAAATATGGGCCCTTGAGTTCAGTTCTCGGTAATAGAAAATAGCTCCATCCGCCACTGGAAGACGTATGAAAATAATATCACCTAAGGCGAGGTAAGCAATGGAGCACCAAACTAGCGCAAACTAGGAAATTAAGTCTTAACGAGTCGATAACTCGACGAACAGTGGCGTCGAAACGAGCAGACAAGAGTAGCGATTGCCACCCTTATTTTAATAGGTGAGTGGTGGTGGATCTACATGGCCCATATTTTTTATCGAATTGGTACATATGGAATGTTAATTTAGAGTGTTGTATGGGAGTTTGTTTTGTAAACGAGGGTGGTGGTTCACATAACATTTTACCTGCCCACCTCCTTAAAACATGGTTCTGCGCCACTGTCGATGATAATTTAACTTTAATGTCGACGATATTAATCGTTTTTTATTTGTTTACACGATTATCCTTGGATTATTTATCATCGTTCATCCAGTACCGACGCTAGGTTTTGCGGGGCTTTGGACATAGGACAACGCCATGCCCCATTTGTATTCTAGTGCCCGCACTGCGTCCATCATGTAAAGAAATGATGGGTAAAAACATTTTCAAAAGTTGACAAATGTGGTTTTTAATCGGACCCATCCATCTATTTTTATTGGCTCTGTAGGGAGTTACTTATGTTTTGAGTACTTATAGTGTATAACTGTAAGTTACACTTTTTTAATTAATGTAAGACCCGCGTGTTCACGTGCACTGCAAATTTGCGTTCAAATGGGACAATATTTTGCCGTTATAGTTTTAAAGTGAATTGACCTATTATACCAAACTTATAGAAATATAAGAATATAATTTGCAATTTTACCTTCGTTCAAACTTAAATTGTGTCCATATAAACCGGTCGACAAAAAAAAAAAACCTCGAACCTTTCAAACAGCTATAAATAACTTCATTCAAAATCTAAAAAACAAAAAACCTAATTCTGTAACGAAAAAATGGCAACTGGACTTTTATAACACTAAACAAAGTATAGTCAGGGGCATTTATATTTTATATAATGTGTAATTATAAAATAATTGTAAATTATATTATATCAAAGTCAAATTAAGGGGGGGGAGCTACAGTCCAAGGGCCCCCGAAAATTTAGGGTCCCCATATTTTCGTAAATATTTAACGGTTAATACAGAAAAAACAAATTGATATTAAATTTTAAAATATATAAAATGCAGAACTTTCTATTTCGCATTAAACTTTCATTGGAATAATAACAGTTTTTTTTTTTTTTTTGGTATTTTACCTATTATTGTATTAACGTACTAACGTATTATTCGGTGTCAAATAAACGAGCGGTGTTCTAAAGTCGAGACAAGAATGTTTTTGTGCTGTCCGCAATTGCCATACATTTTTACAATATTATAGAATGCGTTTATCTAAATACACACAAACGATCTGGGATTATACGTCAAATTGTTGGTAACACGGTGGTAAACTACGAACGACGAATTAAATTAATGTTTAAGCAATTTGTATTTATAAACTCCGTATACCCGTCCGTAATCGGGTTACGGAGTCCGTAACCCGATTTAAATGTTTTTGTATTTCACTACCAAGTAAATTAAATAAATAGAAAATCAACAAAATGTATTAACCTGTTTATTTATTTTGGGCCCCCACAATGTGTTCCGCCCACGGGCACCACCACATATCTAAATCCGTCCCTGTATTATATTATTGTTATAGAAAATAATAATATTTCGCGTTATTGCCATCAAAACGCCAATATTTATTCCGTTATTCAGCATTGTAATTTACGTACCTGTCGACGATGGTGTGCGGCGGCAGTCAAGAAAATGTCCGGTTGTTTCCGTAGAGCCAGCGATAATATTGTAGCGTACGGCGTCGCGTGGCGTTCTTCTCCAGTTCGCGCGCACCGGTTGCAGTGGTCGAAACGCGCGCGCGCGCGGTCGGACAGGCACGTGTCTCAGTCAGTCGGTCGGTCGGCTAAGGGGAAATAGTTGATGGCACGGGCCCTGAACGCTCATTGACGCGGAAGTCGCGTGCCGACGGCGCGGACATGTGGCCCGCGTAGATCTTCGCGGTGCGGCACGCCCCGCCCGCGATTCCGCATTCGTGTGTTTCGTGTCATTTCCACCCCGCCGCGCGGCTCCGCCTACGCGGCGCGCATCATCATAATATCATCCCCCGGAACGATAATCATTTTTCAACGGTCGTATTTTGTACTTGTAGGCAGCTATACGTACCTGCCTTAATCGTTACCTACTTTATTGTATTATTGTATTATATTTCATAATACCGTCCACGATATTATTAATATCATAACGGTTTCTCTATGCGTCGTCCCTATATAACGTACATATTATGTATTTTTATTTTTTTTTTTTTCGTTTTTTATCGGTCTCTCCCGTAGTTTTTTGCGTTTTAACGTACTCGCGAGAACAACACGATAGCGCCTATAATAAGTACCAGTCGTTAACGAATAAATAGGTAATAATAATCTAATACGACGTGGTTATCGTTTGGTTGTTAATACTGATATTTTTATTTATTTTTGGAATAACGAAGTTGGATCGATGCAGTGGATATAAACGATAAGAAATTCGTAAAGCGATCCGAATTCAACGCGTCCAGATGTGGGTATAACATGAAATCGATCAAGTAACCCTATTTTTTCTTTCAATTTTATTTTATTTCTTGTCGAATTTTCCCCGAAAATAGAAACTAATTGCACTGTGTCGTGTTTCTGTGACGTACCTTTTTCCCGGTATGCTTGAACACGTTTAGCGGCTCCGTCTGGACCAAAAGAGCTCAAACTCGGAAATTAAGAGTTTTTTATTGGGACAAATTGAAGTGATAAAATGTTGGATTCGATTTCAATATGAACTTCATTTAACAAGAGTGTTTTTGACTTTGGGTGTACTCTATACAGAACCCTCCAAATGAAGCCAAGAGGATACATGGGATACATGCATGGTATAAATATAAAAGATGGGCATTTGGCAATTTCAACTTTCGAGCTCTTCCTAAACCATTTTTACTGTTCAGATTTCATTTTAAACAGGAAATATCGGGTATTTATTATCCTTATAGACTCATGAAAGTAAGAGACTTGAATAAAATGTGTATATATAAACGAAATTATTTTGGAAAACGTACCTTTAAAAGGTTTGAACTTCCGACTCCACTGTTTGTAGGTATTTTATAAAAAATCTCAAGTACTACTTTACGTATTTCGAAAAAACTTTTTGTTCAGTTACTTATCATACAAAAAAAATAAAAAAATATCGACTATTATAACAAGTCAACTGGGGGAAAATTCGATTCTAGTGACGGTGCTCTGCTGTTCATATGTTCTCTTTTTTCTGTACAATTCTATAAATGTTCAAATCAATTTTTTTGGAACGAAGGGCTGAAGTCTGAGGTTCGACACAAAATGGCCCAGTCGATTTTGTGCATACGAACTGGATAAAGCTGGTGTAAAGTTGTTAATGGTAAGAGACAAAAGGAAAAAAGTGTGTGATACAGTATTAGGCCTTGAAGTAAGTCCCACCAAGGTGTCCGATCGACTTCAAACCGACGCCACTATTTTGCAAATCAAATGCAAATAATTGAAAATTGATTTTTAAAATTTGCAAATCACACGAATAGCCACAAATGCGATTTTTTTGTCGAAAAGTGATCAAATCTTTGTAGAAAATGAGAAAAGTCACTCTGTTATATAGTCTTCTTGCGCCAATGTACATTACTAGTTATGCAACACAATCATACAACATATACACTGTCGTGGAATTTACGAATTGTATCTCGCTTGACGGTGTATATAATTATAATTTTTGTACGTGCCGCCGCCGCCTGATTAACGGGAAATCGACCCTTCGAATAATATTTGTACATGGATAGTATGTTATGCCCGTGACATTTTAATTTATATATATTATGATAAAGTACATAGGTGGTATACCTACCTATTGTCGACAGTTTTTTTATTCGTTTTTAAATAAACATAAAACACACGAGAAAAATGCCCCACGGCTTTGGTTAAGGGTCGCTATAGTATGCATTGCGTATATGCACGCACACGTGTATGGGTCGATCGATCCCCGTTAATTATTATAGGCTCTTCCGACAACGTCTTTATTACAAAATAATATACAGGTATATAATACCTATCTACGGATAAATGAGGCGGTAAGGAGATACCTACGAGGTTGTATTTTGTAGGTCATGGTTCGTACTTTATAGAAGTTTAGAGTTTCTCAGATATAATGTAAACCAATTTTTTACACGAGAAGATACGAGTGGAGATTAAGATACTGAAAATATACTGAAAGATACTGATTCTAAATTAAGAGCTGCGAAAAAAACGGAGGAGGATACAAAAAATTAAATGGTATATAATGCCATAAAGACCAGCTAAAGAAATTCAACTAGGAAAAGACTAAGAGAAGCAGACCTAGGAAGTGATTGAAGTGATAAATTTAAAAGACACAGATCATGTAGAATTTACTTAAAAAAGTGATTGTGGAGAAGATTTGTATAATAGCCTCGACGACTCTTGGCGATTCGTAGAACGAAAGTAAAATCTCAGATATGTAGTATGTACGAACGACAATTTTGTTTTATTTTAACAATTACTTAAGATATAGTCATTTAAAGTTGGTTAAAAATATGATTTTAAGTCAATGTTTCGAAAAATTAAAAGCATGTAATGCTAATGCATTTTAAATTTGTTGACAAAACGATAAAAATCATATTTTTGAACTAATTTTAGACGGCTATATGTCAGGTAACTGGTGAGATGAAAATCAATTATATTGATCAATGTTGCTTGCAAAAAGTAAGGCTATTTTAATCTAGTATCAAAAATAGACGTTAAAGCTGTTCCGTAAAAGTAATTTGATTAGCGTTCGCGCTCACCAAAAGTGCCGTTTTAAAAGAAAATTGTTAATTTTATAGTACGTCCCATCAACTCCCGGAAACGGAATTCAAATTCAGTCGTCCGGGGCGGAAACGATCAGTGTTACCCGATAACGTAATCACGCTGTCTATAACATATTACATAATGACATTATGTGTTTATGACGTACTAGCCGTCCCGCGCCCGGCGTTTCCCGTGCTAATTTTTTTCATTATTTTTACCTTTATTCCCGTATTGCTTTGCCCGTATCAGTGTATCGAACGAAAGAAAATAGGTCGGGTATTTTCATTTCGTCCGCGTTACTATGGTTGTCTATAATTCAACTGAATATGCCGATCTAGCACTATTATGAGCTGAAATTCTATTGCGCGTCCCAGCTGTTATACCGACTGCTGTCTTTCTCTCTGTGCCATAGGCCGCTGCGAGGGTTCGGCACAAGACTTCTCTGGCCCGCGATTGCGACGCGTACCCACTCTCACTGACTTGCGAGACGATCTGCATTTTCAAAAGAAGATTCTCGTATTTTTGCTGATCTCGCTCGGGAACTATGTTTACATAGTTGGCACCTTTTTTTTCCTAGGCAAATTGTTTGGAAGTATTTTTTTTTTCCAAATCGGAGAAAATAAGAATAAACAGTGTACTCACATGCTTTCCTATTGCTACATAATATTGTAAATAATAGTGATAATAATAATATTTGTCTTGTCCGTGAAAACCAAATGATCATCCATATCATCAGGGTAACCCACGAATAAACAAAAAATAAATAAATAAACAAATACCAAAAATATACCTAAAAATAACCTAATTATTGCAACTTTCGTAGGAATTCCTATTTTGTTTTTTTTTTAGTTATAAATATAGCCTATGTTACTCAGGGATAATGAAGCATTGTAATGGTGGAATAATTTTTGAAATCGGTCCAGTAGTTTTTGAGTTTATTCATTACAAACATACAAATCTTTCTTCTTCATAATATTATTAGTAAGTACTACGTACAAATAATAAGTACATACCTGTCTCACGTTGTACATACGTGTAGAAGAATGTGCAGGCAAATTTTAATACACCGCGATATGGATTTCAAAGACCCTTAAGATATTTACGGTCCGCTATACGGTCGAACGTGTATCCTATAAATATATATATCATTTAGTATAGAATTATTATTATTTCACGGGCACATAATTCATGTCTACACGTAATACATATAGCTAACGGGCTAAACATTTTGTGAGATTCGATGACGCGAAAATACTAATTAAGTCCGAGAGTAATATAGATATTATAAAATGTCAGCGAGCGAGCCGTTATTATAATGCGATAATTGTAGATACATACCTATAATCTGTATACCTATAAATAGGTACCTATTTTTTCGTTTTCGAGGGTACAAATCGTATGATACATAAACGCGTGCCTGCAACAATAATTAACAATAAGCCCAAGTGGTTATTATTATACCCATTATATTTCCTGCGATATGTTATTAAACTATATGTAGTGGCGTACCCAGGATTTTTTTCATAATGGGCGGGGGGGGGGGGCTAAATATAATAAATGGAAATTATATACTTATTATAGTGATGCAAGCAGTAAGTATAGTAGGTATATCTAAATTTTGTTATAATAAAAGCCTTTTGTTAAGAGGACGCCACACCGACATCTGTCTCCGTCTTACCAACGCGAGACATAGCAAATTTTCGTTCAGTAGGACACATTTTGTGCCGTTAGTTTTAATATCAAAACAAATTGACATATTACCAATATTAAAGGTAAGACGATTATACCATGTGGTTTAACGTGTTGATAGTTTTTCGATATTTTTATTTTTAAATGAGATATGAGTATGTTAAACATCACAGTATACAAATGATGTTACCTTGCTTGAAAATTAAAATATCGAAAAACAATCAACGCTAAGGCATGTATAATCTTCTTACCTTTAGGTTTGGTAATAAGTTAATTTGCTTTAATATTAAAACTGACTGCACAAAATGTGTCCTACAAAACGAAAATTTGCTATATCTTGCATTTGCAAGACGGAGACAGCAGATGTCGGTGTGGCGTCATTTTCAAGGCCTGATTAACCAATAGGCTGAAAAGACTGCAGCCTTGAGCGTCGTTAAATGGCAGGGGTGCAACAAAACAATTTTTTTTTTCAAACTTATATCTTCTATTTTGGGGGATATGGAAAAATGTTTTCATCGCCAGCCTACTGGTAGAAAATCCATTAATCAGGCCCTGGTCATTTTATAAACTATTTTACTTTATTCACATCTGGGTATCTAATATTTAAAATATTTTGATTTAATTGGGTTACAACAAATTTGGTAAGTTAATAATTATTTTATAGGTAATAAGTTTTCAACGCTGAATAGTTTGTATTTTTTTTTTTTTCGTATTTAAACAAAACCGATAGCGCAGACCGTAATGGGCTGTGTCGCAATTCCTCATACATCTTGAAGGGGTTTGAGCCCCACCATAATATTAAATAAATACAGTGGTGCAATCAAGGGGGTGTTTTTAAAATAAAATTGAAGGGGCTCAAGACGATCCACGGGGCTGAGTCTCCTAACCCCCTTAATTGCGCTACTGGTAGGAGGCGAAGCCTTCTCCCCATTGCACACCACTACAGATTATACTGACAGTATATTATTCATAAGAAAAAGGCTAACCACAATTTTATTGCACCAAACTTCAGATTTTCTACAATGGTGTACAAACGTAGAACTCGAGATCCGTCCCATCTGTTTTACGCATTTACTATAGTTTCGGTCTCGGCTCTTATACTCGACTTTAGACCTATGCAACTTCAGAGCTTCTTCGCTATTGCTTTCTTTTGTTTCCTAGTGTAGTGGGAGGTACCTATATACTCATCGTGCAGTGTTCGTAATAATATGCATATTTTAGGCGACTGCCTACCGGATATCCATACATCGGCAATACGTAGGGTATATAATATATTTAATCGTGCGGACAAATAATATAATTACATACGATATACGTACGCCGTGTCATTAAATGCGGTGCAGGAGCTTCTCGATCCGTTGTGGAGATAAGCGCGCAGAAAATAATGTCTCTAATACAGTGTCCTTTTTTTTATAACAGCAACACGTGCTCGTTTTTTATTTTTTTGTTGTATAACGTACATATATATAATACAGGCACTGTATAATAAAATATTATATTATATAATGTTTAATTCATGCGTTTGCTTAATTATGATAATATCGGTGCGGCGGGGGCGGCAGCTGGCCCGTCGCTGTACATGTAGGTGCGTCGGACTGTATATACCGTATAATATACGCGCGTGCCCCCGAGGAAGAAACCGGTTCGACCATTACATTCGTATTTTGCGGTATAAATTAATTTTGTTTAACCGAAATGTTACGAGGATCCTGTGTAACGATAAAAAACATAAAAAAAAAAACACCATCTATCCAGAAATAGCCGGTAAAAAATAACGACTTACTCGACGAATCGATTAGGCCTTTTGAGGATATTATTATATTTTATAACAACACTGGAAGTCTGCAAACATGCAGTTAATTATAGGTAAGTATATCTATAGGTATATAAAATTTGAACTTGAACTATTATACACCTATTGCGGGTGTCCGGCAAACGATCAGATTGCAAGGGGTTCCGTAGTTTACAAATTTGAATTGTATATCGTTATTTAATGTTATTCGTCGTTTCTAATATTCATTTCTACCGAAGAGTTCAAAAAAATGCATAATACAACCGTTTTTTTTTTTTTTTTTTTTTTTAAACTTATTAGTAATAAGTTAAACTACTGTTCGTTACATAACAATAGACGTAATAAATAATTTGATTTCACTTTATTCTAATCTAATCTGCCCACTGATCATTAAGATAAAAATTAGTCTCTATCGTCTTTATAACATATAAGTTATATATTAAAGTATAATAATTGTTGACATTGATTCATGAAAAATATTCACCAAAGTGCTTGATTTCCGATAAACCATCAAAATATGCAAAAATATGCTCTAAAGACTTTGGGTATTTGATCGCAAGCGTTGTGAAATGTATTTTGTACTTACTAAGCATACAATAAAATTAACCAGTAAAAACATGCAAATGCATGAAAGTCCTGGCTCTACTTGTTACTTAAAATTCAAACTACCTACCCAGGTACCTATTTGTTTCTTTTTCTGGTACTTACATTATTTTCGTATAATATTATCAGCACTATCTGAAAAATAAAAAACGATACTGGAATAATAATAACAATAATAATAATAAAAATGTGAAAAACATATTCTGTTCTTAAATTGAATATTATTATAGGTACTTCTACACCAATTTAATTTCTAACAGATCGTCTGTCAATGTCCGCGCCGTATTCATTGTTCGCATGACCTAGTCGTAACGAAGCGTGCAGTAGGGGTGTACTATTAATGCGCGAATAGTTGACTTTGTTATTTATGAGTTATAATTATTATTATTATTTTTTTTTTTTTACGTATACGCACGAGTGGATTCGAACGGGGATGTTTTATGTTTATACCATAATATAATATTGCCATATGGCCGGGTAACCGAATATATACCTATATAAATGCTTATTAGTACATTATAACCATCAACATCATGGTGGTTCATCTCTCTAAAAATACCTATATTGTATTATTCTATATGCCTGTCTACATATATATTAATAAATAGGTACATTAAAAAAAATGCAATCATCCAATTAGATATTGGTATAATATCGTTACATTATACGTTTTTATCGGGCTGGTTAAAATATCTAATTTCAACACGTCATCGTCCAACTGACACAGTGAAATCAATTAGGTACTTATCGAACTATTGTAATATCGTATGATATAAAATTGCCCTACCCCACTAGTCTGACATGATATGTATAATTTGAAAACAAAATGTGTGCTTTTTATCTGCGTCCGACGTAAGTAAACGATATACAGTAAAATGTATTGCATTTATATTGGTTATCGAAATAATAGGTAATAGAGATTGCATATGAATAATTTTAGTCTTTACTATGTATTATGAGTTTTATACCCAAAATCATTTGTTTTGTATATTATAATCTGTTCGAAGCGATGCGTGTATTGGTACACTGTTCGAAAGACTTGCTCCAAAATTCGAAATCAGGATCGATTCCTGGTGGACAATTTTAACGAATAAGACGATAATAAATTATTATAGTTAGACAGAGCACAAGACAATAGACTATAAACCCACACTCTAGTTATATAATATGAGTTATCTATGTACGATAAAGACGTGTTAATGTTACTTAAATTTAAAACGATAATATTAATAATAATATAACATAGCAGTGGGAATCAGTACTTGCACAAATAAGACGTTGCTTCAGTCGCGCTTGAGTTCCAAGAACAAAATGAAAAATACAGGATTATTTTATTTTCGTATGACGTACAATATACCTAAAACAGATATAAATAAATATACTCGATGACAAAATATTAAAAAAAAAAAAAACCAAATAGGTATAAACAAGATTTAAATATTATAGATATTATATGGGGACATCGAACGATATGAAGTTGTTCACTTACTATCTTACTACAAACTATAGGAACATTTGATTTGAGTATTAATAAATTTCTATTCGGTACAAATTATTATAACTCATTGAAGTTAACAATCGGTGATATAATATTATTGTATTATTATACAATTACAATGTTTAATTTCGCGAGGCCGGAAATGTCATACAAAGATACAAATGCGCGAGACTCGGCGGGTAGATGGCCTGTGCCCAAAAACAGCTCTGTCTATACATTCATCTTAATAACGAACCCCACTCTCTCTGAACACCATCAAAAAAGACTACGGAAAATGAGAAATTTACGTAATGCCGGGTTTTGTCAAACTCAATTTTGTTTTAGATTATGATTGGAGAGGACTGACCAGAACTTAATTACTGGCACAATATTTCAGTTTTACGCCTTAAAATTGGCAAAATTTAATTTTCATAGGTAATTATGACGATTTAAGATCATAATAATAAGGTTAAGGCCTCAGTGGTAAGGCCTAAGATATGTACATATAAAAAAGTATTTACTTAAAAGTTATGACATTTTCGATGTGCTTATTAAACAATTCCATCTGTTAAAATGGTCACGCTTATATGTATACAACGTCCTATGATTAAACTTCTGATAGCTGTAATCAGTCAGTTTTCACGTGTTGATAAAGATGATAATATCATTTTTAATTTATTGTTTTATATATTTTTCAACCTAAGTTTGAATTAGTTGAATAATTTCACAAAGTTTCTAAAACATATTTTACTCTTTAAATTTAAATATGGGTACACACAAATCTAGTATGTATAATATTTGCGTTATTAACTTAAAATAACATAGTTCGTTTTTAATTTCTGTAATTTATATTTTATTTAGATAAAGCAAAACACCGTAGAGCATTTGTGAAATGGAAAAATGGTTTGTGATTTACTTGTTAAGCATCCATTCAAATTTAATACGTTTAAAATTAATTTAGCTAATAATTGGTTTAGCATAATTAAATTTGTTAATTTTTAGGACAAAAAATACAATCTAAACAAGAAAAAAATGATAGAAAAGCTTCTGAACCAAAAAAATCTGTGAATGTACCTGAAACACTTCCTGCAGCCCCTACATTAGCAGAATTTGTGAAGAAAACTCAAACAAACATAGCTGAATTTGTTGAAGTTGATGAAGTAGAGGAATCTGGTTATAAAAATGTCGTTAAATTGGATAATAAAACTTTTAAAGATGAATTTAGAAAAGTATTATATTTTATTTGTATAAAGTAATAATTTTTAACATATATTATATAAATTATTTATTTTCTAGGTAGTTACTGCTGCTGATGTAGTTTTAGAGGTAGTAGACGCACGTGATCCATTAGGTACAAGATGTAAACAAGTAATAGAATCAGCTCAAGACTTGGGGAAAAAAGTTGTTGTTGTATTGAATAAAACAGATCTAGTTCCAGCTGAAGTAGTTCGTAATTGGCTGTCTTATTTTAGAGGAAGATTAGGAACTCCAGCTTTACCATTTAAAGCTAGCACTCAACAGGCAGGTTCGCGAATTGGCCACAGGAGAATGAACAAATGTAAAAAAGATACAGACAAAGCTATAAGCTTGTGTGTTGGTGCAGAATTAGTTATGACACTTTTGGCTAACTATTGTCGTAGTGACAAAATGAAAACATCAATTGTAGTAGGTGTTGTAGGTAAAGTAAAACGAACAATTTTAAGTTAATCTAAATAGTTACAACTATTAATTCCATGTATTTCAGGTATGCCAAATGTCGGTAAAAGTAGTTTAATTAATAGCTTGAAAAGAGCAAGAGCATGTCAAGTTGGAGCTATTCCTGGTGTGACTAGGTATTGCAATAAAATCTTATTTAAAATAAATAAAAATATGAGAGCATTAAAAGTTTATTATCATTATCATAAACCATTTTAATATGTTTTGTGTAATCAGTGCAATTGGTACAATATTATTGATTGAAAAAAATACAATTATTCATATAATTTTATCTTTTGGATTCCGTATTTATTGATACTTTATTTTTACTTCATAATTAAGAAATGGTATTAATTTTGTTTTTAGAAACATGCAAGAAATTCAGTTAGATAAACATATCAAATTACTGGATTGTCCTGGTGTAGTATTAGACAAAACTTCCACTACAAATAGTGTAGCTTTAAAGAATGTTGTGAGTTCTGGAAGTATTGAAGATCCTATTGCTTGTGCCAATACAATTGTGAGCCGTGTGACTAAAGATCAGGTAAATTAATTCTGATTAGGAATAAAAAACCAATGTTTACCATTCTATGTTTTTAATATCCTAATTTTAAAACTAAGTACCTACGAGATTATAATATCAATAAAAAAAGATATTTTTTAAACCACTTTAATAATTTATAAACACATTAACCACTTAATATAATTGTGTTCAAATTTTTACTTGTTATACTTTCTTGGAGTTTTCTATATTATTGATTCTAGATGCAAAAATTGTATGGGATTGGACAATATGATTCTTGTGAACACTTCTTATACTTAAAAGCTAGAAGATTTGGAAATATTGGCCGTGGTGGGATTCCTGATATATTTACATCAGCTCGCAGTTTGGTTGAAGATTGGAATCGGTTTGTAACAAATATTTCAATAATTGTTGATAGAGATGGGAACTATATGCACTCAAAGGTGTTAAATATGCAAAGCAAAAGTGGTAAAACACACACTTATACATTTAAAAATCTTAGGTATAGGTACCAGTTAAAAAAAAAACAATAAATAAACATTAATTGTTAGTATCTGTACAACATACAGAACTCATTTATTTTCAAGTATTTTGTATTATCAAATTATCAATAGAATAAACTAAATAAATCTTAAAGTAAACTATGAACAAATTATATTAAATTATTCATGTATGAGTGTTATACCAATTAACAAACATTCATAACAAATAACAATATAAACATGTAAAAGCTACAGCAATGACACTGTTCATCATAAGTCATAATAACAACCATATAATTATTTCTTTGCAATCCTGAACTATGTTACACAAAAACAATTATTTGTTCTGAATTAAGAAATATTATTTTTGCTAACCAAAACATTTTTCATAAAAAATTTTTATTAGTTGTTAATCAACATATTCATTCTTATTTCTATTATAAACCATTGGATTATTTAAATTTTAAAAGATAAAATAGTTAATTTAATTTACTAAGAGTGTATACAAAATTAGTAAATTATATCCTTTAATAACAAAATATGCAAAATAAATATTGGTTTATGAAATCAATTTGATTTGAAACTTTCACATTTCAAATCCTTATGTTTGTGCATACATTCAGTATAAATATATAAATTTCAATCTTTAATTATTAGTATAAAATTATACATTTTGTGTTTTTAGAGGTAAAATAAGATATCATACCCTACCACCAGAGGATGACAATGTTCACTTAAGTGCTCAAATTGTAAACGATGTAACAGATGTTTTTAATTTGGATAATGTTCAACGAGTTGAAACAGAATTCATGGAAGAATTGGCCAAACTACAACCAGAATCTACAGGTGAAGGAGTACAAACAGATTCAATGGATGTAGATGGCAAGTCAATGGTCGTAGTTGATGATGGTGTTCAAACAAAAAAATCAGGAAAATTGCGGTGGAGAAGAAAGAAGAAATCTGATTCTGCAGAAACTAAAATAGATATACAACCTGGAATTTTAAAATTGAAAAAATTACAAAAATCAAATGCTAAGAAAAAGCGTAAGACTGCAGCTAGATTGGAAAAATGTGAAAATCTCTTGTCCAGTTTTGAGTTATAGTAAAATGTTATGTGTTGAAATATATTTATTTATCAATATATATATATTTATATAAATCTACATTTGTAATTTTGTTTTATTGTTATATATCATTGAATAAATATTTTTTCTTTCTATAATCTTGACACATTTAGAAAATATAATAAAACAGAAATTTTGAAATTTAATATTAATTACTTATGCTCAACTCTAAATGTTTACTTCACCAGTAAAATATTAATGATTGGTTACAATTTAATTAGTTGTTTTTTAAATAACTATTTAAGTGTATACTTAATATATATTGTGGTGTTTAGATTCATTCATTTATGTTTAATATTATTTTGACATTGTTTATTCTTCTATTTAATCTAATTGTGTAACAATGTTGCATAATAATATGTCTCAAAATCAGCCCTATTAATGATAATAAAATGATTTAGTCTAATAAAAAAAAATCCTTAATACTGAATAGTATTATAATACTATTATAGATACAATTTATTTGTACATTTCATTTATTGTACCATAAAGTCTTAAAAGAAGAAATTATTATGAATTGATAGTATTTTGAGTATATGGAGATATTATAATTTATAATCTTTTTAATTCTAATAAATATTGGTAATTTTAAATTTTAATTAATTTCTTTAAACCACAACAGTTATATAGAAACCCTGAAACACAATAAGAAGCAAAACAAAGATTTTTGAAATTCCGAATTTTAATTATAAAATATAATATCCATGATAGTTTTAATGAGAAAACCAATACTATTGTACTTTGTATAATATTACAATTTCTCCTTCCATATTGTTTTCTGATTTTTCCGAATTTCGATTGGCCGTTCAAAACATTCTGTTCATCGAAACGAACAATGAATGAACGAAACGAATGAATTATGATAGTAAGTATTTGCAGTATATGAAGATATTATAATTTACAACTATGAGATATTATAGTTTATGATCTTTTTAATTCTAATAAATATTGGTAATTTTAAATTTTAATTAATTTCTTTAAACCACAACAGTTATATAGAAACCCTGAAACACAACAAGAAGCAAAACAAAGATTTTTTGAAATTCAGAATTTTAATTTTCAAACAAAATATCCATGGTGGTTTTAATGAGAAAACCAATACTATTGTACGTTGTACAATATTACATTTTCTCCTTCCATATTGTTTTCTGATTTTTCCGAACTCCGATTGGCCGTTCAAAACATTCTGTTCGTCGAAACGTCATATGTTCAAATTTCTTATGAATAATGAACATAACCTAAAAAGTTTATTCGGCTGATTCATTTTGTACGAGTACATCTCAAACATTTGCATGTGAATTTTAATTTTATAAATTTATATTATAATAATAAATGTCGAGTAGAGTACATTAAGCGGTGCAACAAACATAAACGAACCATGTCGTTCATACCGGGTTCGTTGGGTTTCGATGAATTCGGAACTCCATTCATCATCATCAAAGATCAACACAAACAACGTAGACTGACTGGTGTCGATGCATTAAAGGTTTGTGTATTTATTTTCATACATTTTATAAAATAGTTTATTTCGTTTTGTTACTTTGGTTCATCAATGATATAAAACTCAATGAACTCCTAGGAATAAGATTTGTCCGTCCATTGTGTAACGAAGTGTGACCAGGTGTGCTTTAATACCTTTTGACACATGGTTATTATTTTGCAATTAAAAATATTTCTAATGAATCAAATTCTTTGGCTTTCTTTCTTATTAGTTATAGAAATGTTAAATAATGATTTACCTACTTAATGTTTAGTCACATATTTTGGCTGCACGGTCCGTTGCCAAAACACTGTATACATCATTGGGCCCAAAAGGTTTGGACAAAATGATGGTGTCATCTGACGGAGAAGTGACTGTTACTAATGATGGTGCTACAATATTAAAAATGATGGATGTCGATCATGAGATCGCTAAACTCATGGTACAGTTATCTCAGAGTCAAGATAATGAAATTGGTGATGGAACTACTGGTGTTGTAGGTATGTAAAAAGTTAATATTTTATTATTTTTACAATTTACATTCATGTATCCATCCTAAATGTTTATAGTTATTGCTGGGGCTTTACTCGAGCAAGCCGAACATTTGCTTGATCAAGGTATACATCCTATCAGAATTGCTGATGGATTTGAATTAGCTGCTCAAAGTGCCTGCAAACATTTAGACTCGATTGCTGATTCGTTTCCAGTTGATATTAATAACTTGGAGCCCCTTATTAAAACAGCAATGACAACTTTGGGATCAAAAATGTAAGGAATACATATTTTGTTTTATCAATCAGAATCTAATATTCAATTGAATGGGTTATTTGGAAATGGGAACATGTCAAATATTGTGAAATTTTCAGAGATTTATTATTTGTATCTAAACTCGTTATTTGATGTGAAAAAATGTGAAACATTCATATGTTCATATAGTATAACTAAGTATATGTCTTTATTTTGTTTATTTTGAAAAAGGAAAATCACAATATGGTTGGTTTTTTGTTTTTCCTTTAAAATTTAAATTTCTGGGGATGTTCCATTTTCCAAATAACCTGTTCAATTTAAATAGTAATTTGATAATTACAGTGTTTAAACCAGCATAGCATTAAAAAATATGATTATGTCCAAACTTCCAGGTCCCAATTTCCAACCCACACAGGTTGGTTCTTTTATAACTTAATATTAATAATTATTAATTATAAATGTTATAATTATATATAATAGTTATTAAATAATAAATTCTAAATTATTAATATGAAACATTAATTTCAAAAAACGCAATAATTTCTTTTTAACAATGTACCTGTACTTTATTAAATGCATATTGTGTTATTTTTAATTCTCAGATACTCTTAGGTATTTTTTATTTGTACTTAAGAAAACCTACCTAAAGTTTTCCCTAATAATTTCACATAATCTAATAACATATTTTTAATTTTATTTTTAATTGTATTTATTTAAATTAAGACAGACATTTTATAGTATGTACCTATTTAAGTATTTTAAATATCTGTTTTAGTATTTTTAGTTTTAATTATCCAACATGTTTATTCGAATTACTAAAAACAGTTAAATAAGAGGTAAAATAAAGTTTGGATAGACAGATTGATTTACGAAAACAGCCCAAAAAACATGCCATCCAACTTAGAATTGAACTCTGGCCTCTCGCTTGCTGAGCAATTTCTTTAATACTGAGTTACCCGGTACTTGTCTTTCACACTGTTTCTAAGATACTTAAACCATTCCTCAATCAATCAAAAAATTGAATTGATTACAAAACTAAAAACTATTAATAAATTGACTATTCTTATTAACACTTGGTGAAAAAAAAAATATTAAACTACCCTAAAGTATTGAAATTTAGTTTTGTTGTTATTTAGTAGTTATTTACCCAATTTAAAGATATTTATATATTTTTTCAGTGTAAACAAGTGTCATCGTCAAATGGCTGAAATAGCTGTGAATGCAGTAATTGCTGTAGCTGATTTTGAAAAACGGGATGTCAACTTTGAATTAATCAAAGTTCAAGGCAAGGAAGGTGGAAGGTTAGAAGACACAATGTTAGTAAAAGGAGTTGTTGTTGATAAAGATTTTTCCCATCCTCAAATGCCAAAAGTGAGTTAAAGCTTATTATCCTATCTATCATGATTTCAACCTAGTATACAATTAAAAAATATGTATATATTTATGAAATCTTATATAATAAAATAGTTATTTTATTATGTCATGCTATCTCACTACCAGGTAATTAGCACATAGTGTCAATTGTTGTTTACAACATTTGATGTATAATTTATTAAAAATTGGTTATATTGATTTGTTTTGATTAATCAATTTCATATTATATTGTTATATATTTTGATGTTTCTTAGAAAACTTTAAAAAATAATTTTAACATCATTTTTTAGATATGATGGTAGTAAATCAGGTAAAGCTGGATTTTTTGAAAAATATCAATTTAATCTCAACAATAACTCTCCCCCTTCAGTGAATATGATTTATATTACTTGTATTTTTTACTAGTAATTTATGATATATTGTAGAACTGTTCATTTCTTAAAAATTTGATATTGCAATATCTATTTACAATAGATTATGATAATGTATGTGGTAGACCATATAAGACATGTGAAATTGTATGATAGCCCATAAATAACAATAATACTAAAATAGCTAGCTAATTTAAATTATGCCTATAGCAGCTATTTTTTATTTGAGTATTTTTATTAGTATTATTGTTGAGAGTTCATCAGTAACACTCACAAGTTAGGGCTTATGGGTAATGCTTAGATTTGTTGTCTAGTTTATATTTACTTGGGCTAAATTTTTGAGATATCTTCCTTAAGTATAATTTTTTATTGAACATATTGAAAGAAATTTGATTAAATGCATTTTCTTTGCTAAGTTCCAATTCTTTTTAGTATTATTCTTAAAGTACAAGCAATATCATATTATATTATTTTCTTTTAGGTTAGGGCTTTTATTAATAATGTAATGTTGTTCTTGTTCTCTATACACTTCAGTTCAATTTTTTTATGACTAGCTGATGTCCGAATTCTTTCCAAATATTTGGTTATCAATATTTGTTATTTATTATATGGTTTAAATGTATTATTTAAATTGTTGTTGCTTTTATGTATTAGGAATTGAAAAATGTCCATCTCGCAATCCTTACTTGTCCGTTTGAACCCCCTAAGCCAAAAACCAAACATAAGTTGGACATCGCTTCAGTTGAAGACTACAGAGCATTACGCAAATATGAACAAGATACATTTAATGATATGGTTAAGAAAGTTAAAGACGCTGGTGCTACTTTAGCTATTTGTCAATGGGGTTTTGATGATGAAGCTAATCATTTATTACTGAAACATGATTTACCTGCTGTACGTTGGGTTGGTGGACCAGAGATTGAAGTAAGGACTGTTGAAATATTCTTAATGTTTACTAAATTTTGAATTAGCATTGTTTTTTTTAAAATATTTAGGCCAAACAGTGAATTAACCTTTCATATTTATGTTATTTTGGTAATGATGTGCACTATACTAAGCAATATAAGCTTATATTTTTGAGTTTTTTTTTAAATTTAAATTTGTTAGAACTGTAATCAAAACTACCATTCTTACTTAATCAAGTAAATTATTGTTAAAATAAACTTTTAGTAAATTATAATTACAATAGTGAATTTATTTTTTAAGCAATGAAAAATTACTCCAAAGTATTTTAATAACTAAAAAAAAACAGCCATTTATCTATTGTTATATCAAAACAAGGCTGATTATAAAATAAATAATTATAAATATTGCTTGGTTTGGCAAATATTTTTATAAAGTAGGCTTCAATTAAAACTTAAAAATATCTAAATCATTAAATCGGTATTTAGAGTAAATTAATAAATTGTTAGGACTTATTACACCCTATTCTTTATTTTTTAATTAGTTTTGTAACTTAATAATTCCAAATATTTATATTATTTGAAATCGCTATATTTATATTAATACTAATTACAGTTAATTGCAATTGCCACTGGAGGTAGAATTATTCCTCGTTTTGAAGAAGTATCTAAAGAAAAATTAGGATACGCTGGAAAAGTTAGTGAACTTTCTTTTGGTACTACTAAAGATAAAATGTTGCTGATTGAAGAATGCAAAAATTCACGTGCTGTCACCATATTTATACGCGGTGGAAATAAAATGGTTTGATAAACTAAATTATTTTAAACATTTTATTATGGATTTAACACATTATTTCTGAAAATTTAGATAATTGAAGAAGCCAAACGCAGTATTCATGATGCTTTATGTGTTGTTCGTAACTTGGTGCAGGACAATCGTATTGTTTACGGTGGTGGTGCTGCTGAAATTTCATGTGCTATTGCTGTTTCTTCTGAAGCTGATAAGATTTCATCTATTGAACAATACGCATACCGTGCATTTGCAGATGCTTTAGAAAGTGTTCCATTAGCATTAGCTGAAAATAGTGGATTATCACCAATTGATACATTGACTCAAGTCAGAGCCAGACAAATTAAAGAAAATAATCCGGCTCTTGGTATTGATTGTATGCTCATTGGAACTAATGGTAAACAATTTGATTTATTGAAATATTTTATGTGCTGCCATTTTATTTATTATTAAATAATAAATTACTTTTTATTTATAGATATGAAAGAACAAAATGTTATCGAGACACTCCATAGCAAGAAACAACAAATCATTTTGGCAGCTCAGTTGGTAAAAATGATATTGAAAATTGATGATGTCAGAGTTCCAGGAGAAAATTTTGATTAGATTTTAATATTTATAAAACCTATTATTATTTTCACGCTTATATGTTTTCCTAAAAACAGTCCTTTTTCTATGTTCGAACATTTTAATTAATTGTGTAAGTTATTTACATTTTCTATTAATAATAAAATACATTACTAATCAATTAAAATTGGACGTATATTCAACTTTTACAACTAAAATGCTAACAGTATTCCAACAACAATCAGCACAAGAACTATTTTATTGAAGTACACAGAATGGCACTTTTCGTTCTTTCATATCAAACTCGTCATCTTTCATTCCGTCAGCAGACATACCAGTGCCCCCCAACACGCCAGGGGGGCACACTGTTTGTCATCTCATGGCTAGAGTAGATACCATTGGAGGTCGCATCGGTTTATTGTCCAATATACGTTCTAGTTCAGCCATTACATTTGAGTTGAGTTTTGGTAGCAACTAAATTACAAACAAATAAATACAATTAAATAATCATATTATATTACACATGTTTAAGTAACAAAAAACTGAGTTTTAATACAATTATTTTTAATATTAATATAATAACATTTTTGAATAAAACATTTTTATAAATTTATGAACATATTGTCGATTACATTCATTACCTGTAGTCCATGTAAAGCATGATAAAACTGGTGCGTTGTTGCTGCTCCAAGTAGTAAACATTGAACACTTTCGTTTTTCAATGTCCACGCTATGCATAGTTGCACTAAACTACAGCCAAGACGGTCAGCTACTAATGAAATCGAAAATAATATTTCCTTGGTATTTCTTGTTATCGGCAGTGGTTCATTATTCTGAAATAAAAACATGCGAATATTCTTTGTAAATACTTGTTTTAATATAAGACTACAGTGTACGGGATTAATCTATCACAAGACACTAATTATCTTAGAAATTTTAATTTTTTAAACTTAAAAGTTAAATAACTCGTCAACGGTTTGACGGAAATTAAAAATTTCAACACCAAAATTTATTTTAACTTATACTTCATCTATTTATGAAATTTTTAATATAGGTTGCCATTTGAAAATCAAAAATAGGTAGTGATTTTACCCCGAAAAATAATATAAATGTAAAATTATAAAGCTGTGTGTTGCTTAAATTTTCTACAAAATAAATTCCGAAAAGTTAACAGGTACTTTCCGAGATATCGAGTGTCTTATGATAAATTGATCATTCTGTATAAAATACCTCTTTATTAGGTTTTCTATCGTCCTGATTCCAACTGATACTTGAAGATTTTGTCTGAAATTACAAAATATTGATTCTTTTAATAATTAATTCAATATTATTTATTACAATTAGTAATGAATTGGATTTTTTTTCGAATTTAATTTAAAATAGGTACAAACAAATTTATTATTCATAAGAATAGAATCGTCAGTAATTTCATGAACTCTGTCCACAATAATTTAATTTATTTAAGTTTAATTGTAGTAAATTACTTTATTTCACTTAATAAAATCATTTGAACAATATTGGGATAGTAATAGTTAGCTCTCAATTTATGTTGTCCAGTTAAGATAGATTTTTAATGTTTGTGTATTTTGAGTATACTCGTTCCAATCTATTTGGCAATTTATTTGTCGTTGTTTACTGTACGTACCTAAATATATTTACTCACCCTGTTTGAAGATCGACTCCTGAGCGATTCTTTGAAGGAGGGCAACAGTCCCATGGCCAACGGAGACCAAGCCATTAAACCAACACCTGCAACGCAATTTAATTATATTTATTTACGTACAATAGATATTATTATATTTTGACTGACCGATTTTATTGTACAATTCGGGCATGTAAATCTCGACTTTTTCCCTGCAAAGCATGTGGTATTCCGACTGTTCCAGGATGGGCGTAGAGCAATTCAGTTGTCTGCACGCCGTGTACATTTCTGTGACGTCGATCGGCGACCACTTGGCCGTGCCCCAGTACATTATCAGGCCCTCCGACACAAGGAAGTCCATGGCTCTGACCACTTCTGCGAGCGTTAAGCGTACACCGTATTATGTTTTCGAAAAAATCGTTTAAAACGGCGGATATAGAGAAAAACGTGTTGGTGGGAGTGGGGGCACACGTGATAACGATGAGAGAAAACTCCGGATTTCCGGTAGTGTAAAAAAGAAAAAGAAAAAAAACCACAATAAAAATATTTTTTTGTATTATGGTATATGGTTGCGTACTTATATAAATACCTACGAATTACAGACCGCTGGTTTCATTACAATAGATAAGAGTCAATTTTTTATGTTTGTTAAATGTTTGGTTGCACAAAATCGTTCTTAATAGGAATAGAAGACTCGTACCTACCAGTAGAAAACTGTGAATTTTTGAAATTCTATGAAATCCTAATTTTTGAAATGATGGTAGGTGTGCAATAATAAAATGCTATAGTCTAAAAACGCGAGCAATTCTTAGCGGAATAACCCTCAGTTACGGCGCCGACAAAAATCGATCCCTGACACGTTGACAATGGCAGTTATTAAAAAACGCGTAATATTGAAAATACGCATGTACCTTCGAGTGGACACATCGGATCGGCTTTTTGTATCAGGACAATGTCAATGTAGTCGAGCTGGAGCCTGGCGACGGAAGACCGGACCGATTCGATTATGTGTTTACGGCTCAACCCTCGTTCTTCCGATCTGTACGGGGCGAACAAAAATGTGAACATAGGTTGGCCTACAAGAGGCGATCCGTTCGCATGACAGTGGGTACACTCATAATCACGGATAGCGCTGGTACCTTTTATCGAACAATTTTTTTTCCCGACAATTTATGAAACAAGTCGCTCCGGAACGTTACGTTACCGTTGTTTGTTTGATGTGAAACGACTATATTCCTACTTACATTTGATTTTCAAACGCCGCGCGCTGTGCCGCCTGACGCGCACAAATGACGCACCACACGCGGAAAATATCGTCAACGGAAATTTCAATACCTTAAGATTTAAGAGAGTTTAATGAGCGTCCCCCGTTATATTCAATACATTTTTCGATATATAGGTGGCCATTCGAAAACCAAAAGTATTCAGCCGTTTCGTCCGTCAAAAACAAACGGGTAATGTAACATTTTAGAGCTATTTGTTTCTTAAATCATAAACGAAAAATCGTTTGAATAAACTCGAAATAGATGCATAATTAATGGTAAGTGTACCCGCTTGAACGGATCACTCGTATGTATACGTATTCTAGGTACCTATAATACGGAGGGACACGGTCGTCCCAATGCACGTTCAGAACAGCCAATCCACAAGAAACGGAGGCGGGGAAAGGGGTAGCCGGCGATCGCGTGTTACACTTTATTGGAAATGTGTTTTCCGTATTATTATTAGCATTACGATTGGCGATTTACAAAAAAAAAAAAAAAAAAAATTAGCTTCCGTTCCAGAATAATTATTTTATTTTCGATTTAATATTATTGTAGTAAGTAGATATTTATATTATGTACAGAGTGTACAGAATTCGGTGTAACTGAAATTTTCTCCTATAAATAAGGAATATAAAATAGGGAATAATGTATAACGAAACATTTTTATTAAATAATGTAGTATAAAATTATACGTGGGTTTGAAATTTTTTAGACGTCTTTTTTTGAGGGGGGGGGATTTGGGTGTCAACTTTTGCAATTCATTTGGCAACCTATATTCAAAATTCCATAGATAGTTTGAGTATTAATTAGAATGCCGCTCGCCTTGCCGTGCAGCCACACAAATGCACAGGTAGTGTTCCATCACTACTGTCCCCCTACCTAAACCAAAAAGTGGAGTATCTCGTCTGCAACGGGTCGACGGAAATCGAAAATGTCAAAAGCAATATTTATTTGAACGAATACTCCGTCTGTCTATGGCATTTCGAATGTAATTGGTTGCTATTTGAATTTCAAAGGTTGACCAATAAAGAGGATTTACTAATTTCAAAACCACATGTAATTTTACATTTATTTAATAAAAATGTTTCAATATACATACATTGTTTTCTTTTTTAGAAATTGTCTAGGAAAAAATTGCCGTAACACGAGATTCTATACACTATCTGTATATGTATAGGTGAGCTCGGTGCTGTGCAATCTGAACATGCCATATAGGTATAGGTACCCAATTCGTTTGCGTATTAGGCATGTTACGACGTGCGAGATAAAAAGAAAAAAAACGTTTTGGCTCACGCGTACTTGTAGTGCCAATGGATTTTAGTGATGACGCTGTACGACACCCGTTTCCAGTTCTTCCTCTTGAGTATGGCGCCCAGCTGGGTCTCGGCCTGTTCGCTGCTCTGCGGCCCCTCGGTCAGGTCGAACAGATTGATGCCGGCGTTGTACGCGGCCGTCACCACGGCTTCCAGCTGCTCTTCGTTAATGGCCGTGTTGAACGTGGTCCACGTGGCCAGACCGATGTTGGACACCCGCAGACCGCTTTTGCCCAAGTTCCGGTACCGGAGCCCCGACGTCAGGCTGGGCGACTGCGCGGCGGAAGACGCTCGTTCCGCCGACTCTTTGGCCGCGACCGCCTGCAGCTTGGCACATAGCTGTTCCGTGGTGCTGCCCAGGTCGGCCATGCAGTCCAGACTGGCTATAGGCGCCTTGCATCTGCGAACAGAAAATAACGATACGCCCGACATGAACAAAAAAAAATGCAATAACTATTAAGTTACCATATTTTCTCACGGCAACAATTTTAGACTTTACTTAGTCGAGCGTTTCGTGGATTTGAAAAACCTACGTTGAACCTACACTTTCGTTCGGGAGCGCATAGGGAAAATTCCGGTGTCCCGGTGGGGAGGGGGGGGGGCGCCTAATCTTTTGACTAAATGTGCCACGGCGATGGCGTATTGGCCGTGATACGGGCCGCAAAGGTTACAGTTTTCTCCCGACTTATTATTTTTGTGTTATTATGTTATTATTTTAATAGCAAGCTGGACGATTTGGCTACAGTTCATCTATATGTCTCGGTGTTATAAGTGTATACAAACATTATAATAATATTACCGGCTATACAAATTAAAAAC